TAGGATTGTGAATAAGATTATGATTGATAGCAATCCATCCCTATCTAATAACAAATTTTATTAAATTTATAAATTTTTAACAATTTACTTCCTTATTTGATACACTTTTATGTATCTTTTTTCCTTGGGCAGTTTTAATCCAAGATTTTAAAGATTAAGAAGACTTTAAGAAGTAAATTATTGATTTTGATACCTTAAATAATATTTAATAAATAATATATTATTATCATGATAGAAAAAATGAATTTAAAAATTTATTTATTTTTATACTAAATACTAATGGAACTGAATATAAAATTTATAAATACTTCTATAGTGATTTTTTTGATTTTTTAAAGTTTGACTTCTACATGATTTTAGGATATTTGGTGTTTGAAATTTACATAAGCTTGGTAATAAAATATTAATATAAATATGTATATATTAAATTTCAAAAATAAATTAAAACTCAAATCATAGCATTCCAATAAATTTATTGTTTAGATTTCTACTGCTTCGATCCTTGATTAGTTAAGTTGGGCTTGGAGCCTATCTTAAATCAATAATGACTTCTTCTTCTATCTACCCACTGAACTATTTATCCAATTTGCTGTGCTATTTTTCACCTAAAATATTATCGACACATGTGCTTCCTAACCTCTCTATCCCATCAATATCTCCTTTTATTAAATTTAAAGAAAAAGGCTCCATTTATAATTTTTTTGGGGAGAATTCTTATTTGATACTTAGTTGTGGGATTACAATGGCTTGCTTTTCCTGTAAATGAAAATTTTAGCAACAACCCATAAATTTATTTATTAATTTGTTCAAAAAGATAGAGATGATTAAACTTATTTATAAACTATCAATATTATTATAATTATGATGTCAGTATGAAATAAAAAATCTTTTTTACGTAAAATGAAGAGCTTATTTTATGAGGTAATTATAATAGTAAAATCAAGATAAGAAATTTAAATACTCATAGCATAATATCTTTTGAGTTTCATGTATAAATTTGGAATTTGATTTAATTATGTGTTCAAATGAAGAATTTTCCAATCAGGAGGTCATCAATAAAATATTGTAATTTTTTTTATATTTGAATAAATTAATTTAACTCCTGGTCAGGTTAATTAAGATGAAAACATTAAATATTTTTTTAAATCTTTATGAGTAATAATTTGTTCAACGTTCTCAACTTCTCAGATACAGAAGAAGCTCCTGAATAACCATAAAAAAAGAACAAAAAAAACAATAATAAAGAATAGGTCATCCCTGTCGAATAAGTAGTAAAAGAAAATACACAACACAACAATCCAGCCCCAAAAGTAAAAGGTGTCCCTGCTGAACCCCATCCTAAAGACAGATAATCTGGTAATGGAAGAGGAAAAGAATAACGTAAAGAAGGTGGAGGCAGAAATAATTGGGGTAATTACAAAGATGACCAAAAAGAGGAGAAATATGTAGCAAAAGAAAAAAAGCCAACTGATACACCTTAAGAAGTCTAAAATGAGTAGACAACTTAACCTGTTTAACCACCACCAGCCCCAGAAAAAACTTTGGCTGATTATTACTAATAAAGAGGCGCTGTATCAATATTTATATTATTTTTTAGAATGTTGATGAAGTCTTAAAATAAGGGGAAGTCAAATAATAAGCTCCTAAAAAAATTGATGAAGAAGCTTTAAAAAAAGAAAAATTATTTGTTGTGAAGACTAGAGAAGATGAAAAAAGAGAATAAGAATAAAAATAAAAAAAAACAAGATAATAATAATAATATAGATCTGAATTGAATACTTAAGCTGCTGAGTATTTAGGATTCACTAATCAACCGCAATAAAAGAATGAAAGAAGAGGTGAAAGAAGATAATATGAATAACCATAATAACAATAACAATAACAATAACAATAATAATAATAATAAGAATAATAAGGAGAAGAATAAGGAGGAAGAGGAGAAAGAAGAGGAGAAAGAAGAGGTGAAAGAAGAGGAGAAAGATAAGAGGAATAATAATAATAAGAACAATAATAAGAATAAGATCAATAATAAGGAGAAAAATAATATAGAGGAGAAAAATAATATAGAGGAGATAGATAATACAAAGGTGATAGACAATACAAAGGAGATAGATAAGAGAGAGGAGATAGATAAGAAAGAGGTGATAGATAAGAGAGAGGAGATAGATAAGAAAGAGGTGATAGATAAGAAAGAGGAGATAGACAATACAAAGGAGATAGATAAAATAGAGACAATAATACAAGAGATTAAGAAAGAGGAGATAAGAATAGAAGAGGAGGTGATAGATAAGAAAAGAAACCATAATAAAGATAATAAGTAAATTTAATTGATTAATTGATTAGGAATAAGGAATTCAATTGGATGAGAAGGATTTCCCAGCTTTATGAAGATGATATGTATAATACACATATAGTACATATATATAAATCTTTAATTAAAATTAAATGAATCAAAATATTGAAAATGCCATCGATTTAGAGAATGATGAACTCATTGTTGAAAACTGTATATAAATATTCTTTACAATAAGACAACAACGATGATTAAGATGACTTATTAGTTTCATAACTTCAAGAGATCCTAATATCTGAAGATTTTGAAAAATTATCTTAAGATTTCTTACGTGAAAAATGCTTAGTTTTTGATGAAACAGAACAAAAGGAATACAGAGATATCTTTAAATTGTACTAAAGTGCGATTTAGTTATATTTGAATGAAGTATGATAATGATTGGGTCAATTTAGAAACTTAAAGTTGAACTCACTCTTTAAAAATTGTAATCTCTCCCTTTGGATGAAGCTATAAATGAAACTTTAGCATCATTATTTGATTATGATTTATTTAAAGACATAATGGTAGAAACAAGAATTAGAGTTGAAGAGGAGGAAAGGACTATTAAAAAAAGCACTAATAAAGCCACTAAAGGATATAAATAAGCACCATAATAAAATATCTTTAGTACAGGATAAGCAATATAATTTGAAAAGAAGCCATTAAAAAATGTAACATTTATTCAAATTTTATAGTAACCACCATAAGATTTAAGACCTGATTTATTCTTCAATATAGTGCCTTTAAGCACACCAAAAGTAAACAGAAAATAAGCTTGAGTATTCAAAAAAAAGATTGTTTATATTTATAATCATGATTATTTAACTAAGACTCTATGGGATGATGATTGCCATTTAGTTTTTACTAATCTTTTTTAAGGTGCAGTTCCTGGTCTTAATGAAGGTTTTATTTATTGTCTATCAGATTTAATATTAAAAAGATTTATCTTTTTTTCATCAGCAACTTAATTCAAAGGTAATTTTTTAATCATCAAATTGTCAGTTTTTTGTCTTTTAAATTTTATAGGAAGTTAATTGCTTTAATTTTAATCTTAATTCAGAGATTCAGGTTAAGATTTTTAAAGATTTTTGAATTATCTTAAACTTAATAAGAGAAATTACATTTAATAATAAGGAGGGATGTATTGGCTTATAATGAATTTATTCCATTAAACCTTTTTAGAACCTACTTCTTTTCTTATTCTTGGTTCATATTCTTGAGTTTTTTAACTATTTAGATATGTATTTCTTGCCACAACTTCATCTTAATTTTAAGTTGAGTCCCAATTATTACTCAATTTACTTATGTTTAGCCATTTTTCAAAATTTATAAGTTGCTACATCACATTCTATTTTATTTCACCATTATTTTTTAGATTATATACATATTAAAGAGTTTTTTATAAAGTCCATTTAAATCTAGACTTTCTAAAACATATTTAATTACTTTCTCATTAAATAAACTACTACTACAAAAACAGAGCGATTAAGAGCCTTAATTGAATGAATTAAAACTGCCTCTCCAGCTTCTAAGTTGTCATTTATAAAAGAAAAACAACGAGAATGATCAATTGCATATTGATTGTCTGTTTCAATCCAACAATATGTTAAGTATTCTATTCCAATTGATTCCCAATGATTTGGAATTTATTTACCAGCACAATTAATAATCTTTGTAATTTTATTTGTTATTAAGAATTCTAGATCCTATTGCTTTATTTATCACTGTACATGTGCAGCACTTTAGTCACCAATATATAAACCGTCAATGATACGAGTTGGGGATTACATTTAGTTATTAATTATATTAAAAAATTGGTTAATATTTTTTAATGAAATTACTTTAATTATTTAATTAAATAATGCTCAAGTTATTTTGCACTTGAAACGCTGTATTAAAATTGAATCCAGAATCATTTTATGAGATTCATACTAAATATGCATAATAGTTTAATAAACTTAAAAAAATTAAATTTATATGAAAAATAATAATTATATAGTTAAAGACATCTATTAAGAGAAAAATAAAGGGCGCATCTATGATATGCATAAGAAGAAATTAGAAGAAATTAACTAATAAGTAATTGTTTTAAAATTATAATAGTATCCAAAATTAGAAGATCAGAAAATAATGAAGAAACTTAAGGAGAAGCATAATATGATAAAAACAGTTTCAAAATTTTATAATCAAGAAGCTTTTCTTGAATAATCAAGAGTGAATCAACATTTAATTTTGAAAATAATGCAACCTCAAACAAGTAAGACTCGATCTTAACATAATCAATCAAGAAAAGAGTATGCTAAAATAAATTTTGATACTAAGCGTATAAGTGAAGAAAATCGTAGTTTAGCTAATAGAATTACTAATTTACCTCCTGTAATTGATGCTAAAAAGCATGATAAGGAGTATCGTAAACATTAGAGTGATGTTGTATTAATGCAGAAATATCATGCTACAAAACTTATAGAGTAATATGATCAAAAAACCTTTAATACACTAAATAAATTGACTAATAATAAGTTTAACAAGAGTAAGTTTGGAAATTTTAAATTCTTATCATCTATAAATAAGCAAACAAAGTTTATGATGTTAATTATATAAGAAATGGAGCTATTTGGAGTAAAGCATTCCTCATTTATGAGTAAGAATACTCCTACATATTAATGCTCTATATTTTCAGATTAAAAGTTATTATGTAAAAGTAAACCTTTAGAGTATAATGAATTTCTGGAAAACATTATTGGATTCAACTGTTAGGATTTTACATCCATTTAATTTGTAATAGAAAAGATTAAGTAAAATGAAGAAGTAATTATGAGATATTATTTTATAGTTTTAAGTTGGAGAAGTAATATATTGTGAGAGTTATTCTCATATAAATACACATCCTTTGAAAGATAATCTTATTGTGAGGATTTCAGATGAAATAGAAGGAGAAATAAGAAAGAATATTTCAGAAGAATAAGTTGTCATTGGAAAATTGAATTACAAAATCCTATAATTATGTCGATAAAGTATTGAGAATAAGTTACCAGTACCTCCTTCATTTTATGCAATCCAAATTAAACATTCAACTCCATAACACTCTGTAAAAGGACATGAAGATATTCCATCTTAATAATTAATATGATTAGTAATTTAATTTACGTGTTTAAATGGATTAATGGGTCTATGAGACATAAAAGTTATATTTTTCTGGCTATCCATTTATTGAGTATGGAGTAGGAGGCTATATCATTCTCATTTCTATACTTCTCGCTTTAAAATACCTTTTTAATTGTGATACCAAACATCCAGCAAATTTCAATGTATCATTAATATTACATTTAGGTTGTCAAATTTTAAATTCCTAATTCCAATACATCTAATTCACAGGAACTTATAAATAATCAAGCTAGACTGATTTAATAATTAAATGAAAAATTGGCAATTATCTAATAAGGATACGATAAATTAGCAAAGGAGCATATTTAATTATCTACAAGTAAAAAATAATCATTAGCAATTAGCTCTTTCTGATTTATAATCATAAGTATTTGATATTTTAACGAAAAAGAAAAATTCCAATTCTAATTAATTATAAGTGAAATCTGTAAAATCCCAGATTGTTACACCTTAGTAAAATCTTTAGAAATAAGAAATTAAAGAAAACTAAGAAATCTTAGAAGGATAGGAATAATAAAAGACTTAAAACTAAAAGTTGAAAGAAGAATAGATTTAATAAAAGTAAGTAGATCAATAAAAAGAAATCTAAATTGAGTAACAGCAACAAGAATAATAAAAATAAGAATAATAATAATAACAATAATAATAATAATAATAATAATAATAATAATAATAATAATAATAATAATAATAATAATAATAATAATAAAATGACTAAAATTTATAAAATTTGTCTCAAATATAATTAAAAGACCAAGAAGGCAATAAATAAAATGCAATAATTGATTAACCCTAAGAACCTATGAACCAATCCTAAACAAATCCTTTTGCAGCAGAATAACCTTCTGTAGTAAGAAAACCTTAAAATCCACCTACTCCAAGAAGAATACCTCCTTAATTGAGACCTAAGTGAAAATTTCATATAGTAATCATAAAAATTTATTGAATTCTAATGTTCCCTTAAGCTCTTATAGCTAACGACTATATGACAAATATTTTTAGCTCTATTATTATTTAGCAAAAGCGATTTCAGGTGGTTCTGGTTGACTTAGCGGAAATCTCTTTTTTTATCTTGATCTTTTAATTATTTTATCAATAGAAGTTGTCTTAAATTCAATTAATGTTTCTGATTTTTCCGGAATAGTTAAAAAGTTAACATAAGATTATTTTTGAGATAAACGAGCTTTTTACTTTCTACTACTTGATAATGCTTTAGCTTTGAATTAATATTAAACTCTTTCAGTTTAAAAATGCTAGATTGATTCAGAATTTTTAAGTCTAGTTGATTCCATCGATTTTAGAAGATATTTTCTTTAACTTTGTGAACCAACTCTACCTTCATCATTTGTAACTCCAACTTATTTAACTGAGAATGTTAGTTTTTCATAATTCTCTTTATTTAGTTGAAGATTGGCAATTAGTTCTTATTATTTAATTTAATAATCTTGTCTTCTTTTAATGTAATTCATATATTCAAATGGACTAAATACTTTGATAATTTTAGCATTAAGACTAAAATATGTGTTCTTAAATACTCTTGAGTGCCATAGAGTACTTTGGGATGTACTTTAGATATAATTGTAGGGGACTTAAATTTTTAAGACATTTTTTAATTAATAATTAATAATGATCATATATACAAGGAATAGTTATTGATTTTATAAATGTTTTAATTCTTAGTAGATTTAATAAGGTGGTTGATTTGAATATATTTTGGACTTTTGGGTATTTTGGGTGAAAGAAGGGTAACATTTTTGGATTCTCTCAAAACAGAACCTCTGATTCAGAATAAACATAATACTCAGTTCGTAGTCGAATAGTTGCATTTTTGCTTTATGATCTTGACTTATAAAGCGATGTATTATTGGATCTATTTTCATTAAATGATGGTTATTTTTTTGGCTTTAATAGACGTATAAGTAATTTTTTGCTTGATTTAGGTATTGTTCTTTCATTTTCAATAGATTTATTTCTGATTGATTTGCACAAATTGTAGACTTCAATATTTTTAAGAGATTCAAGTGAATCATCATCAGATCCATCATAACCTTCTCTTTAAAATATATATTAATGATTTTAGCGACTTTTAAAAAATCTTTTCTCAATTTCTTATTTGAATTCGATAGTTTATTATCTAACAATCGCATCTGTCATATGTAACGTTAGCTTTTTAATTAATAATAATATTAATATTTATAATAAATGAGTAAAGGAATTGGAGCACATCTAGATAAGGCTGTGAAAGTAAAGATCTATTAATAGAGAGCAAATAAATACAATTAAGAATTTGATAAATTAGAGGTATTGTTTAATTATTTTTATTATTTTCTTTAAAATAGGAATAAGGACATGACCCTGATAAGATTTCTTCAATTTTAGCTGAGGAAGAATATAAGAAAAGACATGCCAATGATCCTTAAGAACCGCTACCTTTTGAACGAAGTGATAAAGTATTGCCAATAACTGGATCGACTCATTTAGGATTTGATAAAGCTCATACAAATCTGTCTTCAACAAAATAGATGATGTAAATATAGGAATAGAAAATGTAAAAAATAAAATCAATAAAATAATCAGGTGGAAAATTACCTGTGGATGGTAAAGCAGTTATACCTATTAGATTAGAAGTACATAAGGCATAAAAAGAACATGAGAAAAATATGAAAGCTCGTATTTAATATGATCATATAAATGATTTACATTAAATGTAATAATCAGATCCAAATGCTAAGAAATCATCATATCAATAACATCATGGTAATTGAGTTATTTGATTTAGTGTTTACAAAATATATGTAAGATGAATGTGACCATTAGAACTTTGATTATCATTAGATGAAAAATGACTTAAAACAATACCATGAAGCATTTGTTATTTGTCAAAAAACACTAAGAAAATGAATAATACATCATATTAATTATTTAATAATTGTTTTTCAATGATTTAATTTTTCTTAATTTCTTTTGATTCCTATATCTAATAATAATAAAGCATAGTAGACCAAGAAAAAGTTGTAGGATGCTTTTTTAAGATAGTTTGCCTAACAAATAAGTTAGTTTTTCATACATTCTTGGAGGGATCACTTTCAAATAATTTGATTGCTCTATAATTCCAAAAATATAATGATAATAATCCTGAGATACAACTGATAAATTTTAATTCAGGCTAAGAATGTTATGATGCAGTTCCTAACCAACTAAATCCATTAATTGCCAAACATATTTTCATATGTCTACTTGCAACAGTACTATCATTAATCATTTTAAATCCAGCTCTTAAATAATCCTTTTGATATTTCCAATAGATTCCATANTAGCTTTTTAATTAATAATAATATTAATATTTATAATAAATGAGTAAAGGAATTGGAGCACATCTAGATAAGGCTGTGAAAGTAAAGATCTATTAATAGAGAGCAAATAAATACAATTAAGAATTTGATAAATTAGAGGTATTGTTTAATTATTTTTATTATTTTCTTTAAAATAGGAATAAGGACATGACCCTGATAAGATTTCTTCAATTTTAGCTGAGGAAGAATATAAGAAAAGACATGCCAATGATCCTTAAGAACCGCTACCTTTTGAACGAAGTGATAAAGTATTGCCAATAACTGGATCGACTCATTTAGGATTTGATAAAGCTCATACAAATCTGTCTTCAACAAAATAGATGATGTAAATATAGGAATAGAAAATGTAAAAAATAAAATCAATAAAATAATCAGGTGGAAAATTACCTGTGGATGGTAAAGCAGTTATACCTATTAGATTAGAAGTACATAAGGCATAAAAAGAACATGAGAAAAATATGAAAGCTCGTATTTAATATGATCATATAAATGATTTACATTAAATGTAATAATCAGATCCAAATGCTAAGAAATCATCATATCAATAACATCATGGTAATTGAGTTATTTGATTTAGTGTTTACAAAATATATGTAAGATGAATGTGACCATTAGAACTTTGATTATCATTAGATGAAAAATGACTTAAAACAATACCATGAAGCATTTGTTATTTGTCAAAAAACACTAAGAAAATGAATAATACATCATATTAATTATTTAATAATTGTTTTTCAATGATTTAATTTTTCTTAATTTCTTTTGATTCCTATATCTAATAATAATAAAGCATAGTAGACCAAGAAAAAGTTGTAGGATGCTTTTTTAAGATAGTTTGCCTAACAAATAAGTTAGTTTTTCATACATTCTTGGAGGGATCACTTTCAAATAATTTGATTGCTCTATAATTCCAAAAATATAATGATAATAATCCTGAGATACAACTGATAAATTTTAATTCAGGCTAAGAATGTTATGATGCAGTTCCTAACCAACTAAATCCATTAATTGCCAAACATATTTTCATATGTCTACTTGCAACAGTACTATCATTAATCATTTTAAATCCAGCTCTTAAATAATCCTTTTGATATTTCCAATAGATTCCATAGAAATGATTGATTTACCATGAAAACATGAAACCAAAATTTCCCCACATTCCTAAATTATACAAACTATCATAATTAACACAGGCAGCTCCTAATACTACTGGAAGAGCTCCAATTACTGCACCTATTAAAGTATTGATAGGAGATCTTGTTTTCAAAGTTGTATAGATTCCTAAATAAGAGAAGAAAATTAAATTGTTAATCACTAAAGCATTGATTGGCAAATACTAAATCACTAATAAATATACATTATACATCAGGACATTAGAAACTGTATAGAATGCAAATCCTATCAATCCTCCTTACATGCGAGTTAGTCTTTGAATTGGAATTGGACGATTACAAGTACGTGTCATTATTTTATCTTACTTCCATTCAATCACTTAATTGAATGCTTAACTTGCCATAGCCTATTCATAATAAAATATCTAAAAACCATGAAAAGGGATCCTGAGAATACTGAAAATGATTTTAACGAGAATAAGTTATCATTCCCTAAATACATATATGAAATAAAAGGAATAACTGCATTACCACTAGCTAAACTAAATTTACATAAATTTTTCAAATCTGTGATTGTTATTTTCATTATTATAAAATATATATGTACATATATTTAATACCTTAAATATTCCCATCCATTTCAAGTAATTTAATAAACTACCTTAACAAATACAAATATTTTAATGATTAAATCAAAAAACTAATAACTCTTAAAAGACTTAGAAGCATTTCAAAAATAACTTAAATTAGCATTACCATCTATTATCAGTCAAGCTACCCAAGATTTTACTCATTATTAATATTTCCAAAGCCTCTTCAAAGATTCTAAACCTAATAATATTCAAGAACTTTATTCCCAAAGTCTTCTTAGACTTGATCCTCATGTTTCTAGATAATAACCACAATTAGAAGATCATATCTAAATAATAAATGATTTTATCCATATTTATTTTGAAACAAATTTCTCATCTTTATAGAAAATAATTATCCTTGAAAAAGAACTAAAAACTTAAATTGAATTAGAAGATACATAAAAATAAATAAATTAAAATTAACAATTACTTTTACATTAATTCCTTTAAGGTAGAACTTAAGAAATTGAAACAATAAACATGGAATAGATTTGTCAAAATTTAAAGAGTAAATACTATCGATAACCATTATAACCATTTTGTGATAGTTGTTTTTGTAGTAATCAATTTCATTATAAATAAATTATCTAATGTTAAATATGTGAAAAATATTTCCATATTAATTGTTTAGATAAAAGTTATGATGAAAAATCAGTTAATAATTTTACTTGTCCAAGATGTACTTTATTTTATATTGATTAATTTTGTGAAGTTATTACAACTATTGTAGATCCATGTTCTTTTTAAAAAAATGGATTAACTAATTCTAAATTAATTAAATTTAAAACTGACTGTGAAATGGTTGATATTAGATGTATAAGGTTAGATTCTCCTTTGTCTGCCTAAGAAATTACTTGGCCAGATCTAGGTGAAATATAACTAAATGGTTAAAAGATTTTTGATTTTATTCCTTTAAGTTAATAAAGCTGTTTACATAAGAGGAAAGATGAAAAACTCTTATGTTCTATTCCTAAAAATGAAGAATGTACTCTCATCTTTAAAGAAACAATACCAGGTATAGATTAAAAACGAAAGTTTAGAATTAAAGGAGAATAACTGTTTTATTTTGCTATTTATAAAACTAAACAATATACTGCTAAATAATTAATTGATAGAATTATTGATGATCCATAGAATTGGATGAGTTTAGAATAATCACGAGATTTTACTATTCTCTAAATCAATCATAGTCCAGCATTCAAAATAATTAAATTACATATATCATTATTGTGTTGTTTTAGTTCTTCGCTTATATTGACTCCAGTTAGAGGTATTTATTGCACTCATGTGTAATGTTTCTCTTTAGAAAATTATATTCTCATGCTAGATTAATAATTACCAAGAAGATGGAGATGTCCTATTTGTAAAGTTAAAATATTTAAATTATAAATTGATGCACTTTAATATGCCATCTTAAAATCAATCAGGTAATAAGATTTACAAGAAAAATATTCATGCATCACATTTGATTTTTAGGCTAATATATTAGATGAAACTATTTCCAAATATATTGATTATAACAATCTACCAGAAATTGCCAAATAAAACAATAATAGAATACCTTAATTAGAAAAATTAAGTGGTTTCAAATTTGATGATAATCGTTATGAAAATTAAAGTAATTCAAAATCAAACAATCCTAACTCTATTGTTATAATATAATCAAGAAAATTATAAATTTTAAAAATTACTCTAAATTTTTTTCTCACTTATTAAATAAGATATTAATATGGTTGAATTAATCAATAAATGATTTTCTGAAAAATCCTTATCTAGAATTTCGATAAAAACTCAGGCAAATATGCAAATCTATTAAAAAAACAATATTTAAAATAATAGATCATTCATTAGTAAATACATTAAGCTGACTAATTTTAGACATATATATTAATGATTCAAATTTATTATAAATAATATTTCTTATCATTATCATAAGTGAAGGAGATTTAGAAGAAAAGTACTGTATTAGAAGACAATAATATATTCAACTAATTCTTATACATCAATAAAATCTTTAATATATTTATTTACAATAAAAGTGTTTTGTTCTAAACTTTGAAAAAAATCAAAAAATCAATCCAAATTTGACGAAATAAATTAAATTTTATTATTTGAAGAAAAAGGATTATTTATCATTAAAATGAATTAATTTTAGTTGAAGTACTTTATGAGACTTCTTTAAAATAATTTATCAATACTATATAATAACTTGAATTAAATAATAATTTTATATTTAATAAGTTTATAAATATTTTTAAACTTCATAAAGATGATAAATGAAGAATTCTATGAGAATGCATTGAAGACATTACAATTATTATCACCTGAAATAAAAGAATATTAGTTTCCGCATTTGAGCTTATTTACAGATGGAGATGAATTTTATTGTATTATTTATGATTATGAAAGAAAAATTGTGGTAGATGATAGATGAATCAAAGACATATTGTTGGATTCTGACTTATGCTATGGATAAAAGTTTAGCTGCTAATATTACATTATATAAATTAATTAATGCATAATAAAGGGGTGTAAATGTAGTATTATTTGTGGATGACCTTTAAGGACATTATAATAATAAATTAACAAAATTATTTTAGTCATATGGTGGAGTATTTTTGAATTTGAATCCTTTAAGTGCATTTAAAATTTATGGATAAGAATTCTTTAGAAGACATCATGAGAAAATGGCAGTAGCCGATCATAAAGCAATATTTGGTACATCAAACATAGAATCTCATTATGGAGGTGTAAAATGGGGAAAATAAACTTTTCATGATATTAATACATATACAGAAGGGAGACAACTATCTTATAATCTTTAAAAGCATTTTATGTATTTAGCTAGTTTATATAAAATTTAATTGAATCCACATAAACCAACTGAAGAGTTACTTTATACATTTAATGCATTTCCTCCGTATTATGAATTCTTTAAAACACATCCTCCATTTAATAGATAAATTTAAACATAAATTATTGAATCAATTAAAAATGCAAAAGATAATATTAAAATAGTTCAAGCTTATTATTATCCTGTTAGAATTTTTGAAAAGCATTTACGTGAAGCTATGGATAGAGGAGTAAAAGTAGAAATAATAACAGCTGATAAAAGAGATTAACCTGTTTATAGATATACATTCAATCGAATATTATTTTAAGGTGTTATTCATAGAAATCTTAAAGTTTATGAATTTCCTGAATAACTTTTACATATGAAAGGATATGTTTTCGATAATAAATAATTATTTTATGGTTCATTTAATAATGATAGATGGAGTTGGAAATTAAATCATGAATTTAATATTCTAACAGAAGATGAAAATGAAATTAAAATGTTTATGGATATATATAATGAAACTAAACTAAGAACTAGATAAATTGATTATAAAAAAACAGGTACTCCTCTCAGATGGATAAAAATGAAATTTTGGGAGTGGTTTATATATTAGAGTGAAATATTAATGAGTAAAAATTAAGGTTATCATCCAAATAAATATAAATATAATTACTTACTTAATACATGGGATGAAGGAATTGGTAATTATTTTTGAGTTTATTTTTATAAATTTTATTTATCAAATTTAATAATTACATTTTATATATATAATGTATTTCATTTAAATAAACTAAATTAATTAAACAATAAAAAATAAATAAAAAATATATGAAGTTAAGTAATACTCCTTAACCAAAATTATCAAGATTAGATGATTCAACATCTACAGACATACATAATATGTGTTATAGTAGAGTCAATATACTTACAAATGAAGTTGAAAAACTTACTGATGTACTTGGGACTGCTTCACAAGAAATGGAAGTTCTTAAAGAACATAATAGAGATTTATAAAACTAATTATAAGAAATGGAACATTCTAATTAAATTGTAAGTTTCTAAATTATGTTTAGTTAAATTAAGAATATGATAATATTTGTGATCGATTAAAATAGAAAAGTATTGAATCAGAAGAATATGCATTTTAAGTTTAAAAATTAACACTTTAAAAATAAGTAATTTCTTTAATAAAATCTTAGGAACTTAGTCAAAATCTTAATAAAGTTTTAAATGAATTAGAATAAACCAATTAAATTATTGAAATAAAAGACTAAGAAATATAAGCAGGCAAATAATAATTTATTGCAAAAACAGAAGAATTATAATAAAGTTTATAATAAACTTATCATTTGGATTAAGCCTTAAGAGTAATTAAAGAAGAAAAATTAAAATATATATATGAATATTAGTAACTCTAAAAAGTTGTTAATGAACAAACAGATTAAATAAATGAGTTATTAGAAATTAAAAATGCCTATGAATTATTAAAAATAGACTTAGATGTTCTTAGAGTCAATTATTCAAATCTTTTGAATTAAAAACTACAAGAAAAAAAAGAGCTTGAAGCTTAAATTGATGTATTACGTGATATGCATGGTTATACTATTGAAGATGCTGAGATGAAATTTGCTGTAAATTATTTAAATTATTATTTAGAATCAAATCAAGTAAGAAATAGATAATTACAAATAATTTTATGATGAATAATATAAGGCTGAAAGAATGAATTATGAATCAATAATAGATTAATTAAAAAATTAAGTGAATACTTTATAATTGTAATTACAAAATGCAGAATTGTTGATAACTACTCATAAATAAAATTTAATGAATCAAACTTAATTGACTATGTTTGAAAAAAATAATTAAGTCAGTGAATTGAGAGCTCAAAATTTTGTTTTATAAGAATCATTAAGAACAATGAGTAGAGAATTAAATGAATTAAAATAATAAATGGAAAATGGAAATATAATAAGATTTGATGATGATGTTAGAAAATAAATTGAATATAAATTAGATTTATGTTAATAAATGTAAAAAGAGAGAGATGAATTAAAAAAAGATAATGAGTAATTAAGAAGAGAGAATCGTTTATTAAAAGAAAATAATGAATTAATGTCTTAATAATTACAATAATAATTAAATGTTAGTTAATTGCCTTAATCAATATTGATAAGTTAAATTTAACCTTAAGGTAATTAATACAATAATATTTATAGTAATTCCTCCAGGATAGAAGATTAGTGATAGTGAAAAAATTAAATATCTTTTAAAGGCAGTTGATTAATTATAAAATGCCATAAAAGATAGAGATTTAGAAATAAATAAATTATCCTAGCTTGCTAGTACTAATGCAGGTTTATCTTAATTAATGAATAAACCTAAATCATAAATAAAATTTTATCATCTAAACTCAGAGGATATGAGTTCATTTGATAAATAATAATGATTTATATAATTTATAATTTATGAAGAAAAATTAGAAAAAGTCTTAAAGCACAAAACTTAAGGTTACCCCTTGTTCCAATGATCGTTATTATATGGATTAATCAATTGATGAAGAAGTCTATCTAAAATACAATTATAAAGTTGTGAGAGAAATGGGAAGAGGTGGTTATGGAGTTGTATATAAGGCGTAATAATAATTATAAAGATTTAGTCTCGGATTGAATTAAGGTCAAATTGATAAAACTAAAAAGTATGCTATCAAAGTTAATTTTTCAACTGTATCACCAGAATTGATATTTGCAGAAATTGGATTTTTAAAGTTAGTCTATGGTAAAGAGAATATGCCACAATTGGTGAATTTATTTTTGAAGGATTAAAAAATATACATCGTAATAGAATACTTTACATATAAACCATTCATAGTATATATTTGACTTAATAAGACATTTTTTGCAAACTTTGATATGATGCAAATAAGAAAATATCTTTTTGAGTTATTAAAGGCTTTGAATATTTTAAAACAGAATGGTATCTATCATAGAGATGTAAAACCTGGAAACTTTTTGTACAATCCAAAGACTAGTAAAGGAATTTTGATTGATTATGGGCTTAGTGAAATTGATAGATCATTTGTTGCAAAATTGATTGAAAAAGAAAAGGATTTGTCAAAGAAAGTATGAATTTGTTATATTATTATTAAGAATCCTCAATCAGATGAAGTCTAAGAGATAAGAAGAAAAATTAACTTATATAACGAAATTCAAAAAACAATTGATTAAATTGGATAAAATAAAATTGGAACAGAAAGTTTCATGCCATTAGAAAGCATTTTGCATTATCATGTATTAGAATAAAATTTATCAATTAGGATTAATCTTATGAAGTTGATATGTGGGCTGTTGGAGTTATATTTTTATAATTCTTAACCAAAAAATATAATTTATTTAGTAATGTCAGAATGATTAATAAACCAGTTGCTACTAAAAACTTTTTTTATGTTAATTTTATTTTAGAGTTAGCAAGTTTATTTGGATCAGAATAAGTAAGATAAATTTGCGATTTGTTAGGTAATATTTTGATTAATAATTTAGATTATGATTTAAAATTACCATCTGTTACCGCAACAAAACCTATGAAATGGAAATAAATAATAAATATGGAAGGTTTCGATGATAATGCTGAAGATTTATTATCAAAATTGCTATGTTTACACCCTAAATAGAGAATAAAAGTTGAAGACGCATTAAAACACCCTTTTTTTCAAACTTTAATATCAGAAGAAAAGCAAGCAGAAACAAAATTTTAATTTGAGTAAGAATTTAATGTTATTAAACAAACTGAAATATGAATTAAATATTATCTATATTGTATTAAAGAACTCTCAATCTTATTATTATTATTAACTTTTTTATATTTGATTTGTATTGTCTTATACTTCTTGTTATTATGAATTTTCTTATTGTAGCTATTCTTCTAATAGTTGATCTTTTATTTTGTCTTATTATTCTTACTCTATTTGCTCATTCTATTTTAATTATTCATCTAATTTTTATTATTCATCTTATTTTCTAAATTCATTATTATAATTACTTAATAACTGTTATTTTTAATGCTTTTTCTTTTGGTTTAGTAGATTGCAAAGGTATTTTTTATTGAACTTTAGAAGGATCTGAAGATTTGGCAAGAATATCATCTACTTTTTTTCTCAATTCAGTCATATCTTTAGGAACTTCTCTGGCATCTCGTACACTAATAAAATATAAATAATATAAATTTACATAATGAAATAAGAATCTTTTAAAAGAAACCATGGACTTTTGCTGACAACATTTTGATTGAATTTAAGCAATTACCAATCAAAACTTGCAGTAACTAAATCAGTTATGGCAAAACTAAAAACATTATTAATTTTAATAGCTTCTATTGCATCTTGATTAATATTGAATAAATTTGAAATAAGAGTTGATGCATCATGCATAGTGTCAGTACTATTTAGAAATATTTCTTATGGAGGAAATGAAAGAGTAAAATCTTTTGGATTATAAAATCTCACATATCCTAATAATTAATTTTCTTTAATTTAATCCTCTTTCTCTAATTTTTCAATAATAATAGTTTAATTATCAAAAATTCTTAAATTTTTTAATAATTAATCATTATGATAAACTTGACTTAGTTTTGTATTAAGTTTATATCTCAATCTTATAAGATTAGGTTATAATACAATTTACTTTAATTCCTCTAATTTTTAACATAACTTTTCCTTAAGTTCTTTGACATACCATTCTGAATTGATTTCCATATCAAATAAATCTTAATATTCAAATTCAATGGTATCAGAATATTTTGGAGAAAGACATCCCATTCCAACTTTAATTTTATATATTCCTTTAGTTGATGGTTTACCCATCATCAAACAAAAAGCTGCACGACCAATTGCTTAATTATTTTTTATTGTAGTAGTCAAATCTTTGATTTCTTCACCAAATCTATTGCTTTTCTTAACTATGAATGAATCAATATCTAAACCAAGAAAATCACTCATTTTCTCTTTTAATTCTTACATTGTTTTTCTATTATCTATTTATAATTCAAAACAATAATCAGGAGTCTCTAAAGGTAATAATTATTTTCTAGGATCATTAAAAGTGACTTTACATTTATGTTTTTCACATTCAAATTTCTAATCCCAATTTAATGGTAATACTGGATCATCTTATTGTTCTTCCAAATATAATGTCACATTTCTACCAATTTTAAGATCATATAGTGAATATTCTAATTAATGTTATTAATTTAATCTAAAAGAATAATTAGTAGCTCCATTAATCCAATTCTTTTATAGGATTATTTATTTATTTTTAGGTACTCCTAATCTTTGAGTTATAGCATCCATAAATTACTCAACAGTTTTATCATCTCGAATAAAAAATTTAATAGGTTTTAATTCATTTTCATCCAAAGACTCAATATCATTTCTCCAAATGCATAATTTTATTAACATGAGATGAGGATCATAATCTTCAAAAACTTCATGTGGAGCTTTAGTTTCTAAAAGAACAGATTTAAAATCATTAAAATACAATCCTTATAAAGTTTCATTATCTTTATTTGTAAATGTATCTTATGGAATATTATCTATATGGTTATAGAATCTTATTCTTGTATTTTCATCTTCTTCCTATACATTCAATTCTTACCTGAGTTATAATTTAAAATCTTTTAAAAGAGTATCCCTTGTTGTTTTTATAACAACATCTATAATTTTATAAAATGATCTAATTTTTAATTCCATTTCTTTTTCTTTTTTTTCTCTTTCCCATTTTTCTTCTCTTTCTTTTTATTCTTATAATTCTTTAGCAATAGCTTCTTTTAAATGTTCTTAAATTTGAGGTTTTTATGTACTTAATTCTTCACCAGCTCTTCTATACATCAAAAAATATGCACTAGTACCCATATTATATTTAGGATATTTATCTCCAAACATTGTTAGTATAGTCTTCCAAGATATTTTTGAGACTGTTGAATCATTAAAACAAAACCAATCTCCATTTTCAAATGATTTAATATATGCATAATAATGTCCACCTAATGCTCCTCCTGAATGAATCATTACTGAATATAATTCATATACATTTGGACCATTCTGTAAAAGTTCTAATATTTTTTATTTTATAGATAAATTATGAGATTCATTTTCAATTCTTTCTTAGATTTCTTTTTCATCTTAATTTTATGTTTTTTAACTACCTTATACTTCTTTAATAGTTTTAACAGTATTAGCAGTAGTACCTTCTCCTAAATCGCCTAGATTATCTAAATTACCTCCAAAAAGTAAATCATTATCAATATCATAAGCTTCATCAGCTGTTAAAATTAAATTAGGATTATTTGGTATAGTTTAAGATGTAAATTATGTTTAATTATTATTATTATTAGTTGATTTTAAACTTTAAAATTTTTACTAGAATTCTTAATGTGCTTCTAATAATTATTTTTTTTATTGTATTTTATCTTCTGGTGGTACTATTTAAGGAATATCATTAAAATGAACTTTTTAAACTCTTTCATCTGGAGAAGGTTTTCTATTTTTTCTTCTTAAAGGATCACTAAAACAACTTTATAATTTTTCTTATTCATATTATAATTTTAATTTCTCTCTTTCCTCTAATAAATCAGGATGATCTTCAATATGAATTTAATCATATGGCTTAAGAAAATTGTTCATATCTAAAACAAAAGGAAAAGACACATAATCATTAACCTTCTTTCTTTCAAATGTATTTAAATCTAATTCAAAACGATTTAATTGAATAGTAAGAATATCAGAGAGTGCTTTTAATCTAAATCCTTTTAGAGCATCTGTTTTATCATTGCAATTTTAACATGAATATTTATTATCACCTTCTAACTTCTCAGGTTTAATATAATAATACAGAGCTCTTTCTAAAGATTCGTTATAAACATTTAAAAAGTCACTTTTTACTGTAAGGGAAAGATCTAAGAAAACTTCATTTTATACACTCTCTTATTAACATTTAAGACATTAGACATATGATTATGAGTGAGATTGATATAAACGTGTGATGAAATCTTAATCATCTGATTATTAGATAGCATCAAATAATACTCTGCAAAATTCTTAAACATCATGTTATGCAAATGATTCTTATGGATCCCATTAAAATGATCTTACTAAATTTCTAGCATCTGTAGCTCTATTTTCATAACATTCTTGCATCTTAGTGAAGAGATATTATAATTGATAAGGAATGCAATCTTCTTTTTTAGGATGTTTAGTTTCATCATATTTCCATTTAAATAGGGCTTCTCTGAATTAACGAGTCATAAAGAGTGTTTGAAGAAGAGAATTCATGTAACATGTGTTACCCAAGTTATTTAAACCGCAATACATAATTATTTTAATATCATTCATATAGTGATGCTATATCACAAAGTGCCTACTTTAGCAATTATACTATACCAACTGATATTTGGATGAGTTGAGTAGTCTCTTTCCAATTAAGATGCCTTTACCCATCAATGATAAAGGAGTAGGTGGATTAGGAATCTATCCTATTATAGTAGAAAATAGATAATCAAAAACTGGTGCTATTGAAGTATCTCCAATTGAACTATATTACATTTATTAATATTATACCAAACTTCAAAATATTCCATCCCATATTTACGAGCCATTCCTATAGCTTCTGACTTTGATACACCTCCTTTATTACTAGCATATAAGTCAATCTTATTTCCAATCAAAACTTTAACTGGAATCTCAGTTTTCTCATTTTCAGTTATCCAATGTTCAATCTTTTCAAAAGTTTATCTTTTAGAAACTATTTTATTCAAATCTTATAATTACCATCAAACATATAAATGGCTGCTGTTGCTCCTAAACAAAAACGAAAGAATGTATCTGGACTACGATGTTTCCCTGGTATTTCCCAATATGCTATCTTATAAAGAGTGTCATCATCCATATAACCAACAGTCTTTATTACTTTTATTCTTATTTATACCTTCAAATTTAATTCATCTGATGCTTCCTATTCTATTATCTTACCAAAGGTTATTGCTAATACTTTAAATTTTATGATTTAATTTTACCATCTAAAAAGGTTGATTTTCCAACAGATTTCTCACCTTAACATACATAAGAATGTTACCTAAAATGACGATGCGGAACTTAAAATGATAGTCTTCTGAATCCATTTATTTTATTTATAAATATTTATAATGGCATCCATGTGAGGATTGAATAAAAAAATTAAAAATTAATGACTGACCAAGAAAAGAGTTGTGATATCAAAGTGATCTCTGAAGCCTAAAAAAATGTTTAAAAACAAAAAACTGGATTAAAGTAGATAAATCTTGATAATCTGGTATACAATAAACGAGAGAGAAAGTAAACTGGTTAACAAGGTTTTAACTTCTCTAACTTCTAGCACTTTAAGTTATGCCTTTAGTTGTTCAACATAAAATCACTCATCATAAGTAAGGTCGCAAAAAGAAGAATACTGAAATGCAGACCCCGCCAAGAGAAGAGGTATAACAAAACTAAGAACCTACTTTAATCAAATAATTACCAATATCCTGTGAATAATTGGTCTTCGAATCTGATAACTCTTCTGAATTTAATCCCAAAATCAAACCTAAGAGAACCAAAAAGTTTAGAAGGACTCACAAACATATAGACTTAGAAGACTCTTCTGATGAAGCTGAATATAAAACTAAGCTTATCCTTAGAAGAGTTAATAAGATTTTTAAAAAATCTTATGAATAAAAATAAATCCTAGCTTCTGGTAGTGAATAAGAAAATCTAGTTAAGGAACTATTTAAAAATATCTATATCAAGATATTTCAAGGTACAATTAAAAATATTATTCAAGATATTCCTGTGACTGCTGCTGAATTAAAACAATTAAATTAACCAGAATGTTCAACTGGATAAGAAGGTGATGGCAAATTATTGGAAGAAGAACCAAAATAAGATGATGAACCTTTAAGAATATTGACTGAAGATGGTACAGATTTTGAAACTAAACGTAATTTGAAATTATTAGGAATCGAAAATTAATAAATTTTATCAAAATTAGGAGAAATTAAATCTTATATTAATTGTGATATAAGATATTTTAATATAGACTTTCTAGTAGAGAAAGTAGGTGGATTTGATGGTATTTTTATAATGAATATTATGTTTAGTTGTTTTAATGGATCCTCCTTGGAGAATTAAAGGAGGATAATAGAATGATTCTTCTTTTATGTTTACTAATAGTAAATTCTCTTTAGATTATAATACTATGAGTAATTAAGAAATAATGGATATTAAAATAGAGAAATTGAGTAAGAAAGGATTTTTATTTTTATGGATCCTCAATACTTAACTAAATATTGCTTATGAAATGGCTAGTAAATGGGGATACGAAATAGTTGATTAAATTATTTGGGTGAAATTGAATCCATAAGGCAATAATGTTTATCTTTCTACAGGATATTACTTTATGCACTCATTTGAAATATGTCTGGTTGGGTATTACAATTATAATTTTATATAGTTATAAATGTCCTTCAGGAGAACATGTTGAATACCATTCAAAAATATCAAATAACATTATATTTAGTCCTGTTAGAAATAAATCTTAGAAACCAATTGAATTATATGAAATAATAGAATTAATGATGCCAGGTGCTAAGAAAGTAGAAATCTTTGCAAGAAATAATAATTTAAGACATGGATGGTTTTCAATTGGTAATTAACTTGGAGAAACCTTTTAAAAATGGTTAGTTTAAATAAGTTGTAATGTTTGTAGTATATCATTATAACCAGGTATTTGCAGATATAAATCTAAAAAAATAGCTAATTTTGATATCTGTTAAAATTGTTATAATAAAAAACTTAAGTATTTATTGTTATCTAATTTAGTGATGGAGAATTCACTGAAAATGAAATGTTTTTTTTAGCTAATAAAGCAGATGAAGAAGTATTACATTAATATCATCAATGTAATGGTTGTGATTAAAATCCAATATGGGGAGCTAGATTTGAATGCATTACTTGTGATAATTATGATTTCTGTGAAGCTTGTTTTGATAATCTATTAATTACAGGTGATCCTATTCATAAAGATCATGAATTCAAAGTTATAGAATTACCAACATTTGCTGAAGGTATACCATGTCATGATGCTAAATGTAATGGATGTTTTTAAAAACCTATCCTTGGAGTTTAATTTGTTTGTAAATAATGTACAAATTTTAGTTTATGTAAATTAATTTAACTTAATAATTTTTATAGGTTAAAATTGTTTCTTTACTAGAACATAATCTGAATTAAATGGACCAAGACATAAAGCTGATCATCGTTTTGAACCTATCTATGAAGTATAAAACTATCAGAAAAAAACATATAAATGTTAAGGTTGTGAATTAGATAAAGCTGGAAGTGTCTATAAATGTGAAAATTGTTTTGGTTTCTATTTCTGTGAAGAATGTTATGCACTTAAAAAAGATGATTGGAAATGTTATGTAGCTACCAGCCATAAAAATTATCACACATTTATCAAGATATGATATGATATAAATATATATTATCACATTTTAATATTTTTATTCCATATTCCCTATATAGTATTAATATTTCGATAGTAAACTCTAAATTTTATATCACATATTATTACCCTCTACCACATGCTTTCCCAAATTAAAAATTCCCATGAAATCTTGTATTATCACTAAATGTCCATATTCCATATCCATGATATAAACCATCCTAAAATTCTCCTTAATAGCTAATCCACTTATTTCCAATTGAATCTAAATTATTGTAATCAATAATCCCCTATTCTACATTTTCATTAAATAAATGTCCAAATCCATTAAAAGTATCATCTTTCCAAAATCCTTATCAATATTATTTTATTTATACCTCTATATAATTTTTTATCTCCTTTCTTTAAATTTCCATATCCTTATTTTTTTTCCTTATAAACTGATCCAAAATAAGTAGTATCATCTAAATTCAATGTTTTACTATTTGAAATTTATAAATTTTTAGGAGATTATTGAGAACTATTTGTACTACTATTTACAATCATAATCTTCTTTCCATTAGGAGAGGAACATACTTCATGAAATGAATTTGCATGCTTTTTTTCTCTTTTAAATGACTTATTTAAATTTATATTTGGTTTTAATGAGTAACAGTAAGAATTTGATTATTTCTCAAACATATATTATTATTCTAATGATTAAATTTTAGATGATTAAATTTAACATATTTTAATTTAATCATCTAATTAATTTCTTTATTGAATTAATTAATCATTTAGAGAAATAATTTACTTATCTTTAGATTCTAAATCAATTATAAAAGATTTATTTTGTTATTCTAAAACTAATAATTATAATTTTAGTTCTTTAACTTCTTAAAATTATTGTAATAATTTAAAATCTTGTATTTCTAATTTATCTTTCAATAAATCATTTTAATCTGTTAATTCTTCAATTTTAAATTGTAATTCTTTATAATCAACATTAAAATCATCTAAATGAGGTGATGTATTAGATATTCTAGAAATTGGAGAACAAGCAGTAACATTTAACTTAAAATTTAAGTTTTCTAAGGCTTTCTAATTTTTATTGAATATGATTTAAATTTACCTTAAGTACTCTTCTTTAAATTTGTAATCGATTTCTACTGTCAACTTCTCTTTCATCAAAAGTAAAATGCTTTTCTTAGTATTAAATATCATTTAAATAATTTTTGACTAAATTGACTAGTTCATCTGCCATTTAATTAATAAGTTCAAATTGATCGTTTGAAGATATTGTTTTAATTCCAAAACTGTTATCAAGTAATAAAGCATTGATAGTAAATAAATTATCATTGTCATGTAATAAATTGGTTGATTAGTTCATATGTTATCTATCTTTAATGCGAATTTAATTCTTATTATATGGAGAGAGCTAAGAAGATTCTCCAATTAGATCTTCTTAGACTTTTTCTGGAATTGGAATAGATCTCTATCTTCTATATTTTTATCCAATATTATTGGTAGTTCTACTCTACTTATATCATCTTATTACTTTTCTTAAGGTTCAGAGAATCTCACCTATTTATAACTGGTTTATGAATGATTATCATCTGGAATGAAATATGATATCACTTCTTCATCAGGAATACAGTTATCTCTCCAAGAATTAGGAGGAGATGAAAATGAGACAGCAAGTTTAGATTCTTTGAAAAATTATTCTTTTTAGTCTAAGGAAAGTGGACTTTCTAAATTTTTTAATATATTAATACATATGTCAATAGAAACAGTTTTACGAAAGATTGGCTACGGTGGTTTAAGTGTATGAGCTGTGAAATACCTAGTTCCAATAAATAACATACCTTGATCGTGCATTTATTAATTTAATATATGCCACCAAAAGGAAATCAAATTCACGTAAGCAACATACAAAGTTTGGCTAAAAATGAAGAAGTATAATAATTACTATCAAGTATTGGACCCTTAGTAGAATGGATACCAAAGTATAGAATTTATATAAATTTATAGACGAGAAGGAGAAGTTAAATTCTCATGTATAGCTGAATATTATGATGAATTTACAGCCCATATTGCAGTAGAAACATTAAATGGATATAAATTTTAAGGAAGAGAACTAAAAGTCAAATTGCATACAAATATAAGCACCTACAAAATATGTATGATTTCTTTATTATATGTTTTTTTATTACAGTACCTTATGCTATCGAGAAAGTGAATTATAAAACATCGAATACATATAGTATGAACCTACCTTTAGAAGAATTCTACACTACTCTTACAACCACTAAAAAATTGGCTATTCTCATTGATTTAAAACAAGCATTTTTTAATAAAGACGATCTGTTAGAAAAACTGCTTCGAGACAATCCTCGTATGACTGATTTCATCCTTAAAATTCAAAAAGATGTTATCAAAGAATTTAAAACAAGTAATATTAATTATTTACACCAAGATAATACTAATAATGATGATATTTCACATAATAATCACTATCAACAATTTCAGGTATATTCTAATTTATTTTTAGAATCACCAAAGATATTAATGAATCATATATTGAAAACTTTATTTGTTGGATAACATTCATTTATTAAATAATACTAAAACTCAACATAAAACAAAAGATGGCAATGATATGTGTATTAAAATCGCCTTTTTAATATTTTCTTTTTTCCTTCTCTCAAATTATTTATCAATTTACCATGTTATTATTATTTATATATACATGTATAGTAATATTAAAAAATCACATACATTCTTCATTTTTGTCTATTCTTTAAACTAGGCATCAATTAACACTTTGAAGCTAATAAAATCTTTATAAAATTACTTGTTTTTTTTTAACTTCTCTCACTTATACTAACTTTCTTATCCAAAGTTTGATTATTACTTGTTTAATTCGACTCTGGTTTTAATTTCATCATATTTGATAATTCTTTAGCTGATTATTATTAATCTGGTTTTTATTATTTATATTATGGAGTTGAAAATTAATTATTTTAAGGTTATTCAGTAAATTTTTAACAATAATCTGTCATAGTTTAATTTCCTTAATATTGATAATCTTAATTAATTGCTTCAACATCTAAATCACTTGAATATCTTTTCCTATTTTTTTCACAATTTTGAATAGGATCATATGATTTAAAAGATAATGTATCTAATTTAATTGAATTCAATTTTTCGATTAACTCAATCAACAATTTCAAAGTATTATCTAATAATAATGGCAATAAATTATTTTATAAATCCAATTAAATTGAATGGAATGAATTAAAGTGTTATTTTATCATCCAATTCAATTTCTCATTCATATCACTTATATAAAACAATTTTTTAAATCTGTTCTCTATACTTTCATAACTATCATCATATATATTTCATACCTATCTACCTTATTCTATTCCTTTTATTTTGGTTTATAATGTTAAAACTTAATTGGATATTTCACAAAGCTTTTATCACTACTGCTACTGCTGCTTCTATCTGATGATTATTCACTATCAATAGATTCAGAACGTTAGTTTTTTTCTTTTGTCTATGTTACTGGAGATTATAATTAGCTTTTCATAAAATCAATATCTGATTTTATTGAAGATAAATGAAACTTCAATCGATTGGATTCAACTTCTTTTCTTTTCTATGCATGTTACATTTCCATCATAAATAAGTCATTTTAAAATTCAAGATTTTTTAATTTTTTAAAGGCCGATTGACTTCTGTATGTATCACTATCGCACTCTTCAGTATTCAATGAGTTTAATTGAAATGGAAGTTTTTTTTATTTCTAAAACTAATTATCTTTTTATGTACTCTAGTTGTACTTTAATTTCCAAAATCGAAAGGAAATGGCATTTTTTTAGAATTAGTTAGAGGTTGTTCAGAAGTGAAGCTTTTCATAAATGGAGATAATTGATAAATTATATTTATAAATTTTATTTGTTTATTTAATTAATGGTGACTTTTATGTGTTATCATTGTGATCGTACTTTAACAAAACCTTAAGTTGATAAACATGTAAGAACTTAATGTAGAAAACCTCCATCTTTAATTTGTATTGATTGTAAAAAGACATTTACAAATGATCATGTTGAACATGTTTCTTGTTTGACTGAAAAACAATTGTATTGGGGACCATATGCTAATGTATCTATCTTATAAAAATATAAGGGGAAAAAGCCTTAATAAAAATAAAATAATCCATAACCATAGTTAGATAATACTCAATAGAAGGAACAAGAAAATACAAAAGAAATTGAACCAAAAAAAAATTGGAAGGGATGGAGAAAATCCATTGATGAATTTATTAAATAAAATGTATCAGATGAAGTTCGACTAAATGAAGTGAAGGAAAAATTAGTTTAGAGATTTTTATCAATATTTCCAGAATATGAAAAGGAATAGGCTGAACAATTATTTGATGTTGCAGTAAATAGATATTTTTTAATTTATATAGATTAAATAAAGCAACAAATATTAAGTTGAATATGTGGGTTTTATAGTAAAAAAAGTAAAATAAGAATGAAATTATGATTATATTTTTGTTATTAGAGTAATATATTTTAATTATAAATATTTATAAAAGAAATACTTAATAGATGTTGAAAAAGAAAGGATCAGAATAATTAGATATTATATTCGAAGCAGGAGAGGATCTATTAAGTTTATCTAAAAATCAAGTTATCATGATAAAAAACAACTCTATTAAATTGCCAATCATCAAACCAAGAACATTTTTATCATATAGTCTTGAATTTTGTGGGATAACTAATCTCAATTATAAGATGTTGAGATTTTAATCATTGGGCAGAGATATACGAGTAAAATGATCAAATAACAGTTCAAGCCTGAAACAAATATTATGACATCTTGTTTAGTCAAAGTAATCCACACAACAGAGTTTTCTTAGATGGTTTAAAATCCCCTAAAAACATCTTTTTAGAGTTTATTTAATAATGGTTCTAATAGTGATATCTTATTTTAAATAAATGATGAATAGGTATAGAATTTATTAAGACTAGCCTCTTCTTTTACATAAATGTATTTTGGCATGTAGATCTCCAAAATTTAATGGAATGTTTTCATCAAATATGATAGAGAACAATCAGAAATTAGTTAGAGTTGAATATAAAAAACCAGATTTATTTAAAGTGATGTTATAATGGATTTATTGTGGGTATTGGAAGGAAGTAATTTGATATAAATAATTTAGTTTCCAGTTGAAATAGAAGATACTTGTGATTTAATGTTATTGGCTGATGAATATTTGATAGCTGATTTGAAATAAAAATGTGAAGAAGATATAATATCAAAATTAAACAGCAATAACATAATGTAAATTTTATTATTTGTTGAAAAACATTCAAATATAATATCTTCAATGTTATTAGAGAAAACAAATTCAATGTTTATAGATGATTTTGATAAAATACATAAATAAAATAGTGATTTAGAAAAAGAGATAACAAAAGTACCAGGTTTAATGACAAAGTTGTTTTAGAATTTGCATTAGAAGAAGATAAGAAAAGGGAGAAAGGTGCATTTTGTAGTGGAAGATTTTGAAAATTAAGAATCAGATTCTGATGATTATGTTAGAAATTATACATAACATTTTTACTAATGATTATGAAATTATACAAATTTAGTACTTCACATATAATATTTGGAAATAAAGCAAGAGAAAGATTATTAAAAGGAGTGAGTGAAGTAAAAAAAGCTGGTGTTCTAACTTTAGGTCCTTAAGGTAGGAATGTAATAATAGAAAGTGAGACAGGAAATCATAGAAGTACAAAGGATGGTGTGACAGTAGTGAAGAATATAATGATGAATGATAGATTATAAGAAATGGGTGCTGCAATAATAAGATAAAGTAGTAGTTAGACAAATAAATATGCAGGAGATGGTACTACTACATCAGCATTAATTGCTGCAAACATATTTGAATTAGGATAGAGTTATGTATCAGCTGGTCATAATCCGATATATTTAACAAGAGGATTAAAAGAGGCTAGAAATAAAATATTAGAATATTTAGAGGAAATTAAAACAACTGAAATAGATGATTAATTATTATATAATGTTGCTAAGGTTTCTTGTAATTATGATGAAAATCTAACTAATATTGTATTTAAAGCAATAAAAGAAATAGGTATTAATGGAATTGTAACAATTGAACCTGGAGGCACTGAATCTATTATTTAGATTTAATAAGGAGTTTAAATACTAAGAGGATTTATGCATGAAAAATTTGCAGATAAAGGAACAACTAAATGTATTTTACATTATCCATTTATTCTGACATCAAAAGAACCTATTCTATAAATTAAATAAATATTGCCTATCTTAGAATTAATTAAGAATACAAGTTCACCATTATTTATTATTGCAAGTGATATAAGTGAAGAAGTCATGTCTTAATTGTTATATAATCATACTAAAGATATACTTAAAGTATGTGCCATAACAATACCTGGTATGGGTTAATCATTTAGTAATGATTTGATTGATGACTTTTCTATTCTTTGTAATTCTTAGTCTGTTGACAATATTTAGACAGTTAAACAATTATCATAATTAGGAAGAGCAGTTAAAATTGAAGTTACTAATACTGAAACTATGATTATTGGAACTTAACCTAATGAATAAGAAGTTGAAAATAGAAAATATTTAATAACAAATTAATAGGAAAGTGCAAAGAATTATAATATATAAACACTTAAAGAAAGATTAGCTAGATTTGATGGTAGAACAGCTATTATTTATATTGGAGGAAAGTCAGAAATAGAAATGCATGAAAATAGAGATAAATTAGTTGATTCATTGAATGCTACAAAATCTACTTTAAAAAATGGAGTACTTCCAGGAGGAGGAACAGCTTTATTACATGCTTCTAAATTATTAGATTATTTATCAATTGATGTTTAATATTAATTAGGAGTTTAATTATTATAATAAACTCTTAGATAACCTATTAAATAATTATGTAGAAATGCTGGAATTAATGACGGATAAATTATCAAAGCTCTATTGGAAGAAAATGATTACAATATAGGATTTGATCAAAGGAGATGTAAATAAAATATTTAATTGCATAAGCATGCATTGGTAATATGATTGATTTGGGAGTAATTGATAGTTTTGCTGTCGTAAAACATTCATTATTAGATGGAATAAGTCTTGGTTCTATGCTTCTTAGTACTGAAGCTGCCGTTGTTTTAGATAAGACTTATACTCCAACTGCATTGGATAAATATAAAAAAGAGGCATTTTGATTATAAATTTGCTATGTGTTATTTTACATATCTTTTATTAATTATTTTTAATGAGCAGAAGAGAATAGATAGAAAAAGGTAATTAACCAAATTATTTAAAGATAAGTAAGCATTACTTTCAAAACCATGGGTTAAGAATCATCCTATCTTTACATATGATCATATTGCAGAATTTTATGAAATGTTCATTCTTTATGCTGAACCCAGAACAAAGAAAGCAGATGTTAGAGATATTCTTGTCACAGCAAAGACACTTGGTCTCACTGACAAATTCCCTATTATTGCACATGCACTTGATGATTTAGCTTCTAGTTATGATGATGCAGTTGATTTTGAAACTTTCATTTCAGATTTGACAGCTAAATTAGTAATATTATTAAACTATAACTTAGGGTAATCCATTTGATCAAAAAGGTAGAGTTTAATTATTCAAACTTATTGATGTTGATGGAAAAGGAACTTTAGATAAAGGAGATTTATAAAAAATATCCGAAGAATTAAGATTCAATTTAAATGAAGAGGATATTTAAGAAATCATTCATAATGTTGCAGGATATGAAGCTGAAGATGTATCAGAAGAGAAATTTGAAAAATATTTGGGCAAAAGAGTCTAAAGAAGATAAGTTGAATAAGAAATCTATAGAAACAAATGAAAATAAATCAAAATAAAAAATATTACCAATATACCATATTTTATATTATAATTATAATATATCACTCTTACTTGTTTACAAGATATTTTAAAAGCACCTATGTTCCAAATCCAGTTGCTCCTGGAGGGTGAATTCCTTTATCTGCTTTACTGTCCATTGGCCCTGCAATATCAAGATGAGCAAATGGAGTCTATGATGCGAAGAATAAATACCTTTTCATCAATAAAGTGGAATAAAAAGGCTGCTGCTTTACTAGCCCCACAAACTTTAGACTTTCCAATATTACATAAATCTGCAAATTAACCTTTCATCATATCTTTATGTTCATCAGTCACAGGCATTCTCCAAAAGGGTTCTTATAACTCTTTTCCAATTTCTAGAATCTCTTATGATAAATTATCATTATTGCTAAATAATCCTCCAGTATTCTCTCCTAGAGCAGCTGCACAAGCACCTGTTAATGTTGATATTTCTAATATTGATGTTGGATTATATGTTGATTATGTCCAACTTAAACAATCAGCTAATACTAAACGTCCTTCTGCATCTGTATTATTTATTTCTACTGTTAATCCTTTATGACTTTTTAATATATTTGATGGTTTATATGATGTATTTGAGATTGCATTTTCAGCCATTCCCAAAGTCACTGTTACATTTACTTTTAATTTCATATCTACTGCTCCTTTAAAAGCAGCCAATACATTACAAGCACCTGATTTATCAAGATGCATTGTTTCCATATTACCATATGATTTTAAATGTAAACCACCTGTATCAAATGTAATTCCTTTACCAACTAAAGCATGTAATTATTGAGAATCTTTATTTCCTCGATATGTCAAGTTTATTAATGTAGGTGTATATATTGATCCTTATCCTACTGCATAAAAAAGATTTAATTAGCTTTCTTGTAATTATTTTCCTTCCAAAATTTTTATTTCAACATTTGGATTATCTTTAAATAGAGTTTTTACTTCATTTACAAAAAATTAAGGTGTTCCTTCCTATCTTGTATTTGCTAAATCTCTTGCATATAATTTTATTTAAGCTAATTGCACTAATTGTTAAAAGTAAGAATCCTCAAATAAGTTTTCTTAAACATGTAAATCAGATATATAACTATATTGATCATTGTTTTCATCACTTTACTATTTTTCTTATGCAACATTTCCCAATTATTTGTATTTATAATTAGCTTAGATCAATCCAGAAATCACTTAAGATGTTTCTTTTATGTTTAATTCATTTTAACTTAATACAACAGTTCCAAAACCATATTATCTTGCCTTTCTTGCTACTTCTCCTCCTGCATTATAACATGAACCCTTTACTCCAACTGCCAAACCAACTTTCTCTTCTCCAAATATAAAACTCTAGCCACCCTTCACTACATTATTGACTTTTAGTCTATGCAAGTGACGAGAAATCTATTATGAATTACATCTATAGAGATTCAAAAATAAGCTCTAAGCCCAATTTGAAGATTAAACTGGAGGCTTATAAGAATTAATACAAAGTTGCTTAACTTTCATTAATTAAATTCTTAGAAAATATATAACAAAGTTGATATGGCCGAGTTGGTCTAAGGCCTTAGATTTAAGCACCAACTCTAATCCACAAGAGCGCGAGTTAAAATCTCGCTGTCAACATCATTTTTTTCCTTTTTTAAAATACTTTTCTAAATTCACTAAAAAATCATTATGAAAAATAACTCAACTTTTCATTTGTGAAGATAATTATCTATTATCTTAATTAAAATTATCATATATTTATAAGAAGGATATTTTCAATTATCTTAAGTCTACACTTAAAATTTAACAAAAACTTAAAAATAAGTAATAAAATTCTTTTATGATTAATTGTTAATTTATAGCATATAAAATATATAGTCATAGTCAAAATCCTTTAATTTTTAAAGCATTGGCTCTTTTCATTATTTATTAATACTTATCTTGAATTCTGTTTAAGTAGACTAAAAAATTTATAATTCAAATTACAATTTATTTCATTATTACAATTTATTGTTTATGTGATTGTTGTACTATTAATCTAATCTTAAGAATTAGAACGAGATAATCTTTTCGAAGTTATTTAACCGTCTCTGTTACTTTAACATTTAACTTACTATTTCGATTCATTCTAATGCAATCTTGATTAGATTTATCGAGATTGATTTTTCAATCTTTTCTATTAACTTATTAGTGGTTAGAAAGTACATTCTTACTTCTCCTTTTCTTTTTTTTAAATTTCATGAACTTTTTTTTTAAATTATCTTAAATGATTAATAAATATAAATACTTTCTATCTTACATTAATAATCCTTATTAATATAATTCATGTCCTTTATTTTTACTTTCAAATAAACAATTCTTATGTTCTCCTTTGATTTCATAATCAAGCTTAGCAATATCCTACTTTAATTGTTTTTGCATAACTTTCAGTTGATTATGAAGATGGTCTTTTGATTTTGGAATAATGGTTTATACTTAAGATACAGATTCTTATTTTAATTTTTTATTAGAATTTTTAGAGAGATCAATTTTTTAAATTTATTTCTCAACAGTCTTCTTTTAATTTTATTTAGGTTTCTATTTTATTTTACTGTTTGATTTAGTTCTATCTATTTATTCTTTTATTTATTTTTTTCTTTACTCATACTTTTATTCAGCCTCTTAATCATTCATTTAATTGTAAGTTTTAGGTTAACAGATCTAAAGTGATTCGATATCCTTGAATAATGATTTATATTAAATTTATATAGGTGTTGATTCTTCAGTATATATATTTTTTTGAGGACTACTTACTGGATTAGCTATAGTTCATATAAGAAATTACTTATCGATTAGACTACTAAATTAGAATTTGAAATTTTTTTTTTTTATTTTGCTTCTTTGAGTTTATTGAGAGTATTTTATAAGTCAATAGCTTATTTAGATAAAACTTAAGGAATTTAGTCTTATTTTCTAATAGATAAAGCTGAAACGGGAGAAAAGGCAGAAGTTGGTATTTTTGTTAAAGGGGAATTAGACATAATATTAATTAAAATAACAGAATGAGCTTTAAACATTTTGCTGTATCATTTATAGGATGTGGAATAGGAGTTTTTGGAATGCACTTCCTATTGAGATCTATATTTGGAAACCCATAGCCATAATTTGAATAGTAATACCAATAAGCAGACCAAAATTAATAATAATAGTCCTAAAATCCATTTGATCAAGTTGTATCAAATATAAAGAATAAATAATGAAGAGTCTTATTATATTGTATTATAACAAAACAAAAAATATTGATATCTGTCGATTTGATTTTAAATGATGTCTAATCTAGATTAATCTATTTTGACATATCAATTCAACTTAATTTAATAAAGTGTTATAAATAAATTGAATATAATAATATCAATAGAAAGAATGGTTAAATAACATTGCTATTGTTAATTTATTTTATATTAATTTTTTTTTTATCTTTATGCAAGTTCCTTGTCGAACAAAAAACGTGAACAAATATTATAAAGTGATTGCTGAGGTAGGTTCTGGAACATATGGAAAAGTGTATAAAGCTAAATGTATAAAAACAGATGATTTTGTTGCATTGAAGAAAATTGATACAAAAGATCAAAAAATTATGGCTGAAGGTATTTGTTAATTGTTATAGATTATTTTAGGATTTCCAATAACAGCAATAAGAGAAATAAAATTGTTAAAGATTATGAATCATAAAAATATTCTCCGATTAAGAGAGATTATTGTGAGTAAAGCATCTCACAGAAATAATTTTAGAGGTTCAACATTTTTAGTTTTTGACTATTATGATCATGATTTTGCAGGACTTCATAGATAAAGAAATGTATTCACATTACCACAATTAAAATGCATTTTTAAGTAACTTTTAGAGGGTGTTAAATATTTACATGAAAGTAAGATTATACATCGAGATCTAAAATGCGCTAATATTTTAATGAATAACAAAGGTTAAGTAACATTAGCAGATTTTGGTTTAGCAAGAACATTATCAAATGTGAGTAATCCTAAATATACATACAAAGTAGTAACACTTTGGTATCGAGCACCAGAACTATTATTAGGATAAACTAACTATAATACTTAAATTGATATGTGGAGTCTTGGTTGTATATTCACTGAATTAATAACTGGAGATGTATTATTTAAAGGAGATATTGAATATCGTTAAATGGAAAAGATTTATGAATTATGTGGAAGTGCTAACGAATAGAATTGGCCTAATTGTATCAATCTAAGATAATGGGAAGAATTTAAACCTAGAAGAAATTATGAAAGACAATTAACTAAACATATAAAAGGACTTTGCTAAGCTTAAAATAAATAAATTGATTAAGTTACCCTAGATTTGATTGAATAATTATTAACACTAGATCCTAACAAACGATTAAACGCAACATAAGCTTTAAATCATGAATTCTTTAAATAAGATCCAAAACCTTGTTAACCTAATGAGATGCCTTAATTTGATAAAGAATTTCATGAAACTCTTTTGAAAAATGATATCAGACAATAACAAAATAGAATTGATAAATCTTAATTTAGACCCCCATAAAATCCTTCTTAAAAATTTCAAAAATTAATTAAAGATGAAAGAAATTAAGCCAAACCTCAAGTTTAGTAGCAATCTCCTTAGAGAGATAACAAAAATAATGTAGAATTAGATTATGCAGAATTATTAAAATATGAGATTGAAGACAAGAAGAAAGTAAAATTAAATTGAAAATGGGTTTATATATCAAAATTAGCATTGCTTGTAATATTGTTTACCCATTTCTATACAATTTTAAGCTTCTTAAGTTGTTAACATCTCTAAAGTTATTTTGTATTCTGTCTTTATCATTTTCTTTGAATCATATATATAATCATTCTCTACAGTCATATGAAATTCTTTATATAAATTAAAAAAACGATGGTTCATATTTTATTATGACTATTATATCTATAAAATTATTACATTCACTATTGGTTATTTAAAATAAAATGAGATAACATTGCTATTTTATCGTTTACTACTAATTCTTTTCAAAAATACCATGTAATAGAGATATTAAATTTATATCATCTGATTCTATTATTCTATCTTTAATTATGTTTTTGGTTTCATTTATTACATTCCTTATAGTTTTTAATATACTTATTTATCATCTTTAACTAAACACATGAATCCGCAACTTAAAATCAATATTCTTTGTTTTTAAGTATTTATCAATTTACATTTAAAAATGTTGAACTTTATATTGTTCATCTAATTTATTTCTAAAATCATTTTCTTAAATAATCCTTTATTTTCATATCTCTTTATTGGGTCTTATTTTAAAGAATTTGCTCTAGAATCCTTCTTTAAAATTAATGGTTAAATCTCAACAGGTGAAGTATTATTTAAATATATATTTTGCAAAATATTTGATTCAATAATAGATGATTATCTATATGAAACAGATTACTATTTATTTTGTTGTTCTTAAGATCTAATAGAATCAAATTAATCATCAGGTTATTTTTACAATTATTATTATAATTTTAGTTTATTGAACTTAAAAGGAACTATAATTTAAGAGCTATATAAACTATTTTAAGATCTAGTACTAATAGTATCTTCTTCTGTATTCTAATACGATGATTATTATTATTATTGAAAACAAATATAACTCTGTTAAATTTGTTATTCTTATTATATTTTAGAATGCTTAACAATTTGAATTGAATTTAATTCATTCTAAACTTTGTCTACAAGTTTGTACTATTTAATTGGTCCTCCAATATATTAAACTAATTCTTGTAAATTTTTGTTAGAATAGATAAAACATTTCATTTCAGGAGGCATTCTTACTACTCTACATTAAACACATCCATTATTGGAGCATAATTTACAATAAATAGTTTCTAACTTTTAAGACTCTGAGTAATGAAGAGTCAAACAATTAAGTTGTTCATAGTAGTCCATTAAAATTTTTAATTCTTCTTTTGATAAATCAAATATTTTAGAGGGAATACAAGCAGAAGAGGGAGTATTTAGTTTTAAATCGACTGCTCTATTTATAAAAAATATGTTTACTTTTTATAAATGTTTTTAACTATTTCAACATTATTTATGTAAATACCACTTAAAGTTTGTGGTAAGAGTGATGAATCAACAGAAAGTAACTTTTATCTAAAATAAATGAGAACAGCAACAACAAAAAAGTATATCATTAATTAATCCTTTTTGATATAGAGCATTTCCCATAATAGATAAGTACATTCTAAAGACATTTTATTTGCAAATAGTGTAAGAACCCATGGTGTAGCATATAATTCTGGGGAAAGTAAATTTTTATCCAAATAATCATATAATTAATAATCGTGAAATTTTAAAAGCAAATTTATCCATTAGAACGCTACTTATAATGATAAAAACTCTTCATCTTTAAAAAAGTTATTATCAAGTATGATTTTGCGGGCATATTCATAAACTTTCTCCCAGGAAAGTCCACTTTCGTTAAATACTGCAACAACTGCGAATATTTCATTCATTCCTTATTTATAACTAATATTTTCTTATTAACAAAAGAAAACAATTATTTTTTCAATAATGTTATGCATTTGAGGTTGTAGTAATTGAGAACGAGTTCTAGGAATATCCATTTTCAAAGTTCGATATTGTGGTAAGTCAAGTGATGTTTTATTTATTTCATTCAAAGAGGGATGGGGTAATTATGGTGAATAAGTGCCTAATAGAATCTAAATTTGAAATCATTTCTATACATCCCAAAAAAATGCTGTTTTTGATTACTCTATTTTATTTTGAAACATATAACTGAATATAAATTAAATAAATTATCATCAAAGAAAATCTGAACCTACTAATGTCCTTAATTAGCTATTTACATTAAGCATTCCTTGAAGTAGTGCTTTTGAACTTCCATTCATAAAAGATGGAAATTCCAATTTACCAGCGATTATCTTTTTATTTAATTCACCTTCATTATTCCCCTTAAAAGGAAATAATCCAGTTAATAATCTAAATAGAATAACTCCACATGCCCAAATATCAACTTTATTATCATAATTTTGTTTTTTTATTAATTCAGGAGCCATGTATTAATGAGTTCCACATTAAACAGACAATTCCTTATCAGTCTAAATTGAGTATCCAAAATCAATTAATTTAATTTTCATTGTCTATGGATCTATTAAAATATTTTCTAATTTTAGATCTCTATGTATAATTTATAAACTGTGTAAATATGCTATTGCATTAGTTAATTGCTTCCCAATGATTTTAACTTGATCTTCACTTAACCTTTTTATAGTTCTACCTTTCATATAATTGTCTAGAGTCATCGGTGAAAAATATTCCTGTATTAAATAGATACTCTATTGAGATTCTAATTTGTAATACAACTTTATTATATTCGGATGTGATAGTAATTATAAAATAAGTACTTCTTATTCTAGTAACTGAATATTGGCATTGTTTCCATATACCTTAATAGCAACAACAATGTCTAACATTTTGTGCCTTGCCATTTTTACTTCAGCAGTTGCCCCATGTCCAAGTACGTTTAAAATTTAATACATTTTAATATCTTGCAATTCAAAGGGGACTTCTTATAATTATGTGTCTTGTGTTCTTATGATTTCATTTTGAATGTTATTAGTGGAGGAAGTGGGAATAAATTATTATTTAAGAATCTATCTTAGATGACTACCAATAGAAGGTTATGCGGAAATTTTATTAGTGCTTGATTGTCTTTTAATTTAAAGTGGAGGGACAACATTAGAAGTTGTAGCAGCTGATCCTCTTTATTATCTATAATAATTTTATTTCATTTATTAATGATGAAAAGAAGTTATAACATTGATATAACTAATGATCGTATTAAATGATTGAAATTATATTTAGCTTTGTATGAATAATTGTAAAATAAGTAAACAACAAGAAGAAATTAAAAGTAAGCAGATAAGAGAATCAAAACATAACCTAGTGTAGATATGGAAAGAATTTATGATGCTTTAAATTTTTAAGAGGATCTTTAATTACCTTCAACAGCTACTAATAATAGTCTATTGAAATATATAAAAAAGTAAGAGTACGAGTAAGTATTATAATTAATTAAGAGTTCAATTAGTTAAAAATAAAAGAAGATAAACTTCAGTTTCTAGAGAGAATTCTGTTTGGCTAGGAGATTTACAAGAATCAGCTCCTAAAACTGAAGAAATCCCTGAAGTTCAAGTATGATTTTGGTTTCAACCGATGATTAGGGATTTTTAGATGGTCGAACAAGAGAATTAATGATAAGAACTAGTCATGAAAATAAAAAAAGAATATCAAATATAATGTTAAGATTAGAGGACAATTAAAAAGAATTAGTTTCAAGACATAAATCTTATGTAAATGAATTAAGATTTAGTTCATTTAATAAAGAAATTTAAAATTAAGAATTAGAGCATTACATTACTCTAGGTTAAATTGATAATCCAAATCTTAATATCAAATTAATTAATCAAAAAATATTGTAATCAGGAAGAAATTCCTCTTATCAAACTTAGAGGTAACCATTCAAATAATTAAATCTGCAGCAAGTTAAAGAAAAAATTATTTTAGATATGTTAAGAAAGGATGTTAATTGTCAATCAGATCCTTTAAGGATGCAATTTTTCAATTTATATCGCATCATTATGCAAAATAGAACGATAAAATCAAGAAAAGAAAAAGAGGTTATGGATTTGGTTAACAAAAGTGATTCTCAAAGAAAGGAGACTATTTATGAAAAAAGATAATTATGGAATTTAAATAGAATGAGATTTACTTTTAAAGAGAAAGAATCACATAGATCATTATTAAACAAAAGTTTAGATGATAGAATGAATAAAAATTAAATATAGAAAAGAAACTTCAAGAAATTTTTGGAGTATTTGAAATCTAGTTAAATATTTTTAAATTAGAACATGAAAGAATCATTAGCAAGATTAAGATAAAAGTTATTGGATCATTAAATTCTATAGATTAATGATCTAAGAGCTTTTGAACGAAATCCACTTCATAAATTATTAATGTAATACTTAAAATTGTGATATATGAATATCAATATAATATATCAAACTTAATATTTAGTAGATTAATGATTAGCTTTATCTTGTAAATAATTACTATGATGAACATCTATAAGCTTCTTTTAAAGATCAGATATTTGAGAAATCTTTTCAGCTAATTAATTGTTTTAGTTATCTATTTTTTTTTACGAAAACTCAATCTTTTATGCTAAATCTCTTTCAATTATATTTTTTTCAATTTAAAGCTATTTTACTTCTGATTCTAATTATTAAATTCTTTTTTCTTTAGCTCTTTAGTCTAATTCAAAAGATTATTTTAGATATTGTTCCTTCTACTTAACAGTGTGATCATATTCTTATTTTATTTTTTATTTCTCTTTATTTTACTTATCAGCTAAATGTCCCATTTTATGTTCTAAAACTTAAACAGATATCAATTATTATTTTTATGAAGTAATAAGTTCAGTTTATCTTTTAATCTCATCTTTAAGAATGTTAAGACTACTTTCTCTTTCAGAAAGTAAATCAATTGCAAAAGTAAATTCACTTTTCATTTCTTCCATTGCTTTTTATGTATAAGTAGTAAGTAATTCAATTTATTTTTCATTATTACTAATTTTAATTTCCAAATTTTAGATCAATAATTTCAATTATTAATTTTCTCTTATCATTTTTCTCATATCCATCTCACTCTTATGTAACAACCAAATATAATCTTATTATTCATCATCATTGCATAACTTATATGATTGAACCTCTTCTTCTGTCTAAATGATACCCCTATCATTATTATCACTGATTTATAATACTTAATATAAGTGGCAAGCATTTCTTTCATTAGCTCAATTAAACGATGAGGATCCAATCTTGTATATCCAAATTCATTTGATTTTCTATTCAATTTTTCATTTATGTCATTAAAATCCTAATTTATGATTATATATTTACATAATATCTATTATTGATTTCTAAAAATAATGCTTGTACTTTTTAAACTAAATCATTATATTTTTTTTCCATCTTCAAATAATCTTCTTTTTCAACATATTTTTCTGGATCAAAAGACATTTTATAATGTTTTGGAGATTTCTACTATTTAATTATTGATGGTTTTTCTGTCTGTGTGATGGATGATAAATTAGGTTTTTTTATTTTCTTTTAATCAGACATTAATATTATATAAATTGATGATTTGCAGACCAAGACTAATGAAAGAACAAAATGATTTATAAAAATTAAATGATCCCACCATGATTATTTAAGTTAATGAGAGTGATATCCTTATTTGGTATGTCTACTTATTTGGTCCAGAAGAAACTCCATTTGAGAATGGAATATTTAAAGTATATATAAATGATATCTCAAATTAGATTAAAGTTTCTATTCCACCTAATTATCCAGTTAAAGCACCTACACTTCATTTTCAAACGAGGATTTTTCATCCGAATGTTCATATGGACACAGGAGAAGTATGTCTAGAAGTGTTAACCTAAAAATGGGAGCCACGTTGGACAATTGAAAGTATCATAAGGGCTGTTAGACTTATGCTCTAAGAACCTAATCCAGACAGCCCTTTGAATTGCGACGCAGCAAATTTACTAAGAGCTAATGATTTAATTGGATACAAATCAATAGCTTAATATTATACTTCAAAATATGCTATTGATAAACATGAATATACGAATAAAGTAAATGCTAAAGAGAAGAAAAATTAATGAGTAAAAATTAGTGATGAATTGTAATCATGTTTATTAACATTTATAATAAAATATATAATCAATGTATGTACTTTTGAATTAGTATCTCAAAGGATTTCTGTTGTGATAAGCAACAATAAAATATAGTTAACAGTAAATTTACCTAAAGTTTTATTAAGAATATGTGTATTAAATTTAAAAGCATGTTATAGGTTGCATTTTAAAAGAATAGAAAATAAGAAAGTATTTTAAGAATATTCTGGGAAGATGAGCTTATTGAAAAGACATTAAATGGAACTATGATTGATAATACGAAATTAATAGAAATTAAAGCAAAGTTCTTCAATAAGTTAAAAAAATGATTATAAAACACTAATTTGTCTTGAGAAAAGGAATGATTTAACATGACAATTAACTATAATATAATAAAATATAAATTTAAGATTAATAAGAGGTTGTTGTTAAAGAGATTATAATAATTCAGTGTATTAGAAGCAATAATTTTGATTCAATATAATATCATACATGAAAGAAGTGAGTGAGAAATCTTCAATAGTTGAAGGTAAACGCAGACGTGTAATGTCTACGAATGGTGTGATGTCAGTAGTAACAAAGGAACTATTAAGAGAATAGAGAGCTTAAGTTCCTTAAGTTTAAAAGACAATGATTAGGAAGCAAGAAAAAAATAAAAAAGTTATAGAAAGGTAAAAATGTTAGAATGATACTGATAAACGAGTAAGAATAACAAAGGCAGCCTTAAAAGAATTAATACAAAGTCACTTCATTGTAGTAGATGATAATGAAGATGCAATGATCCAGAGCAGCAAGTATTAAATTATCCATTTTTTCATAGATAATTTAAGAACTCACTGGTTGGAAATAAAAAAATGACAAATTCATCATCAGATTCTCAATCTGATTCTTCATCATCATCTAGGTACATATCATTTTAAATTATCTCAAGTTTTTGAAGAAGAAGATTGTTGATTTTAAAATTCATCTATATATATATATATTATCAATCAAACATTAATGAAATTGACTCTCATTCCTAATAACATGATTTTACAAATTTAAAGTAATTCTAGATATATCCTGATTCATAATTTACTAGAATATCTAAAAAATTGATTATTGATTGAGGAAATATGAAAGTGTGGAAAATTAAAGAAAACTTCGATTAGAGTTTTTAAGCAAGAAAGATATTTGTGTATATTGGGAATATTTGAAGTAAGTGGAAAGTCTGTCATATTGTATATAGAAGATGCATATATATTGATTGATGAATGACCAATATATCAAATTACAAAAGTACAATATACAGATAAAGTATTTGAGTCTTTTCACTTAAAAACATTAAGAGCCAGAACATGATAAGTTTGAGAAAGATTAATTAGAAAAAGTGAAGAATTTATTCATCAACTTTTTTTATTTTAGTTATGGAATAGATTTATCGAATCAATCAAATTTTCAGCATAATCCTTTTTGATGGTATAATAATCTTTGTAAGATGTTCCCATATGAATTGTGATTGAAAATCATTTTAAGGTTATATTGGAATCTTCTAAATAACATTAAGGAATTCCAAATAAATTAAAAATTATTTGATCAGTCTAAGCTCTTTTTTTAAAGGAGGTTTTATTAAAAATGAAACTGGAATAGATGAAGATGGTAATGTTTCCAATTTTACTGAAACAGAACAATTACTTTATATGAGCAAGAGCAAAATAATTATTATTTAGAGGTAGTGTCTCACTATTTTGGTCATACAATATCTTTAATAATTCTATTGTTATCAATTAAAAAGATCCAAAGAAAGCACTCAATTAACAATTTTAAATTTTATTGTCTAATTATAACAAAATTCCTTTTATCAATTAAGTTAATGATGACTTTAATTTAATTAGATAGATATCTAACTGAAAATTGAAAATGATTAAATGACTATCTTTAAATTCAATTTCAAAAAACATTTTTAATAAGGATTGCAATCAATTAATTCTTAGAAAAAATAATTGAATAAGTTGATTTCTATTGTACTATAGGATCAAGATAGCACAACATCATTTGAATTAAATTTTATGATTGTTTAGATTAAACTAATATTGTTATAACCAAAGGTGCCAATGATTGCAATTTAAAAATGGATATTTTTGAAGAATTTAAAACCTAAAATCTGTATGCTGATTTAGATATTTCTAGTATTTCTAAATATTCATCCTTTTCTTTTCTATTTTAAATCAAAATGGAGACCATTTAAGATTAATATATAAAGTTGGTTAATAGGATTGTGATTTGAATCAATTTTATAAGAATATGGCAGAGGAAGAATAATTGAAAGAAGTTTTTCATAAAGTTTTGAGATTCCCTATTTCTGAAAGTCAATCTATGAAAATATTATGATTCTCGAAAGATCAATGAAAAAAATAGAAAATGTAAAATTATATTATATTTAAATTCACATAATTTAGTGTTCTTGTTACTTGGGACATTAATGTTTATTAACCAAATCATAAATTATTGTATAGTTAACTTTTTAATTAGAACTCCTCCTCATATTTTTACAATTGGATTTCAGAAATTAGTCTGATTAAATACTCTAGTAGTTATAGGTAGATAAAATAGAGATTTTGGAAATAGATTCTATATAATGGTCTTAATAATAAAGCTAAGTATGTACTGGTAGGTTTATAAGTGATGGTTGAAACTTTCATTTTAATTTTCGTTTAAGATGAAGAAAAATTACATTTTTTAAATGTTAAAACTGAAATTGTCAAATATGGATTTGGGAAATAGTGAGGCAATAAAAGAGTAGCGGTAACGATAATCTATATAAATAGATCATTAAATTATAATTATATGATTGTAATATATGTTTTATATATGTAAATGTACATTTGTCAGCAAGATAAAAATGTAATGATGATAGAATAGCTGGATTTGATTAGATTCATAATAGAGCTAAATTAGATTAATGTGATTATGATATATAAATTTTTTAATAATAAAGTTATCTATTTTAAATTATTTAGAACATAATAATTAATCAATCCTTTGGAATAGGTCCATCAATATCAGCAATCAAATACATGATACTGGCAATAGCAACAACATTATCATCCATATCTTGAGGATTCATCATCCACATAGAATCTCCAGCAGTATGATGATAGGTGAAATAGAAATCATGATTTTGATTATCAGCAATTCTAACATTTAACATAGGAGTTCCAGTTTATTCAGCTAAGATTCCACTATCAACAGATTCACCATCATTAGGATAGACACGTTCTGCTCCAATGCCAGTTAAATATTATTAAGCTAAATAGGTGACCAATTAACTAATAAAATAATAGAAATAATAATTACGTGAATTATTATCCAGCGGTAATTCCAAATCCATAAGGTTTAGTGGATCCAATGTCAGATTCGAATGCAATGATATGATTTTCTGTACCATGATGTTTAGCATAATGAGATGCTCCATTATTGTTTTATCCCATTTCTTCTCCACTCCAAGCAATAAATCTAATAGTTCTTTTAGGTTTAATTCCTAATTATTTTAAAATTCTTAAAGCTTCCAAACATACAATAACACCACCTCCATCATCATTAGCTCCAGTTTATGATCCAACATCCCATGAATCCCAATGACCACCCATTAATAAAATTTCATCTGGATATTTTGACCCTTTAATTTCTGCAAGTATATTATCACTTCTTGTTTGATATTATCTACCTCCTNTTTAAATTCACATAATTTAGTGTTCTTGTTACTTGGGACATTAATGTTTATTAACCAAATCATAAATTATTGTATAGTTAACTTTTTAATTAGAACTCCTCCTCATATTTTTACAATTGGATTTCAGAAATTAGTCTGATTAAATACTCTAGTAGTTATAGGTAGATAAAATAGAGATTTTGGAAATAGATTCTATATAATGGTCTTAATAATAAAGCTAAGTATGTACTGGTAGGTTTATAAGTGATGGTTGAAACTTTCATTTTAATTTTCGTTTAAGATGAAGAAAAATTACATTTTTTAAATGTTAAAACTGAAATTGTCAAATATGGATTTGGGAAATAGTGAGGCAATAAAAGAGTAGCGGTAACGATAATCTATATAAATAGATCATTAAATTATAATTATATGATTGTAATATATGTTTTATATATGTAAATGTACATTTGTCAGCAAGATAAAAATGTAATGATGATAGAATAGCTGGATTTGATTAGATTCATAATAGAGCTAAATTAGATTAATGTGATTATGATATATAAATTTTTTAATAATAAAGTTATCTATTTTAAATTATTTAGAACATAATAATTAATCAATCCTTTGGAATAGGTCCATCAATATCAGCAATCAAATACATGATACTGGCAATAGCAACAACATTATCATCCATATCTTGAGGATTCATCATCCACATAGAATCTCCAGCAGTATGATGATAGGTGAAATAGAAATCATGATTTTGATTATCAGCAATTCTAACATTTAACATAGGAGTTCCAGTTTATTCAGCTAAGATTCCACTATCAACAGATTCACCATCATTAGGATAGACACGTTCTGCTCCAATGCCAGTTAAATATTATTAAGCTAAATAGGTGACCAATTAACTAATAAAATAATAGAAATAATAATTACGTGAATTATTATCCAGCGGTAATTCCAAATCCATAAGGTTTAGTGGATCCAATGTCAGATTCGAATGCAATGATATGATTTTCTGTACCATGATGTTTAGCATAATGAGATGCTCCATTATTGTTTTATCCCATTTCTTCTCCACTCCAAGCAATAAATCTAATAGTTCTTTTAGGTTTAATTCCTAATTATTTTAAAATTCTTAAAGCTTCCAAACATACAATAACACCACCTCCATCATCATTAGCTCCAGTTTATGATCCAACATCCCATGAATCCCAATGACCACCCATTAATAAAATTTCATCTGGATATTTTGACCCTTTAATTTCTGCAAGTATATTATCACTTCTTGTTTGATATTATCTACCTCCTGTTTTTATTTCTACCCTAACAGTTTAACCTCTCTTTCTCATTCTATCTATCATATCAGCATCTTCAACTGTTATTGCAACTGCAGGTTTTTTAATATTTTAATAATCCGTCATTCCCTTTTTAACATTAAAATTTTAAATACTGTATGTGGTGATGCAATTGATACACTAGCGACGCTTCTTATCATTGTACCTATTGCTCCTGCTTTTTCTGCCATCACAGGTCCTCCATATCTATAAGCTACTGCTGATCCATATCCATTCCATTCAAAATTAAATAATACAATCTTTCCTTTTACATCCTTTCCTTCTAATTCCTCAAATGAATGAACAACTTCCACTTCTCCTATTGCTGTACCTGCTGGTGTCCATCCCAATCCTATCATATTCAATTTCTAAGGTATTGTTCTTGGATCCAATAATGTAACACTCTCTTCTCCTCTCTCCCAAGATGTGATATTCTCTAAACCCTCTTTCCACACATTATCAAATCCCATTCTCTCTATATCCGTATACAATGCATCTACTGCATCAGCCATATTCTCTGAACCCCACATTCTTGGACCAAATGTATCTACATAATATGCTAATCTATTATATGCTGAATTGTAATATTCAGATTAAGGATTCTTTACTTATTCTCTTATTTACTTTTATAAATATTAATCATATTTACCTAAATCACATTCTCAGTCACCTTATCCTTTACACTTCTTAGCATTACACCATTTACACTGAATATGAATACTAATAATATAATAAATTTCATATATAAAATATTATTCTAAGAATTAATTGACGTTAATTCAATACTTTTATTCAAAGAAATTCCAAATGGAATATTTTGAGTATTCTTAAGATTCCTCTCATTTAAGCATTTATTTATTATAATACACAGTATGATTTCAAATTCATCTAAAAGACAACGCTTAATTGAAGAAGGATAACAAAAGATCACTCTAAACAAGATAGTCAAATTTTCACATTATGAAACCATTTTCAAGTTTGTTTTCTTTCTTGTCTTAAGTAATTTTTAATCCATTAACTTATTTAGTTATTATCTCCTTATATAGTTTCGATATCATCTAATTTTAACAATTCCTTTAAGAAAAGAACTTTCGAAGATTCGATTGGAAGAATATCAAGTGGCTTTTTATTGGATTGATTCTAATACATGTATAAAATGATCTCTTACAAATAGATTACAAAAGAAATAAATAAGAAACTTGTTACAGGTTACGTGGAAAAAAAACTAGATTCAAAATATATAGGAATTGATCGATAATTAAGAGTACAAAAAATAGTGAAATGGATTTATGACACATTATATTACACTAGTGCTACACTCTTTGCCTTCTTTACCTTTCAAAATGAAAAATGGTTCCCTACAGAATTTGGTGGAACCAATTTTAAAGAAACTTTATATGACTTTCCAAATTTCCCAGATGTATTATGATACGTTAATTTTATTTTAGAATCCTTGGGTTCCAATATATTATATGGTTTAAGCATCAAGTCATGTGCATGCTTTATTACTATTAATGGTTTATGGTACTAAAATAGAACTTAAATATTGGGAATATTTATTACATCATTCTCTTGCTGTTAGTTTACTTTATTTTTCAACAATGTATAACTGTGAAAATATTGGGATTGTTGTTCTTTTACTTCATGATATAAGTGATATCTTTTTGGCTTTAGGGAGAACATATGGAGATATTGGTAAAAATAAGATATTCGTATATATTGGATTTTCATCTATATAAATATCTTGGTTATACACAAGAGTTTACGTTTTTCCAATAAAGATTTATGATTGTTTGTTAAACCATCCTTAATTTCTGCCATATTGGTAATGAAAATGTATTAATATTTTATAGGGAATAAACAAAGCATGCTTTTTATAATTAAATTGGTCTAATGGTTTTACTGTTTGGTATGCATGTTTATTGGACAATATTTATGGTTAAAGTAGGTTTGGGTATATTCTCATCTGGACGTTATAAGAATATTTACGATAATAGAGAAAACAAGTTAGATCATAATAAGAAAGAGAATTGAAAATTAATTTAATAATATTAATCAATTTTAAATGTCGAAATCAAAATATATTGTTTTATATGGTTCGTTAATTAAAGTGAAATGCCACCATTCATCAATATAATTAGAAAAATTGAGCATCACTTATAAAAGAGTGTCTCTATTATTTCTCTATTCAAATGTTAAATCACCACAATAAGTGTGTGATTTTACATCAAAGCAATCAAATCCTGTTCCCATATCAATAGTATTATCTTTAAATCTAATTATTATTTCATTTAATCTACCTATGATTCAAATAACATGGAATTAATTAATCGCCTGGTTGATAATTTTCTTATTAATTAGGATAGAAGGGAACTAAAGTTAAATCAACTGTTGATCCTCTGCTATGTCCAGACTTTTTTGCAATATATCCATGATCAAAAAGGAGATCTTTTTATTCATCAGGATAAAATTCCTTTTACATAGTAGTATCATTATTGAGACTCCATTAATAAAAATCATCCACTGCTTTTTGTGGACGATAACAATCCCAAACTTTTATCCTATAACCTAAAGCCATAGCCATTTATTAATTCTATGATAATTATTTCGCAGCTTCTATTGTTAATATACATTCTTCTGCTAAATACCCTCTTATAGGTCTTCCTACAAAATTATGATATTATGCATATCTCATGTCTTATAAGATTGTATTATCTATATCTCTCAAGCGAACAAAACCTTCAGGAATTTAGGAGTTGATCACTTATAGAAAAACTAATAAAAACATTTAATTAAATCATCAATATGAATCGTGCCTTTCGTATGAAATAAGTATAGAGTCCTAGGCTATTTTCTGATCATCCCCTTAAAACATTACCTGATGAAAGAACAACTACAGTTTTCAATTAATCTCGAAAAATGGAATCACAATCTAGTTATGATAATGTTAACAATATTCACTTATGAAAAAGGCTATTGAAAATAGGCTCTACCACATTGAACAATTAGCAGAATCATTAAAATCAACCACTTCTATAGAGCAAACTAGAATTCTCAGTAGTCTATAAGAGATTGCCAAAACTCTATAAACCATTTCTAAAACTGAGATTGAATTAAATTAAAAAAATAAACAATTAGATCATGTACCATGGAAAGTGTCATGTAAAAATAGACTATTTAAAAATTAAAAGATTAACAAGTATTATATTATAGGAATGTAAATTTAGAATCATTACAAAATGGATAATGAAGGATATCTAAAATAATTAAATCTCTCTTAACAAGATTAACATAAATTATGCAGAGATTTATTGTCATAAAAAAAAGTGGTAGAAGAACAATATAAGAAAATCAAGTTCTTAGAAAAAAGAATAGAAATGATGTTAGAGAAAAATCTATATGTAATTCTAATTTAGAATTGATTTAGTCTCACTCTGAAGAGTTAAGGAATACATTATCAGAATTGATTAGAGATAATGAATAACTTAAAAGAGATTTAGTAAAAAAAGAAAAAGAGAATGAAAGACTGAAAGATATAAATTCTAAATTAATTTAATAAAATAATAGATTAACTAAAAAATTGGATTCTTTAAAAACAAAAAAAATAGGAGTTAAAGAAATAATAACTGAAAATTAATAGATTTCAAATTATGCTTTTAATCCTAATACATTGCCAAATAATCTAGAATTTAGATTGAATGATCTTGATAATGATGATTGCGATTTTTTATTAGATTTAATTGAACATGGACCAGAAGTATTTACAAATTAAGTAGTTACATTAGATTCTATTTAATAAAAAAAGGATCTAATTAATTTAGTTGCATGTATCTTTTTTATTTTAAAATCGAATAGCTCAATTTATTAGTGCAAGAGAATTCTCTGAAAAAATTAATCAAATTATGAATGAATTTATAACTATGATCAGTTATAAAAGCATTCAAGATTTTCAAATTCATATTAGCAAAGCATTTAGATCTATTTTCGGAACAGAAATTGTTCATTTATGGATTATTGATGGAATGACATGTAGAGCTTAAACATATGATTGTAATGGAGTATAACATGTTGCCTTACTTACTGATGGAGTTTTTAGCTAATTAGTATTTGAAGATTATGGTATAAGAAGTCCATCAAAAAAATAAGAATTACTTTATATAACAGAATATAATGAAGTTTTTGGTAAAAATTTTCTCTTACTTCCTATAATGGGAAATAGTTCAAAACCTTGTGGTATATTAGAAGTAATCTATATTAATATTTATAGATATAAAATATATAAGAAAATTTATTCTTAGATTCACAATATTATGGATTATTGATTAATATGTTCAGTAAATCAGTTGTTTAAAGTATTTTGGATTTTGAAGCATTAGTTAAAGAACTAAATTATAGAGATCTATTTTATAGATGTTTCAATAGATTGATCTTATGTAATGATAAAGAACATTTTTGTTAAGCATTATAAGAATCTGCAATGTAAATATTTTAAATTGCACAAACTAAATTTTTGTTTATTGAAAATAATTAATTTTGGATATCTGGTAAAACTTATTAATTATAAGCTGGGTGTGCTTATTAAATATATTTAAAAGGTAAACCTCAAATCTTTACTTAAATAACAAGACAAGATCATTTTGATGAAAATACAGATATTTCTTCAATATTACCTATTTTTATTGCACCTATTTATTTAGGTGAAAAAGTTACAGCCATCTTACAATTTATATTAAAAAAAAAATAAATGATTGATAAACATCCATTTGGAAATTAAGCAAATATTGGATTCAGATTAGATACAATTGATTAAGATGCTCAAAAGTTTTATGAAATTGTTTAGAATGCGTACTAAATTGTATTTAGATGAAATTTATATACATTAATATTTTTTATGTATGTAAGTAATAATGAAATAAATAATTCACTTCTATTATTCTTGATTTTATTCAATCTAAGATAAAGAACCGAATTTTGATGGTTATCTAATAGATCTTTCTAAATTTCTTTAACTTTAATCAATCTATTATTGGGAATATATTTCTGATTAAGGATTTGAGAGATCTAAATTCCTCTTACTTGTGGGATCGAATTTAGATTATTATTTAGATGCAGGATCAATATTTTTTAAATTACGTTAAGAAGTTGGATCTTTATTAGAAAATACTTAATTTGAATAAACTTAAGATTATACTTAAGGATTAGATTAAAGTGAAGAAACTCTATTAGATTATCGATTAGATTGATAAGGTTCTTATTTATTTTTATTTTAATACATCTTTTAGAGTTTTTCAAGTTCTTCATCATAATTATAAATTGATGATCTTGAGAGATTACTTTTGGAAGTTTCAAATTTCCAAGCATTTTGTATTTCTTGGATTTCACTTCTAGATAAATCTAAATCATCAATAATTGTTCTTTGGTTTCTAATTTGATCAACTTATTAATCTGTTTTGAATTCAAATGGATCAATATTCAAATTAACATTTGCAAATTGAAATTTATATTCATGTTTATTATTTTAAATTTAAAATCTTTAATAATCTTCTTTCTTCTCTTATAATTTATTTTTTATAGGTATAATATCTTAGAGCTCCTTTTTTTAATTATATAAAGCAATCTCTAACTATTGATTTTATTCTAAAACCTTTTTTTTAGTAATGGCTTATAATTTTAATATTTCTTATTTTTAAACTTCTACCATTCCATTAAGAGCAGTATCTTTAAGCCTTTAATTATATTACTCTATTAAATTTTAATACTCTCCTCTATCATTATTATAATAATATTCCATTAAATAATCTAAATATTCCTTATATCTCTAATACTTAACTTATGTGAGATATTCTTATGCTATTTATTCATCCAAAGGATTATACTTTGTTTATAATTTCAATTCATATTATTACATCTTTTCATCCTATTCTCGTTTAAGTTCTTCCAATACTTCCTATCTAATCTATTACTTTGCTTCTCTCAATAAAATTTCAAATTCTTATTTTGTGATTACTTCTTCATTTACTCTATAATCTCTTTTTGGAATTTCTTAATTATACATCTACTATTTCATAAAAGATTAAGCATTTATTGAAATGTCAGATTTTGAACTACTTAATGATTAATTCAATTAGTTTTAACCCATTAATGATAGAATACTAATAGAACTATCAGGACTTGTTGGTTAATTAAATTTAATGATAGATTCATTTCTAGATTTGAATTCATTCTTTATTTTATTTACTTTATCAAAAGAATTAGAATTAATTGATTATTTCCATTCATCATAACTTAATAGTTTATCCATCAATTTTGGTTATTATCTCTATTAATTAGTGATGTAAATATTTTCATGATAACATTTCTAAATAAACCATTTGATTTTCTCTAATAATTCTTTAGCACTTGATGATCTAATTTTTATATTTTCAATCTTCTCTACATTATTACTTTCATCCATATATTTATAAATGAAATCAAGAATTAATGCAGATCTAATTAAAGCTGTAGCATCCTATTTAATTTCTTTTAATAAGCAACATTCAACAGGATAAATCTTTTCAAAATATTATAAAATAGTCTTTGTAACTATTTCATGATCACTAAACCTGCTTTAAGGATTTGTCTAAGGATCCAATATATAACATTTTCTAGTTGAGAAATGTATAATGTACAAAAAGTACATATCTTTGTAGGTCGTGATAGCTATGATTTGATCGATGATTGATTTAATATTGAAATTTTCTTTGAGATTCTTTAATTTATAACCTCTCTGAATAGGAATATTTTTGATTCGATCAAATTAAGGTAGTAATTCAAAATAGCACATTTGAAACTCAAGATGATAACTATTGTCCTTTGTATAGAAAGTTTCATAGTAATTAAGTAGAAAATTGATGTAATAATGTTAACAATCGTCACTGTATTTTAGAGCACTTCATAAGCTAAATAATGACACTTACAAAGACTTAAATGTCACATAATTGGAAGCTAATTGTAAGGAGATAACAATATTGCCAGGAATGGGTTTATCTACTTAGGAGAGTGGCTGAAATTGATTAAGTTTTAATAATTACATTATATAATGGATGTTTCAATAAATAACTTTAAGGGAGTAATGCTATGGTTATAAAGGAAGAGTAAATATTCTTATTAAATAATATAATTAGACCTTTCTTTTCTAGAGTATAACCTTATGATTAATGGGGTGCAGCTACAACAAATCCAGTTTTAGAAAGATATAAGAAATGGCTTGAAGAATTCAAATTACAAAATTAAATAAAAAAACATGCTAAAGAAGAGTAATAAGTATGTGAAGATGAAAAATTTTAAAGAGTGAGAGATTTAACCAAAAAAGATAGAGAGATGATAAAAAAATAAAGGAAGAATACAAATAAATAAATGAAATTATTAAGAAAGACTTATAAGATGGATAAAAAAATAAAATGTGAGGTTGTTATCTTAATTTCAAGAGTATAATTGACTGCCAAAAATCTAAAAAAAAATTAGAAGAGAGAGATACTATAAAATAATAAGAAGTTAAAAATGATAATAAAATGGATAAAAAATACTAAGGAGATCAAAAGAAAAAATACAAAACAAAACCTATTTGGGCGATGACTAAAGAAGTTATTAATTATATTTATATTATAAAAGGAAGAAGAATAACATATCAAATAAGATGAAAATTTAGTTTATGATTCTTATATTAATGATTTAGAAGTAGTATAAATCAATTAATAGAATAGGTAAATGTTATGTTAAAAGCATTACAATAAAGAGTTTCTGATATTAAAAAATAAGAAAATTGGAAAGATAAACTAGATTAAGAAGATATGAAACAAGAATAAAGAGAACCTGATATGTATAATACAATTAATCAATCTCTTGGAAAAATGATGAAGCCAAATCAGTACATTCTGAAAAAACTTAAAGTAAGAATTTAATTAATTAGATTCATTCAACTAATTAAGAAAGAAATAAGATTTAATTCAATAAGGAAAATAAGATTGGGATAAAACTACTTCTAATAGAAATCAAAAGTTTCATTAGAGGATCGTATTGCTAAACATGTTGCTGATGAAATTCTTAATCAATATAAAGTTATATATGGCTATATATTATGTTCATTCGAATTCATCTATTTGAAAAATTTTAGAAAGAAAAGCTTAAAAAACTTTATAAGAATAATCTATTCCAGGACCTGTCATTTCAGTTATTAAAAATGAAAAAGATCCAAATAACTTACCATATTTGCATCGTAATCCAGTTATTTGATAAATTTAATTTTATTTTAATATAAAAATGGAGTTTTTTGAGTAATTCAATAAAAAAGAGATTACAGAAGAGCAATTTGTTTAATAATTGCAAACTCTAACAACAAAAATATAAAAAAAAAGCACCTTGACCCCAGAATAAATTCTTTAAGTAAATTAATAAATTGAGAATATCGATGATTCATGTTTCAATTAAAATGTTGAATTATTCATCAAATTTGCTCTCTATATATCAAATAGAGGAGTCTATGAATTACTATATTAATTAAGTTGGGATAAAATCATATTTTAAAACGATAACAATGATGCTAATTTATTAGGATTATATATCATTAAACGTGTATATCATTCAGAGAATCATAAAGTCCTTATTATCTTTTTAAATGAGTAATATAAATATTGATAATTATTAGTATATTAAGATAACAAAAAACAGTTGAAAAGAAATTCGTGCTTCTAGAAATATTTGTATAAATACTTCCTAAAATAGAAAAAAGAGAAATTCATTTAGCAATTATTTTTCCTGTCATTCTAATTGTTATTAATGAAGGATTGTAGAAATTCTTGAAATATAAGTAACAGCAAATTTAAAATGATTTAAATGAAGATAATAAATTCACTAAATTGTACATGCAAAACTTTTAAAATTGGACTGTCTCCTTTTTTAAAAGAATTTTTGATTCAATCAAAAAATTTCCTGAAATTAAGGCATAATCTGTAGCAATACGTGAATTATATGGTATTGATACTAAATATGATTACTTTGATAATTAATTAAGTAGAAAACCTGAAGAACCAAAGTTATTAGTAAAACATTATATTTTGTTATTCTTATCAGACTTAATATAAGGGATTTTGGAAGCTGAATAATCTATGAAAGATTCAGCATTGGATTCAGAAGTAATATAGACATTATTGAATTAAACAAATTAAATAGTTTATGAGATTCATGATAATAAATTGGAAATAATAGAAAATTATATAAACTGGATAAGATTTAGTATTTAATTTGATTAAGAATTACCTTAACAATACTAACATTATTCAAATGAATAAACATATAATCCAGCATTTGTTTGTTATTTGACAAGAGAATTATTGATAAATAGTAATTTGGAGTAGATATTGACAGTGGATTATAAATTGAAAATTTTGATAGGTGTTTTATATGAATAAAAAAAGTTAGCAGCATTTAAATGTGATATTTAGAGTAAATTAATAGAATTGATTGTTAAATATTTAAATATGAGAGATATTTCAATAAAATTGAAAGCAGCTAATCATTTCACAACTTAATTTGATTAAATAATAATGTTAATAATGGAGAAAGCAGGTTCAGGATTATAGGATGAGAAACCATATATTTCTGCATGGAAATAAGCTTAAAATTCTTTTATACCAGAGGTTTGGACAAGAATATTAGAATAATGTATAAATAAATCTTAAAATTATGTTTTATTGTCACATTTAGTAAATAATTTTAGGAGTGCTCATTCTTAATTAGATAATGAAATATTATTGAAAAGTTACGATATTTTGATTCAAGCAATATTTAGGAAAGAATAAGGTAATATTGATGCAAAAGTATTATTATTTGATTCTGCAACACTTCTAATATAATAATTGGTAATAATTTGTATGACATTAATAGAATTTGAAGAAAGCAGATATTAAGAAGATATTTGAATAAAAATGGAAAAATTAATTAAAGAAATACTAAAAAGATTTATAGTAATCAATAGATTATTTGGAGACAAAAAAGAAAGAAGGAGATGAATAAAAATTAAAAGAGGATTAAGCATTTTAAGCAATATTGGGATAAGAGTAAAATTTAAAAATTGCTTATTATAATTTAAATAAGGTATTAGAGCAGTGATAAAGATGAATATATATATAAATATTAATCATTAATTCAAATAATTTAGATTATGATAATTAAAATTATGGATAGTTCATGTTTTATCAATTTTTATAATTAAATCTACTTTCTCCTAAAAACAATAGATCTTTATGAACTAATTAAGTGAAAATTTCAATAAGTTCATAAAAGAATATATTAGCTTAAGATCTCCAACAAGTTAATGATAAATAATTAATAGATATATAAATAAATATTCATTAATTTCGATAGGAATATAACTTAAACCATAACTATCAAGTGAATCTATTCGTTTATAATCAATTACTCATACATCAATAAGTAATTTAGACCATCCTCTTATGGATTTAGTTAAAAGAAGATTAAAATATTTCTCTTTCCTCTTTATTACTTTTGCCAATGATATCCAATTTTAAAGAAATATTTAACATACTCCTACTATTTTACCAATTATAAAAACTTATAAAATATCTACAGATATTTTGTAATAAAATTGAATAATATTTTATTTATATTAATAATTAATGAATTTTAATAAAATTTAATAATATCTATAAAATATTATATGAGATATACTATTCAAAAATAATTTATTATCTTATTCTCATAATTGTTCTTTGGTGTTACCTTCATAATCATAATTAGGAATCTAATCATCAATATGTTAAGCTAATGATACACTTAATGGCATATCTCCATATTAAAGAACTCTATCAGTAATATTAAAATTCTCTTAATCTTCAAGAACTGATTCTGTTCTATTAATTATTGCAGTACTTTTTGAATTTATTTTTCTATTCTTAATTTCTTATTTTTTAAAAAATACTGCTATCAACATAAATAATAATCCAGCAAATGAATAATACATTAATGTAAAAACAGCTACTTTTGCACTATATCTTTCCATAAGAAATCCATATATAGAAGGTGCTGGTAAAAAACCAAATAAATTTTAAAACATAGTAGTATTTGAATTAGCAAATGCTTTTAAATGTTTTGGTACTGATGATAACATGATACCCATTAATGGAGGTACAATAGCACCACCAAAAAATAATAGAAACCAAACACACATTGAACCAAACCAAAATGTTTCTGTAAATGGAACTGGAACAGCACTCAAACAGCATATAGCACTGTATAATACACATATATATAATGATTTAGTTCTTTCATAACCTCCTAGTTTCTAAGCTATTAATCCACCAGTTATACAACCAAATACGGGTGCTGTTATTGAAACTACAGCAAAAACTATATTAACTGTATTTTTATCTTAATGCATTTCACTTATCATATAATCAGTCATCCAAAATTATATTCCAGTTACTATAAAATACAATATACTTATCACTATTGTACAACACAACCATAATTTTATAGAATATAATTCTCTCATCATATGCCAATATGATTTATGTGAACCTGCACTTAACATTGATGAACCTAATTCTTCAATATTAACTGATATTTTATCCAATCTACTTCTTCTTGTTTTTTTTATCTCAAAATCTTTTGTACTTACAAAAAAAATAAAAAATATTGCACATGGAATTAACATAGCAATTTATGCATAAAATGCTAATTACCAAGTCCATATACTTGAAATTACACTTGATAATACATATCCTACAAATATTCCTAATGGAATCACTCCCTATAATATTGTTAACCATATTGTCTTTGAATCACCTCCAAAGTTATCTACCCAAACAGGAAAATAAATCATCATTGGTGCCTAAACATTATAATATTATTTTATTTACTTATGCACATCCTGTTAAAAATCTACTCAAATAAAACATCCAACTACTCTTATAATGTTGCGGAAACATTAATAAAGAACCCAACATTCCAAAATAACTAATTGTTACGATTAACTTTGCATTAAAATGTATAAATAGCTTTCCACCAAATAATCCAACTAATGATATACCTGCATAAACTAATGATCCTAAGTATCCCAATTCTTCAGCACTCAAATTCAAAGATGCTTCTATTTATTAAGTTGCTAAACAATATTATATTAACAAATTTTACCTGCAGGAATTATTCCATGATCTAAATTTATTAGAACATTTGTACTAAGAATCAGAGAAAATATCCATTTATACTTAATTTCCATTATTATTATTAACTAAAATTCAAATCACGTTATGAATTTCATTAAATCATTCTATGTCAATTATATAACCTCTAAATTTCTATACTATAATACCTTTCATAATATTATTAATATTTTATCTTCAAATATATAAAAATAGTTAAGAATTTTTCAAATCATTTTATAATTAAATCATTTTATATTTTAAAATAAATAATATTATTAAAAACAACAATTCTTTTATATAATGCTTAATCAAAATCTCATTAAATTTTATTCCAAACACCTCAAACTTTTTAATCAATTCAACTTTGAATATCAAATAAACCTTACTTGCATTACCAATCTGAGCTAATCATATAATGAATATTCGAATTTCTAATTCTTATCTAAAGTTTATAGGATGTAACAATTCTTTCTTTAATTTTATTTATATAAAATTATATTGCCTTAAATAACATCAAATTAACATTTAAAGAATAAAATAATAAGTTCTTTTAAGTAATTGCTGAATTGTTTCATATTATTAAATGAAATTCTTTTCAGAATTCAATATAAATTAAATAAGTTATTGATTAGAATTATATCAATAAATAATTTAAAAAAGCTCAATCAATCATTTGTAAATTAAGTTTTAAATGCTTATAGAATGAAAACATACGAACAAATTATAAAAAATTAGTATTTAGAAGAATTTAGTATTAATATTATTAATTTAAAATGGGAGATAAAAAGAAAAAGGGAGATCAAGTAGAAGATTTCTCAACAGAATAATTAAATAAATTATATAGGAAGAGATGCGAAATAAATGGAGTTCCTCTTTGCAAAATTTTGAAAGAAAGATTAGAAGCAGTTTGTTCAGAAGGAGAACACTTATAAAATGTAAAACTGTGGGAAGAAATGGGTCCTGTTGGAGTAAGAGGAATGATGGAATCATTTACTGAAATAGGCTATAAACATCTAAAACAATTAAGATTATGGAGAGTGAAATGTTAAGATGAAGGTGTCCGAACAATATGCATATACATAGATAAAGTTAGATTACTTGAAGTATTAGATCTTTTAGATAATTAAATTGGTGTTTTAGGTAATTAATATAGTAATTATAAGGATGTAAATTCTTAGCAGATATACTACATCCAAAATGTGAAAATAAATTAGTAAAACTGAAATTGGATCATAATCAAATAGGTTCAGAAGGATTAGCTGAACTTGCTAAAGGATTAGCTATGAATAATACTTTGGAAAGTTTAGCATTGAATTATTGTGGCATAGAAGCAGATGGAGCAAGATATCTTTAGGATATATTAGCAAATGTTAATAGCAAATTATACAAATTAAAGTTATGTGGAAATCGTCTTAAAAATGAAGGGGCATATGAATTATTTAGAGCATTAGAAATTAATAATACTTTAGAACGAATTAAACTTGCAGACAATTAATTTCATTCTGATCCTAGTGATTAAGCCTTAATTAATAAAATTCTATCCACTTTTGAATTAAATAAAACACTTGGATATTATGATCTTAAATTTAATTTACTTAGTGATGAAGGTATATATATAAATCAATATTATATTCAGATGCTACAAAAATAATTCCATTAATTGAAAAAAATAAATCTATCTTCTTTATTGAAATCTCAGATCAAATTTCAAAACCTCTGACTGATAAATTAAAATCACTAACAAAAAAGAGAAAACCAAAAAAGAAGAAGAAAGGTAAGAAGAAGAAATGAATAATTTATTAAAAAATTAATATGTATCATCTTAATTTTTTTTATTTCATAAAATATATCTATTTCTAAAGTTTTATATTATAAACGAGCTGCTGAGATCTTCCTTAATTTATAAAAATACTCTCTATAATTTTAATTTCAACATTTACTTTTTTCTTTCAATATTTTTCATAAGTTATGGTTTCTTCTAATATTTATTTAATTTGGATAAATAAAAGAAAAGTATTTTCTATATTATTTACTATTATCCTAGAAACTTAATGATTTATATTCTTAAATAGGTGGTAGAAATAATTTTTAATCATTTTGTTAAGGTAACTTTTTTTTATAATATTTCATAAATAGTATCAATAAACAAAATATCAGATAAATACAGCTTGTTTTTTCAAAGGAGTTTCTGATTGAGGTTATTATTATTATTATTATTATTATTATTGTTGCTATTTAGGATATTTTTATTTTTCTGCTTTTTCTATATCTATATTCATACAACATTCTTTATAGGTTTTATTGGAACCACAATTGCATTTTTTATTCTTTTTCTATTTCAATTAATATTTTTGAAGCTCTGCTTTCCTCATAGCTTCTTTTGCAACTTTTTCTGCTTCTTCTTATTCTTTTAAAGCTTGAAAATATTCTCTTTCTTCAGGATCCTCAAATTATTCAAAATCTTCATATTATTCAAAATTATCTTCAACTCCTAAAGGTGCTTATTAGAAAGTATCTAATATTCCTTCGAAAATATCTAATGGTATAGGTTCAGCTCTTTGATTACTGTCATCTCCTAACATTCTAACAGAACTATAATGTTCAGCAACATTTTCTATTAAATGATAGGCTAAATGAAGTGAATCTTTCTATAATTATTATAATCTATAATTTACTTCATTTAATGGTCTTTCATCTGTCATTGATTTTATAATCATAGATGGTCTTCCTTTCATATGTATAAAAAAATTGACATCTAATGCTTGAGAAAGAGCTTATAATTCTAAATTACCTCCCCATTCACCATCAGAAGACATCTCTTTTAAATATTAATTAAATGTCATATCATCTTCAATAAAGAGTCCAAAAAATTCTTAATTTTCTTCCATAGTTTAAACTGCTAATCTTCTTAATTATTTATGATATTTTTCATCCCCATGTAAGACATCTGCTATTGATCTAAAAAGACAATTTCCATCTCCTTCTACATCTCTAATCTAAAGTCCTAATTAATTCATCTCATCTTAAAACTCTTAAAAATGTTTAGCATAACCTTAATAATAATTTATTTATTTTTTATACCTTTGAAGGAACGAGCTTATCCTCTCTGTTTTTTTTATTATTTTTTTGTTTATCTTTATTATTGCTTCTCTTTCATCATTGACTAATGTTTTTCATATTTTTATTTGTTTTTCTTTTTTTACATAATTCTTTATTAATAAATTTAATGACTAAAATTTATTAAGGCACTTTACTTTTTTATAGAAGGATGCTTAAAACTATGATGAAAACATTTAATGGAGATCCAGAAATGTTTCATAGAGTAAGAATTGAATGCAGAAATAAAATTAAAGAAAATGCTAATGAGACTGATTAAATCAAGATTTAGAATCACATTTTTTTTGGAGAAGAAGCTAGAGAATTTTTAGAAAATCATTTAATATCAGGAAAATTAATGCCAAATGGAAGATATCGTTTTAAAGCATAACCTTAACATAGTATGAATGATCCTATAAAATAATGAATAATAAACTATTTTATTAATAAATTTAAGAACTTACTCAACTAGAATAACATTTATTTATAGATTTATTATAATTATATTACAATTTTAAAAAATCAAAGATTATAAAATAAAATAGTTGATGAAAAATTCATTCAAAAATTAAATGAATATAATAATTTATAAAAATGCAACAGTTGAGAAGTAGCCATTTTCAATTAGGGCAGACTAATCAAAGTAAAATCTTTATAACAATTTATTTAGAAAATCAATTCACATCTATTATGAAAATGAATTATCAAGGAGATTAGACAAATAATCAAGAATTTGGTGTTGGTGATAAGTTAAATTTAAAAGGAGTTCATTTTTAATTAGGAGAATCCAAACGTAAAATTAATATCATATAATATTATATAGCATCATATAATACAATATCTAAAACTGATTATTAAGGTAAATAAATAGGAGAACCTGCGACATTAAATTAAGAAAAAAAAAATGATTTACGAACTAATCATTTTGTATTAGGTCATCAAAATGTTTAATAAGTTTCTGTAACTAGAGCAACTTATAATGAAAAACCATTACAACCAGGTTTATAAAATGAATAAGATGGTATGATAATATTCTAAAAATAAGTTTAAAAAAATAAGATGAGATCACATCATCATAATTTCGCAGAAACAACTCATAAAATGATGTAGACAAATTATAATGAATAATATTAACCTTAATAATTTGAAATAAAATAAGATTTGGCTGAAAAAGCAAGATAATTAAGAGTTTCAAATATTTTCTTAGGGAAAGAGGTGTAATAATATAAACAAAATTATTAGAAACTACCAATGATAACAGCACAATAAGAATTTCATAATCTAAAAGAAGGAGGACCTTAAGCATCTTATAAACCAGGATTTTAATTAACACATGTTAATTTAGGAACAGCTAATCCAGACTATTAAACTATTAATTAAGAATATTTTTAAAGATAAGAAATAACTAAAGTTTCTTTAGCTGAGGAGAATAAATAAAATTTGAGAGGTAAACAATCAAATTATAATATATAGCATCTCATTTTATCTTAGGAAAAGATAATCAACCTTATTCATCAGAAACTATGGCTAATTTTAGACGATATTCAGAAGATAAAGTCAAATTTAGTAGTAACACACCAGCTTTATAAGGAAGTCATTTTACAATAGGTGATCCAAAATTCATGAATCATAAAACTTAAACTTATTATACAAGTACAATGAAAGCTCCATAATAATTATCAAATTCTCTAGCTCCAAATTAGTAGAAAGATAGAGGTTCCAATTTTAAAGTTGGAACTGAAAATATATATTATAATTCAGAAATGCAATCTAAGTATATTAAATTTAACTTTATTTTCAAGTTTTAAAAATACATTCGGATAACCTGCTTAATTATCAGATAAAGTATTGAAAGATTTAAGATCTTCACATTTTGGATTAAATGATAATAGTGGCAAAAATACATTTGTGACAACTAAATAAATGGAAGCACTTAATTAATTACAAGGATATCCTAATAAATTAGATCCAATTACTAGTGCTAATTTGAAGTATTCTCTATCTTATTATATTATAGATCACATCATTTTACATTAGGATAAAATAGAGAAGATTTTATATCATAAACTCATAATATTCATAGACCTTTGGATGGTAAACCAAATGTTTTAAATTTACAGTAAGCTAACAATTTAAGAAAAAATCATTTTGAATTGTCATGATATAATTATTTAAATTCGAATATATATTCATTTATTAACAGGTTTTGGTGTAAGTTATTATAATGTCTAATCAAAATGCACTCTTAATTTTTCTAGAGCATCATTTGTTTATAAAGCAAATTTCTCTTAAAATTTTTTCTATTCTTTCAAAATTCTATCTTCTTATTTCTATATTTTGGCTCTCTTTAATTAATCTTATGAATCTTATGCTAATTTTCTTTAATTTAATAATTCCTTTTCTAACAAAATAATTCTTTTTTGATGAACTTCTAAATCTGCTAATAATTCAGTTATTGTTTATTTCTAAAATTTATATCTTTTATTACATTATGAAAGTTCTCCTTTTTTAATTTTCGAACTTGTTCATCTGTTTCTATTAAATCATTACGATATTTCATAGCTTTCTTTTTCTAATCTCCATAGTCATCATCAGAACTATATTAATAATCTAATAGTGCTTTAGCGTGCTTTTCTAAATGCATTACAATTATTTTTAATTAAACAATAAAATATAATTATGTTTAAAATATATAAATAATTCAATAATCCATTTATAAATTTCAATTTTATTTCTTGTTCTTTTTAGATTTTTTGTTTCTCTTTTCTTATATCTTATTTCTCACATTCTCAAAATAATTATATTTCTCTCACTTTTCTTTATCAACTTTATATGTTGTATACTAAAGTTTCTTTTGCCTTTACCTTCTAACCTTTTTTAATATCTACTTTATTATTATTATTTTTTATTAGGCTTATTAAAATTATTAATATTAAGTTTTTTCTTGGCATTATTGTTTGAGCAGATTCTCTACTTTATTTTTTTTTCATTTTATTGCTATTCTTCTTTTTTTTTCTTGAGTTCTTTCTTATTTAATATCAACTAATTAAGTTAATCCTAATTCATTCAAAAAAAGTATCTAAAATATCTGTATATTTTTTTTGGTTATTTCTCTTTTTCTTTCTAATATTTTTTATTTTAATCTTCCATATTTACAACTAAATATTGATGCTTATTATATTTTTGTTCTCTTTTTTATATACAATTATTCTTTTAATTCATTCCTATTATCACTATTTATACATTTATACAGCTAACCTAAGAGAATGTTTTTCCTAAAATATTTATGCAATTAGTTTTTATCTTCTTGTTTTTAAAACTAATTACTACTCTTTTTTATATATACTGCTTATTTCTATCACAATTCCTTTCTTTTAATCCAATCTGATTTATTGATAATGATCAGATTTTTTCATTTATTTTTTAATTTCTTTATTTATTTTGATGGTTAAATAGCTTGCTTTTTCTCTTAATCTGGAATCTCTTCAACTTTAGCTTAATCTTATTTCATCTTTTATTTGGCACAATCATTTTTTTCACCTTTCATCTACATTTTTAGTCATATCAGTTTACTTATGTCTATTCTTAAACATTATATCATTAAAAAATTATTCAAAATCTTACTCTATTATTTTATCGGCTTGCTTTTTCTTATTTTGCACCCATATTAATATAAAATTTTAATCAATTGTTTTCTATCCTTTAGAACATCAAATATAAATTATTTACAATAATTAGGAAATAAACCCTTATTATATTAGTAAACTGTAAAATAGATTAATTATTCTCATCAAATAATTAGAGTAAAAAATTACTTAATTTTTTTGACTAGTGAGAATAAAAAACAAATAAATTATTGTCAAATACCAATCAAATCAAATTTAGATTATAAAATCATAGTAAAAATAATCTTGAAATCTTTAGATTGATATTTTATTTTTTATAAATATTTTTGTTTATAATATTTTAATTCTTATAAAATGAGGTCAATGTCTAAATTCCTCTTCATAAATGATCAATCCTATTTTTATAGTAATAAGACTTCAAAATACTATTAGGCACTGTTAGTATAAGGGTAGTATTCAAGGTTGCCATCCTTGTGACACGAGTTCGAGTCTCGTACAGCGCAAATTTTTTTAATATTTTTATCATTTTAAAATGGAATTTTTTTTACATTAGAATACTATTATTCCTCTTTCATTAATTGTTTTATTTTATTTCATCTTCTTCAATTACTTCTCACTTATTTCATGAAATATACAAACAACACAAGGCTGTAATAATAATTCAAAATGATTTTTTTTTAATAGTAAAAATTAAAAATATACAATATCTTTATAGAATTTCAATATTTTTATGTTAATATAGACTAGAAACAGTGTTCAGATAATAAACTATATCACAGTAAAAATTTAATACTTCCAAACAGACAAAGATTTTGAATAATATATTTGAAGTTAAATGTTAATTGAAAACAAAAGAAACAAAATTTTGAAAAAATTATCATAAATGTGCCAAATAGCCTTCTAGTAAGGTATATGCATATTTTATAAACGCAATTAAATGAATAAATATAGTATTAAAAAAACTCAAAGTAACTAATTTACTTTACAAAATGTTATTTGAATTCTAATCAATAGTTGATTGCAGACTAAATAATTTTTATCTTTATCTATAATGATAATAAATATAGTGAAGTATTAAATAAATATTATTAATTATTATAATTTTTATAATAATTATTATATATATTATAAAAAGATATTATGCCATAAATATATTACGTATTATAATAATTATTCATATCCTGTGGAAAATATCTTGAAATTATTATAATAAAAGATTCAAATTAATGTACGTAAAGCCAATATCTTCTCTCACACATGTCGGTAGATACTATGTGCGCATCATAAAGGACTTAAGTGTCATTAAACAGATTCAAGCTGGATCTACTGTGCTTGTTGGTGGATTTGGATTGTGTGGTATACCTGAATGCAGCATCAATGCTTTGAAAGAGGTAGGAACAAAAAATTTGACAGTCGTAAGTAACAACTGTGGAACAACTGATTTGGGATTAGGATTGCTTTTAAATAATGGATAATTAAAGAGAGTCATTGCATCATATGCAGGAGAGAATCACAACCTGGCCAAGTAATACTTTATTATTAACAATAGATAATACTTTGATGGTACTTTGGAATTGGAATTAGTACCTTAAGGAACATTGGCAGAGAAATTAAGAGCAGCAGGAGCTGGTATTCCTGCCTTTTATACACATACTGGTACAGATACAGTAGTTGAAAAGGGAGGCATTCCTATCAAATATCATAAAGGTGGTGAGAGTGTAGAAATTGCTTCTACTCCAAAACCTGTAAGATTTTGATTATTATAATTAGGTTGAATACTTTAATGGAAAGAAATACATAAGAGAAGATTCTATTTGGGGAGACTTTGCACTTATTAAAGCTAATATGGCTGACACAAATGGTAATCTTAAGTTTGTAGGAACTGCCAGAAACTTTAATTAAGATATGGTTAAGGCAGCTAAGGTTGTTATTGCTGAAGTTGATACAATTGTTCCCGTAGGAAGTTTTGGTTTTGATGAGGCCCATATTAATGGAATCTATGTTGATTATCTCTATTAAGGAAATAATTACTTAAAGACAGTTGAAAGACTTGTTTATGATTAAAGTGTTTATGATAAACATAAAGGTATAAAAGTGATAATAATTTGATAGATATCAAACCTTAAGGGAAATTAAATGCAACAAGAAATAGAATTGCTAAAAGAGCAGCATAAGAATTTAAAGATGGAATGTATGTGAATTTGGGTATTGGAATTCCTACTCTTATTCCTGCTTTCCTTGATAAAAGCATGACTATTCATTTTCATACAGAGATTGGAGCTATTGGAGTTGGACCTTATCCAAAATTAGGTTAAGAATTAGGAGATCTTTCAAATGCAGGAAAAGAATCATGTACTTTAAATCCAGGAGCAACTACTTTTGAAAGCAGTGAATCATTTGGTATAATCAGAGGAGGACATTTGGATATGACTGTTTTGGGAGCTATGTAAATTACAAAATAAGGTGATATTGCTAATTGGGTCATTCCTGGAAAAATGGTTAAGGGAATGGGAGGAGCAATGGATTTAGTTGCATCAGGATCTAAAGTACTTGTTGTTATGGAACATACAGCTAAAGGAGAAGTCAAATTTGTTAAAGAATTATAATATCCAGCTACAGGAATGAATAAAGTTAGTTAAGTAGTAACAGGTATCTTATTTATCAATCTATTTCATTAGATAAGGCAGTCTTCGTTAAAAGAGATGGATAATTAGTATTAACTGAAATTGCAAGCGATACTACTCTAGAATGGGTTAGAGCAAACACTGGTTTTGAATTAACTGTTGCAGATGATTTAAAATCCTTCTAAGTTTGATTCAATATTAAATTTATTATTATATTGAAATTCTCAAATTATATTATATCTCATATATTTGAGATAATCAATCATACAAAAATCTTAAATATTAAAGAAAGTCTGTTTGAATCAATATCTTCTATATATAAACTCCATAATCATTATGTCCTTTAATTAAATTACTCATATTATAATTCTCTATTCTTTTGTATCCTTACTTCACCTCATTTAATCCTACCATTTTATAACATTATTTAATTACCACAAAACTAATCTAATAATCTAAATGCATTATAAATCAACTTTATCACCATATCATTTTTACTATAAACATTGCAAATCCTACCTTCAACACAATTCCATCGTCTTTTTTAAACTTTTCTAGTATCTACTATACCACCTAAAATTAATATTTCATTTATTATTTAGTTATTATTAGAAATACTATCTAATTCCTTCATCATTTCATATATTACAATTGAACCTACCGAATGAGCTATAATGTTTAACTAACAATCTCCAAAAATCTTTTTTTCAATTACTAAATGTGCCAAGTATCTTCCAACTCGTTTAGCTTCTTAACAACATAGTTCAAATGGTGCACTTGTAAATGCTTTTAATCCATTTGTAACTGCTTCCAAAGGAGACTTTAATATAATTTATTTGATGGCTTCTTTTAATTTTTCTTTTATACTATTCTCTTCTTTAGGATTACTCCACTTCAATTCTATTAAATTATAATCTTTTAATCCTTCTAATATATTATTCTAAACGTCTATATCTGTAAATCCTGAAATGAATAAAGTTATTACAGAAGATTGCTCCAATTCTGGTGAACATCTTTCAAACTACATCCTCTCTGGAATTTCAATATTTTTTAGATAATCTCTTTATATCTCTTTCATATAATACTGTAATTAGTTTTTTTGATTCTAAATTTAGAAATCACTTATCATATAATATATCGCATTTCTTTAATAAAACTATTCTTAACTAAATTATTAAGATTGATCCTTTTTATCATATAACTAAATCCCAAATTATTCATCTTGAATTCTTACATATATATTTTAAACTGATTTCTATTTTTCTAATTATTTCATTATTTAATTTCTTATATCTCCTACTATATTCTCAAACTTTTTAATTAAATTACAATTAAAATACTTATAATATCCATCTTTCATTAAATTAATAATCTTCATTAAAATATTTCTTTTTACTGAACAATATTAAGAAAAATATAATTGATCATTTACAAAATGAGTACCATTTAAGAGTAAAAATAAATCAAGTTATAATTCTAAATTTTATTATTCAGTAATTGTGTTTTTCCAAAATAGATTAGCCGATTCAATTTCTTTACTATAGACTACTCTTAAGCTAATAAGAGTTTATTAGATATCATCTGAAAAATCAATTTTCGTTATTTCAGTATATTAAGATAATATATCTAAAATGTTTAACATTTCACTTGATTCCAAATTCATTTATAATAGTAAATAAAACAATTAGGATGCAAAATCTTTATTTTTTATTAAGAGCAATTCTTTTTTCTAAAAATATTGATTGAAAAGCTGTAAACTTTTCAATTATAATTCTTCACTAACTTTTTGATGCTTCATAAACACTTATAAAGAAGACTTAACTTTGAATAATTAATTTTCTAGTATTTTTTATGCATACCTTTAAATAATAACATTTGATAGTTAATAATTGTAAAAATTTTGTAATTCATCATGTAAATATTTATTATTTTAAACAAAAAAGTTTTGAATTAAATTCTTAACTTAAAATAAGGGAATTTAATTTTCTTTAATTATAGTACAAGTCTCCTCCAAAATTTAATTGTTCAATTCCTTTTAATAAAATTGTTTGATTTATTTTATCAACTTTTTATAAATTTCTTTATTTTTTCCTTTTGCTGCTTTTATTATTTATTCATATACTGCTGTGGAAATGTCTTAAAAATTTGTACAAAACTCTTCAATAATTGATTCCTAATGAAATTATCCCTTAATAAATTCTATAAATAATAAGGAGAGTTCATCAATTGCTTAATTTAGTTATTCATCATTGAATATTTTTATTTCATTTATTTAAATAAAATTAGACAATTTTTGCTCAATACTTTTTAAATTTATGATGCAGCATCCATGTTTTTCAGAATAAAATTCTTTACAAATTTTTACTATATCTATTTATTATGTGAATTAATATTTAGATAGGAAATCTTAAATATCCTTTAAGCATGTATTATTTAATGATATTGATTTTCTTTTTCTTGTTTCTAAATTGAATGATCCTTGAAACAATTAAGAGTATAATGTTGGATCCTCTGTTTAATAATTTTAAGCATTCTTAACTGATGCAAATTCAGGTTTAAATTTAGATGAAGCAATATTGAAAATTTCATATGCTGACTTTGTGATTGAAATGAAATTGTTAAATTTTTAAGGCAAAAACAATTAAGCTATTTCAATGTATGGATTCATAAATAATAGAAATTATATAATATTTTTATTTCATTTTTTTAAATTGAATAATTATTTTTTCTCCTTTATTTAACATTTCATTTTAAAGTACATTGATTTTTTACGTTTGTTTGTTCTCTTTCAGCTCACAGACTAATCAATTCTTAATTCAAAAATGTTATTTTATTAACTTTTTCGTAAATTAATCAATCTGTACTAGGATTAATTTCACATTCATTTTATTGAAACTGGATTTATTTTTAAATTGTTTCATTTGTAATTGCTTCTTCTTTTTTTAAAAATTAATTAAAGAATTATAAATTTTCAAGATCAAAAATTCTGAATCAATATGAGTTTAATAAGTTTGGAAATACTAAAAAACCAATATAAAAAACAACTATTTAAATAAATAATAAATTTTAAGGTTCCTAATTTTCTTTTTATTCCATATTCGAAGTGTTATTTAATAAACTTTTTTTCATTCTAAAAGTCTCTAGTAAAATATTTATATATATTTTTCATTAATTTCAGCTTGACTAAAAACTTCAACAACAAATACCATGATTTATCAAAAACTATTAATTATTAATTATTATCTATATTTCAATTATAATTTACAATAATTGTTCTTTCTTTCCTATTTTATAAAAAAAAATATTCTATTGACTATTGATTTAATTTTTATTTAAAAAACCAAATAATTTATATAAATAGATAGCAATTTATGATTCATTTTATTTATATTTTATTGCCATAATTAACTCCCCAAATTTCAATAGATGTCAACTAAATATAATTTTGAATAAATACATTAAGAAATTCTATATAAGGCTCAAATAAGTATCCCATTTCATATGTTTTATCACATTAATTATTTATTCTGTTTTTTGCATTTCTTTTAATGTTTTCATCAATCCATATTCTAAAATTACCATTACCATTTCCACCAAATCCTAGTCCATAAGGTTATTAAACTTAAAGATTAAATGATCTATTGTTAATATAGCCAAAACATTATTTAGAATTAGCATCAAATGTACTCATAAATAATTGATATATTGGTAACAAAGAAAAAAGAAAACTTTTTTCATCTCCAAAATAAAGAGATATTTAATCATTAGGATTATATAAAATTCCTATATTATTTAATAATTCTTTACCCATGGGATCCTTTTATCTTTTTCTAATAAAATGAGTTTCAATAGTTTCATCAATACTAATATAAGCTCCAAATACTTATTATTAAAATGTATCATTTTATGTTTCATCTTCTCTATTTCTAAACAAAAATAACAATGGCTACTAAGAATCAATGATAATTTCAGTAATATATTCTAAATCATCATTTATGACTGAGGAGGAGAATTTCAAATCTAATTAATTAATCTTATTGAAATCAGGAGAGCTCATTTGTAATAAGGCAAGTACTTGATGATTTAAAATAAAACTAGAAGAAGATAATTTTGGAATTCCATATTTTAAATAAGGATTAATAAATTTCTTAGTAAAGTATTACTTACACATTTTATTTGCATAAATCAATTATTATTTTGCTTATCCAATAAATTGATTAAATGGGATTGCTGATTTTTGTTCAAAAATAGAATTTGCTACACTTCTTGCTGCTGAATCGTTTCTTTAACTGTTTTTGATTTCTTTATTATAATGATACATATTTAAAAGTTCTTCAATAACTGTGCTATGAATAACTTACAGAAAATCTAAATTAGAAATTGTTATAAACCTATTGATTGATTCTTTTTAATTTTCAAGACAACCTAAACTAATCAATGCAAATAATTCAAATTTTTCTAAGACTCTAAAATTATAGTCACTTAAGTAATTTTCTTATTAATCTTTAAGTAAGAGTTCCACTGAAGTATTAATAAAAGTTTTTACATGTGATGACAAAATTAGTATAATCTATTTATTAATTTTAACATCTTTCTCTCATCCAATTATAAAATTTAATTGAAAAGTCTGGATTCTCTGGGAATTCTGGAATCATTGATTTCTAAGTAAGAAATCCGTTTCTATGTAATTAGGATATTTTTAATCACATAGAATCATGACATTTCAATAATTCAAAGTATACTTCAAGTATTTCAAGTTCTTAATCTGTGAATGCCACTTTTGTATGTTTCTTTATTGATTTAGATCCTCCCATAAATAATAATTATTTATATATTAAATATGAATTCTCAATCATCATCTGATCCACTCTCATCTTCATCAGAATCTTTTGTAGGTTTCTTTTTTGAAACTTTTTTAGTTCCCTTACCATCCTCCTTCTTTTTCTTTCTCTCATTTTTAATCTTTCCATATTTATCTTCATAGGTTCTATTAAAAATATATTAAGAAATGAGAACTTCTTTTCTTTTTCAAATATAGCCTTGTTATCTTTGTATTTTTATTCGTATAAATCAATTTTATCTTTTGGAAGTTGTTTGTACTATTCAGAGATGATTTTTGTGATATCGGTCATTTTCTTGCCAGGATGAGCATCTTTGACTTATTAGTACACCTCCTATTTGTAAATAAAGAATGCACATTAGGGTCTTTTTGGTGGAGCTTCCTAAACAAATTATTAATTTTATATATATACCTTTTTAGTATTATCTGTCATTTGTTTTATGCTAATGTATTTTGTTATTTAAATTGAGATTCAATACTTTTGTTTTTAATTAAAATTTCAATAAAATAAAATCCAAATTCATTTAGAATCAACCAATTAAAATGCAATACATGAACTTCTTAACAGTTCTTCTTACAAGTTTGACAATCCATATAAGATTTAGTTATTAATAATCCCATAAAGTTAAATCTCATTTTTATATTTAAATGCTGGTTGATATTCTTAAGTTGAATAAGAAATATTATTGAATAATAGAACTAAGTAGATTAAAACGAATTTGAATTCTAAAAACTATAAACTATCTTAACATGGTTAATGAAAAGAAGTTTTGAACATAAAAAATAATACAATTGTTTAAAATTTTATTTAATATATATATAGATTTTAAAAAGCTTAGAATTAATTTATTTTAAAATTAAAAAAAAATTAATTTCTTTTATAAATTGTTCTTATGTCTTAAATATAAACAAATATATAGAGTAATAAATAAAAAAAGAATGGGAATCAATGATATCCTAAGTTTTATTTAATAAAATACTAAATTTAAAGATTGTGTTTAATATTATGGTCATATAAAAATAATTATTTAATTTATTAATATTTAGATGAAAAAAAAAGAATGTGTAAAAGTGGTTGTAAGAGCGAGACCATTATCAAGTAAAGAAGTAAGGAAAATAAATTATATTAAGATAGAGGAAGGGAGAAGAAGAATAATAGATGTTGATACAACTAGAAAGGAAATAATAATTTAAAATATAAAAGGAGATGGTAATGAATCATAAAGAACATTTGTTTTTGATGAAGTATTTGATATGAATTCTCAATAAGAGTAAGTCTATAATAATACAGCTTTACCTATAGTTGAAAGTGTAATGGATGGGTAAATGAGAAATATATAATAATAGTTATAATGGAACAGTATTTGCTTATGGTTAAACTGGTACAGGTAAAACACATACGATGGAAGGTAAGAATGATCCGCCTCATGAAAGAGGTATAACTCCAAGAACTTTTGATCATATTATAAAAGTAATTGAAGGGACACCAAATATTCAATTCTTAGTTAGATGTTCTTATTTAGAATTGTATAATGAAGAAATTAGAGATTTATTAAGTCCGAATCATCTTTCGAAATTAGAATTAAGAGAGAAACCTGAATGTGGTATTTTTGTTAAGGATTTGTCTAAAATAGTTGTAAAATCTGTGGTTGAATTAAATGAATGGTTAAAAGCAGGAAGAGCCAATAGAAAGGTAGGTGAAACTAAAATGAATTAAGAATCTTCTAGATCTCATTCAATATTTACACTTACAATTGAATCTAGTGAATTAGATGTAGATTAATAGTAACATATTAAATCAGGAAAATTAAATCTGGTTGATTTAGCTGGTAGTGAAAGATAATCTAAAACATAAGCAGTTGGAGTAAGATTTGAAGAAGCTATTAATATAAATTTAAGTTTAACTACACTTGGTAATGTTATAACAGCATTGGTTGATGGAAAAAGTTAACATATTCCTTATAGAGATTCTAAACTAACTCGTTTATTATAAGATTCTTTAGGAGGTAATACTAAAACAGTTATGGTTGCTAATATTGGTCCAGCTGATTATAATTTTGATGAAACTATGTCTACTTTAAGATATGCAAGTAGAGCTAAGAAAATTCAAAATAATCCAAAAATTAATGAAGATCCAAAAGATACTATGATAAGAGAATTTTAAGAATAAATTAATAAATTAAAAGATTAATTAGCAAGAAAAGCGGGTGGTGTTGTAGGACCAAATGGATAGATTTAAAAAATTAAAGAAGAGGTTATTGAAGTTGAAGATGATGAAGAATTAACTGAGTTGTAGAAAAAAGCATAAAAGGAAAAAGCAGATTTAGAATAATAAATTATGTAATAGAGAAGATAAAGTACTTTATAAGAAGAAGAAAAAAAATAATTATAATTAAAATTAAAAGAAAAATCAAAATTAGAACATAATCTTAAAAAAGAATAAGAAAATATGCATAAGAAATTATAGGAATTATAAGAATAATTATTACATGGTGATAAAATGAAAGAGGAATCAAGATAAAAAGAAAAAGAGTTACTTAAAGCAAGAATGGAATTAGAAGAGAGATCATAATAAGCTAGAAGATAAGCAGAAGAATTAGCAAAAAAAGAAGCTATGTAAGTTGAATAAGAATAAAAATACAATTCAACTAAAGAAGAGATTGAAGCTAAAACTTAAAAATTAAATAATTTAATTTAAAAAATTAAAGAATTAAAAAGTTAAGCATAAGAATAAACTTAATTTAGATAAAGATAAAAGGAAGAATTAATTGAAGACAATAGAGAATCTTTAAGATAATTAAATTTAATGAATTTAATCATAGAACATTTTATACCAGAAGAAGAAGGTATATTATTATTATTATTTATTCTTTTAAATAGAAAAAAGATTGAAAGATAAATTAGAATTCTCAGAAGAATAAGATGATTGGGTTATTAAAGAATTTGAAGCAAATCCTTTAAAAAAACCAGCCTCTGCATTTTTCTTTAAAAGACCTATTTGTAATTTTTAAAAAATGGCAATCAGTTTTGGTGATGCTAATCCTAGATATAGACCAGAAAATATTTTATAGACTGATTTAGATCTACCTTAAAGAATGACTGAAGATTTCTCTCATGAACCTTCATAAAAAATATAAGAAGTATTGAATGTTGCTTTAAATGAAGATGAGGTAATAACAATTATTTATATTAATATTAGGAAGAACAATAAATGATATCAAATGAAAAGTAAGCCAATGTATACATTGAAGATCCATCTATAATAAATAAAGAAGCTATTTTAAATCCTCCTTCTAATCCCAATAAAGTTCGATTGTAATCAGCAATTAAAAAAAATGCTAGAAGACCATAAAGTGGGTTTAAAAAATGAAAATCTATTATAATGTTACATATATATATTTATTATTATTTCTGATTCTTCTAATTACATTATTTAATTAAAATAAATTTTAAGCATACTAAAAATATAAATCAACTTCTATGGATTAAGCTATTCTAATTAATGCAGAAAATGAGAATAATAAATAATTTGAGGAGGAACTATCTCTATCAATCAAATAAGAATAACATGAAAAATCAAATTAAAATTTATATTGTAATTTGTGCAGTTTATATCATCCTAAACTTTTGAATTACTCTACTCTCGAAAGAGAACTAAACATTTGCTAATTTTGTAATGATATAATTAATTCATTTTAAAAATAAAATATGAATTCGGAAACTTTTAAAAATTGTAAATACAGCTAAGAAATTGAAATATAAGTATTAAATTAAGGGAAATTTTATAATTTGAAATATGGTGAATGCAATATATGCACATCTCCTAATACTATTTTAATTAAAATTAACTATTGTAATCATTATTATTGTGATTAATGTTTAAGTATTTACATAAACTTAAATAATAATAATTGTAGAAAATTATAATGTCCTTTTTTGAATTGCACATATGAGATTAATGATTATATGATATTTTAATATTTACAGTATGATGATATTAAAAACTGGAGTAAATTTTCATATAATTAATTTTGTTATTAGAAAAAATGCAAAGCAAAGTTTATTTTGTAACCTTATAATAATTTGTAGCAATTAAATATTTTTTAATATAATAATCTCAATTAATGTGGAATGTGTAAACAAAAATTTTGTTCAATTTGTTGGACAAAACATGATGGAAAATGTGATTTTGATAAACTCTTTCTAAAATATATCAAAGAAAAAAAGATTTTAAAATGCCCTTATTGTTTTTCATTTACAGAACCAAACAATTGTTCTGAAAACAATGATCCATGCAGACAATATAAGGTAAATTGGTAATAATGTTATGTATGCAATCATTTATTTTGTTTGGATTGTAAAGGGCCTTTGCAACTGTTTGAATCAATCCCAAATTCAGAAACTTTGACCTGTATCTCTTGTAAAAAAAAAGAAAAAAATATTTTGTTTATATTTTCACGTGTTATTTCTCAATTATCATTTAAAGTGATATTAATTTTACTATTTTACATAGCTGTTATTTTCATTGTTGCATTTTTAGCATGTGGATTTATTATAGTATTAGGAATTTATATTGCATTACATTAGCTAATATAAGTAACGAAATGGGTTTTTAATCTTGTTAAAAATCGTGCTAGCCATTTTAATAATGGAATTTTAATAGCCTTTTCACCAATAATAATAATATTAATGCTGATATCCATAGTTATCCTTTATATAATTGGTTTCATCCCTCTCTTAATTTATAACATTAAACAATACTTTTATTTAGATGATTGATATATAGATATTAACTCATATTTTTTAATTGTTATTTATTATGAGTAACTAATATTATTAGGTTATTTTACAACCAAAATTTTTATTTAATTAAGATGATAAAATATAAAAAAAAACTAAATTATAAAAGACATATGGTTAAAGTTTTAAATATAATAATAGCTTAAATATCAATCATCCTTTAGTAGTTAAATATTTAGTTTTCAACTAATCTAATTCACTTTAAACATAAATATGTTTTTTATTTGTTTCATTCTACATAAGTCTTTTGTGAAGTTCGATGTTTTCTTATCTCAAGACATCAAGTTCCTTATTCATTTAATGAACTCTCAATTCATATTTACTTTCTGCATCAGCTATAGCTTGTTTAACTGATTGATCAAGTTTCTTTTAGTATTAATATTCTAATTCCTCCTTTTACCTTTATCTGACTAAATCTTCCATTTATTATTATTATAAGAAATTTTGTTTGTTCTACTCTAATCCAATTTATGCATCATTTGCCTATTTTAATGCTTATCTTGTAAGATCCATCTATTCATTTAATTATTAATGGAGTCTCTTTTCATTGCCTATACTTTACTCTAACTTTGTTTTATAAGTATTGATCGTTAGTAGCTATTATAAACATAAGATTGATTAAAATACATATTAAGTCTTCTCCTCCTTTAATTATTTCTTTTGATCTTTTAATCTTTAGTATTCTTCTTAATACCATTTTAGTTATTTAGCTTACTCCTCAAATTATTCTTTCATTTCTTTTGTTTTATCTTTGGTTGACTTAACTCCACTTTGTTCTTAAAATATAGATTAATATAATACTTTTAGTTGTTTTTGAAGTAGTAGATTTTGCTTAACCCTTAACTGAATTTGCTATTGATTTTTTTGCAGAAGGTTAACCTTGGGTTACAACAGTCTAATAATTTGATTATCTTATAGGTGAACAATTGACTAGATCTTCCTCATCTGATATTGAGATATTCACTAATTATTATGCATAGTCTTGTAGATTTTAAGTCATAAATAAGCTGTTATTTTTATTTAAATTATTATAATCATTCCTAAAAAACTATTTTTGTTACAAAAAGTACTTTACAATTCATTAGTTCAGATATCAAAATGCCTTAACTTAATTCAATTGTTTAATTATTTTTTATGATTATTAGTCTTAAACTAATAAATTTTTATAAATCAATAGACAAAATATTATATTTGATTTTTCTAAACTGCAAATTTTTTCAGAATTAATTTCAAACAAATAGAAATTCTTTGTCACTCTTTTTTACTTATTATTAGAACACAATATAATATCAAAAAAAATTCAGGAAAGAGAGGATGAAAATAAATTTATAAAATGTTTATTACTATTTAATAACTAACAAACTAAATCAAGATTATGAGTTTTATATTTTAGCTAATAGTTCTGATGTAGAAATAGTAAACACTATGTTCAAATAATCCTAATCTTTTATATCTATTGTATTTATTTCAGGTATTTATCGAGGAATCATTTTCTTCCATTACTCTTCTTTAAAGAATTAAGCTATTTTTTTAGTGCATTATTAATTTATTATGCTATCAAAGGATTTTAATAAATAATTGATGGCCCCTTTGACCACTTTATCAAGCTAAGTTTCACCTTACTTGCAATTAATTGATTTTATAGAAAAATCATCCAATTTTTCATTTTATAAAGAAACTTAATTATTGATTAATAATAAAATGGCCTTGAATTTTAATCCCNGATCGTTAGTAGCTATTATAAACATAAGATTGATTAAAATACATATTAAGTCTTCTCCTCCTTTAATTATTTCTTTTGATCTTTTAATCTTTAGTATTCTTCTTAATACCATTTTAGTTATTTAGCTTACTCCTCAAATTATTCTTTCATTTCTTTTGTTTTATCTTTGGTTGACTTAACTCCACTTTGTTCTTAAAATATAGATTAATATAATACTTTTAGTTGTTTTTGAAGTAGTAGATTTTGCTTAACCCTTAACTGAATTTGCTATTGATTTTTTTGCAGAAGGTTAACCTTGGGTTACAACAGTCTAATAATTTGATTATCTTATAGGTGAACAATTGACTAGATCTTCCTCATCTGATATTGAGATATTCACTAATTATTATGCATAGTCTTGTAGATTTTAAGTCATAAATAAGCTGTTATTTTTATTTAAATTATTATAATCATTCCTAAAAAACTATTTTTGTTACAAAAAGTACTTTACAATTCATTAGTTCAGATATCAAAATGCCTTAACTTAATTCAATTGTTTAATTATTTTTTATGATTATTAGTCTTAAACTAATAAATTTTTATAAATCAATAGACAAAATATTATATTTGATTTTTCTAAACTGCAAATTTTTTCAGAATTAATTTCAAACAAATAGAAATTCTTTGTCACTCTTTTTTACTTATTATTAGAACACAATATAATATCAAAAAAAATTCAGGAAAGAGAGGATGAAAATAAATTTATAAAATGTTTATTACTATTTAATAACTAACAAACTAAATCAAGATTATGAGTTTTATATTTTAGCTAATAGTTCTGATGTAGAAATAGTAAACACTATGTTCAAATAATCCTAATCTTTTATATCTATTGTATTTATTTCAGGTATTTATCGAGGAATCATTTTCTTCCATTACTCTTCTTTAAAGAATTAAGCTATTTTTTTAGTGCATTATTAATTTATTATGCTATCAAAGGATTTTAATAAATAATTGATGGCCCCTTTGACCACTTTATCAAGCTAAGTTTCACCTTACTTGCAATTAATTGATTTTATAGAAAAATCATCCAATTTTTCATTTTATAAAGAAACTTAATTATTGATTAATAATAAAATGGCCTTGAATTTTAATCCCTTGATTTCTAAATTGAATTGAGTTTCAAATTTATAATTAAGCAATGTTTCTATATTGGCATTTAAGGTTATTGTAAAATAATCTATGTAAAAATACGTAGTTATGGATTTAGGGGTTTAAGTAAATGTAAGTTAAATTAAGTCTTCATTAAAAATTAAATCTTGTATCTAAATATTATTCAGTATTAGCTTTCCAAGTCCGAAATTTATTTCCTAAATATCATAAAAAATTACATTTTTTATAGGAATAGTTTTTTGTTATTTGCCTATCTAGAAAAGAAAAGTGGTGGCAAGTAACTTTACTTCCGAATTAGAAAGAGAAATATCAACATTGATAGAATTTAAGCATGTAAATATCAGAAAAAAAAGCAATGAATTCTTCATAAATTTATTTTAGATTTTAATTTTTAGATAAATACATGATTTTTTAGAAAATATAAAATTTTATTTTACTTATAGAATGATGAATTATTTATTATAATTGATATTCATTATGGCATGCGTTATCTAGGATTTTATGCTTATTAAACATTATTTGGACCAACTAGTGTTTGTACTTTATTTTTCATATCAGTTAATTTTTACATTAAATATTCAGGAGTTTTTACATTTTATTATTAAGATTATCCTAATTAATTTTAATTTATTGAATATTAATTAACAGACATATATTGATTGAATTACTAATTATCAAGAGGATCATTATTATATTACTAAGGATCAGCAGCTCTTGTTGTTCTTGGATAAGGTACTTATTATGAAATCATCTATTATTATTATTATTATTATTATTATTATTATTATTGTTATTATTATTATTATTATTATTATTATTATTATTATTGTTATTATGACTGAGGTCTAACAGAGAGTTAAGATTACTATAATTGGTTCTGTTATAATTGCTATTATTATAAGGATAATTATTATAACTAAGATTACTATAATTAAGATTGATTGCTCATATAGCCTCCCAAGACAGGAGCTTGTCCATTAGTTAATTACTATTGAATTATTAATGAAATTTATTGATCTTGGACATATTTTTACCATTAGATTGCTATATAAATATATTATATATTATACTTGGATTTCTTTTAATTTTTTCAACCATTTTTAGGATGCCAGCATCTAATGAAAGAGGTTATCTTAACATATCTGCTATCTATAATAATTCTTAATCAGAAAGAGTGTTTTCTTATTAGGAATTCTGTAAAGAAGGATTACCTAAATAAGCTTGAATCCATTTATTAAGATATTGATCTTATTAAGTACTTCTACTAACTAGATGATAGTTTTCCCAAATGCTTTCTCCTCTCATTTTAACTAATTATTGGAGTACAACCTTTATTGTTTTAACACCTTATTCATCAACAGCAAAATTAGGATAAAGTTAAAACTCATTTAAATAATTATGAAATTTAAGAAGAAGTAATTCAATCTTAATATTACTATTCTATTCTATTTTAGCAGTTAATCTGGCTATACATTTAACAAGCAAACCTATCATTTTGGATGTATTGTTTCTACGTCTATGTTTAGTTAAAATATCGAATAAAATAGAAAACATAATATCTTAACTTGTGTTTTCTAAAATACGAAGGGTAGTTGAATTCAGTTATCTAACTGTTGTATCTCCATTTTCATGTTATGTTTTAATTTCATCTTCTGTTAATAGTCTTTACATAATTTCTTCTGTAAATCCACACAATAATTCGTATGATAATTAATTTACATAAGGTTTTAATTAATATAGTTTATTTAATGTTTATAAAAAGAATTATATGAATTAAGCAGGATAAGTATCCCTTTAAGTAAAAGTATTTTATAATTAAGTTTAAAAGCATCTACAAATTGCCTCAGCATTATCAACAAACAACTATTAATTTTATTATATATTTTGAGTAAGTAGATCACTCAATTACATTAAAGATTCTATTTTTTGAGAAGATTATTAACTCAATAGAAAATCTAAAATTTATAAAAAATACTATGATCTTGGATCTTTGTTTGATTATAATTACACCGTTCCTTATACAATTGGTTACTTACCTGTTTAGTACTATTATTATGATGCCAATTATTATTATTGTGGTTATTGAACTACTTGTTATTATTATGATTATGACTATTGTTAATAGGATTATTATTATTAAGTATATCTCCTAATAGTATTATCTCCAAATAAAGCAATCAATTCAGTTTGTAACTCTTTAGTAAAATATTAAGAGTATTCTGGGAAAAGATCTAAAGGAAAGAATTTAGTCAATTGACCTTAAATTATTAAATTGCATAATTAAACATCACATCTTTCCTTCTAATCTATCAAGAATGGATGTAAACTTTATGGATTGATGTTAAACAAAAGTAGAAGTCGTTTAATCATAATTTCAGCAGGGAATACAGATTAAAGATTTAAGATCAATTCTGGATGGACATCTACTCCAGCATAGATCAGTTCTCTAATCAAAGAAATAGTCACAATCTATTCTACTTCAGTTAGGATATATCTTGATTTTTAAATTGTTGAAAAGAAAGCATCCAAAAAACTGATCAAAGCATTTATTAATAATTGATTAGCAGAACATCCATAAATTTTAACAAGTACAAATTTAAGCAGTAAGTCACTTAATTCAATTATGTCTTGTTTTTATTCAGGATCATTCCAAACACTCATTAACTATTACAAACCTTTCATAATATCTTTATAATTATATGACATTAATTGATTGTAGAGATCCTCTCTTAAGCAAACATACAGATCACTAAAGGCACTATTTGGAAAACAATCATTTGCCCAACATTAGATTTAATCTGATTGTAATCTTAATAATTTCATTTCCTTGATACTAACACTTTTTGCTATCAAACTGTTACTGTCATGGAATATTGCCTTTTCCTTTTATTGTCTTAATGGAGTACTATCTTATGGTAAAGTTTTATGGGATTTTTAATGTAACGATTTCTTTGGTGTTCTTTCATTTCTTTATTTTGGTTCTTGCGATGTGTTCAAATCACTTTGTAAATCTTTTGTTGTCAAATTTCTCTTCATATTTCTTATATCTTGTTATTACAACTATTATTATTGTTATTTGCCTTTAGGTGTTTTACCAGTTCTTTTTGAGGTGTCTTCAATTTCAGTCATTCCAAATTTTGCAAAAAATTGTTTAACTTATTAGACAACAGCTGGTTTTAAATCTTTCATTTAATTTAAGAATGGATCAATTGCAACATCTTCAACCATTCTTTCGCAAACCTATTCCGCTGCTTATCTAACTTCTTTGACTCTATCACAAAGACAATTAATCAATGGCAAAATAAATGGTTTATAATCCATTTTAAGTAAAGCTTCAATATATTTCATTATGAATAATAATACTTCTTATTTCAATTCAATAGATTCCATTTGTAAATAAGGTGGCATTTATAGAATTACTTGATCAATACCTATAGCTAGACAAAATTTATCTAAACTAGCAACAACATCCTATCTTACTAAGACTTATTTATCGCTTAGTATTGAGATTAGTGGTTAAATTAATTATTTTCCTGATGATTTAAAGTCTTTTCCGCAAGCTTCAGCAACTCTGCCTACGATTTATACAATAGGTCTTACTAATTATTTATTGTTATCATTTAATCTTTGTTTCAACATATTGATCAAATCATTTAATCCATTAATTTAGATTCTATTGTTATTATGTGTCAATATTTTATCTAATTCTTCAATTCCTTCCTTTCTCTTATTCCATTAAACATCTGCCATTTTTTTTAAGACTGATTATAACTAATTTGAAATGTCAGTCCTTGGTAAATTATCATTAAGAGATGAAATCGTTGATTACATAATTGATTAAGAAAGTGGTTAAGATTGTATAACCCCACATTCCTTTGCAGCTTCTCCTGTAAAAGTTATAGTTGGTTCATAAGATGTTAAGACAGTTATTTTTTCGAATTCAGCATTAAGTGTTTTCATTATAGGAGGTTATACATCAGTTAAGAATTGTTGTAATTCTTAACCAATATACTTGTAAATAGTTTTGAACAATTCTACACACGCATTTTTTATTATTGCATTTGTTGATTATAATTATTCTTTTCCAAAATCTACAATTTCTTTGGTTGGTACATTACGAATTGTAACAATATCAATGATTTTTGAAATGTTGTTAATGACTTCTCCTATCTTTTATGGAGGTACTACTACAACTTTTCCACTATCTTTGTCTTCTTTAGGAACAGCTTGAGTCATTAAGTATAATACAATATATTTAGGATTAACACATTCACAACATCCTTTTAAGATAATGTATATGTCTTCTCTAAATTTAGAATCGGTCATTTTTTCAACCAATAGTTTGCATAAAGGTTAAAAAGATTTCTGTGTAAATGGCTTAGGATCTAAACCATTAGCATATATTAAAATAGCAAATAGTTCTTTATTAATTGAAAGATTGGCTTCTTTCCAATCCTTTAATTTGATTTTTAAGTAATTTAAAATATCTTCAAAATGATTTTGCATAGTGTCAGTTTCATTTTCTAACATTTTAATAGCTTCAGCCTTCAATTTAGCCATACCATTAATATTTTCAAAAAATAGATCATCAATTCCATAACTTCTTAGTAAATTTTCTAATTGATCAACACTTTATTCTGGTTGTTCTGTGATTACAATAGTACTTTTTTAAGAAAGAGGAGGTTTTTTAGCATTTCCTTATTATGTAGAATTATTTTGAATAGTAGATTATTGAATTTAGGAAGCTGATTATTATTCTTTTGTTTATGGAGGTTATTTTTTAATTTATTCTTTTTTTTTTTCATCTTCAATTTGACTAGAAATTTCATTGATTTTAGTCAATTTTTATTATCCAATATCACCATAAAAGGAATTAATTAATTAATCTGATAAATATGGTTTAAGAGTTCCTAAACTTTATACAGATGCTTCTCTAACATCAGGAACACTATCTTCAATAAGTTTTTTAGCTAATGGTAATAATTATTTAACACAATCAACAAATTTAGGTTTAGGTGCTCCTTATGGAAATCCTTTTAATTAAACAAGTTTAGCAAATAATAGAAGACATTACGCTCTCATTTAAGGATTTTTGTCAGCTAATCCTTCTTTAAAATCTTCAACAACATCTTCAACTTATAAAGAATAATGAAATAATTCCATAGCTGCTCTAGCTTCTTAACAAATATTTTTTTTTTCTCTTAATTTAACTATTAAAAGTGGGAATAATAATTTAGCTTAAGCAGTAAAATTTTTACGAAGTCCTTTAACAAATGCTCCACATAATTTAATAGCACATACATTAATAACTTGATTAGAATCAACTAATAATTTTTTAATCATAGCAATCATAGGTACATAATTACCAGTAGCAATTTTAGGAGTAGCAGCTTCTTTTAATAATTAATCTAATAATGCTTGTTTTTCATTCCATTTAGTTTATGCTAAAACTTTATCACACCATTTTTCATTATATTTATTAAATATATCATATGCATCTACTAAATCATATGCATCTAATCCATTATTAGCTCCACCTCCTTATCCAACAGTTACAGCATCTCCTCCTCTTGTTGGTACCATTGGAATTGGTTACCATTCTTTTTAAAATTTCTCTAATTCTTCTAATTATAATTTTTTTAATCCTTTAATGAATGGTGCTAATATTGGCTCACCAAGCCATTTATGTGCTTCTTTATAAAAATTCATGCATTCTGTTTTAATTGATGAAACTGTAGATTATGATAATTTTTCTATTTCTGGAAAAAAAGGTTTTAAATAATCTAATCTTTTTGGACCAAATGTAATTAATAATTCAATTAAACTTTGGATTGCTGCACATTAAACTTTTTAAACTTTATTTTTTAACATTTCAACAACAACATCAAACATTTCTTATTTATCTCTTCTTTCAAAAATATCAAAAAAGATTTCATAACTAAGTTTAACAATTTATTTTTTTCCTGGAGCAATACATTTATCAATTAACATACGAATAGTTTCTTTTGCATCAAATCTGGCTGCAAATTAACCCTTATTACATTTTGCAATAAATATTTATAATGCTATTAATGCTTTTTCTTAACTTCCAGGATTATTATCATTGATTAATTTAGGCCATTCTTCATAATATTCATCAATAGATTCATCCTTTTAAAATAGCTCTGCCATTTCTTCAAAAGCACTTTATCTCAACTTCCATGCTTTTGACTTCAAACGTTAAGCAAGTGGAAGGACTGTTTATTAAACATCTTCTCCTCCTCCTTCCATTCCTTCAGGATATTCACTAATTGCAAACTTATTACCACCTCCAACAGGCTAATCATCTAATACATTTTATCCTGCAGGTTTAAGTGGAATTTCATCTGGGTTTATTATAACTTTTGGTTCATCATTTTCAACAGGAGGAGCTACTGGTTTTTTAGCTGCCTTTTTTGGTACTACCTTTTTAGGAACATAACCTTCAGGGGGATATTCATCAATCATTTATTTATTTGAAGATTTTCCTATTGGAATATCATCATTTCCATAACTAGGTTGAGCTGCTTGTTATTCAACATTTTGTGAATCTCCCTTAAAATCAACAGGTTTGTAAGGTTCAGCTGCTTCTTTCGTTTCATTCACTTGTTCTTCTTACATTTTTTTTTTTATTTAAATTTATAAAAGAAATTAATATGTTAGATAAATTTCTACAATCAAATACTTTCTACGTTTATTTCTGATACAAGTATTATTTAAATTTCTTAATATAAGTACCAACTAAACCATACTTTATATTCTCAATCATCTTTACTACTTTTTAATTATTTTTGCTTACAAAGCATTTTTAACTATGAGCTTTTAAACTTGCATAGCAGGAAGAATACTTAATTCTGTTGGTGCAACTCATTTATCTGGCTCCAAAATTTAAATCATTGCTGATTAATTAGTCTATCTGGCATTTCCAATTATTGTTTTTAATGGATTTCTCACAGCTCTTTTACTAAGTGTTAATAATTATATGGAAATATATTCTGATAAATATAAAGATGTAATATATCTCAAATTAATCAGCACTGTATTATAGGACATGCTAAAATATTTTTAACATATACTGCTTGTTATTTGTTTCTAATTTTTATTCAATTGTCAAAGGATATAATCATGCTAAACTTTATGGGATTAGTTGTTTTATCTATCATTAGTGGAGTTTTAATTGGTTTCTAATGGAAAATGTGATTATGTTATTCCTATTTCATTTATATTCAATTTTGTATTAATCATCCTAAATGTTGAGTTACAAACATTATGTCAAAATTAAATACAACTTCATCTTCTCCATTTTTATACAGTTATCGAATCATTATCAATGTATGTTATTTTATTCAGAAAAATTAAATGAACAAATTCATAGCTTTTAAACGCTGATTCTTAGTTCATTATAAGTACATTAAATCAATTATCTATCTTAAATACTAACTAATATTACTTAAAAAATTAGAACTTAAATAAATAAAATTTAATTTATTTATATGTAAAGTTATTTGATAAAAATATAAGCTCATAATTAATTCCATAATAAGACTAAATTATCAATTGTTATGAAATTTCTTAATAAAGGATTCTAACAAAAATCAACCAAATTTTCCAGCAAAATTTATTGAGGATTAAAGCAAAGGTGTAAGTAACAGTGTAACATAAATTTAAATAAAGAATTAATAACACAGTTTAATATACTTAAATTTTCATAGTAGAAATAACTAAAAATATAAATAAAACATTTAATTCAATCTTCAAAGCATCTAAATTAAAAATTATTCAAAAATTTATTTTTAGTAAATAGATTTAAAAAATTATTTTAAAAAAATATTAATATTTATATTTCATTCTTCTCTCTCCTTTTTTTCATCTTTTATTTTTCTTCTAATTTTTATTATGTACAACTTTAATCATATTATAAACAATTATATAATAAAAAAATAAAATAATCTTCAATTATAAGTGTTATTTTTACTATTCTTAAAATAACAATTATTAATAAAATATATAAATAGAAAAACTTTTGTAAATTTAACCAAATAAATTTGAATAATAGAATATAAGACTGAAATTAAGTAGCCTTGATATATATTCTATTAATTTTTTAAAAAGCAGATTGGATATTTTTAAGCTTTTAATGAAATACCTTGCTTCATTCTATGATAGTAAACTTTCATCTTCAATTTGAATAGTTACCTTGAGTTTAAATTACTTAACTTCATAGATTAAGATTATTGTTTTAATTTTTATGAAAAATTTTAGGAAGATAAATTTCATTCAACAAAATCATTTTTACTTAGAAAAGATTTTCTATCTTCTCTGAATAAAAATATTTCACTTTATTCAAGCATAAAACTAGGATTTAATGTTTTATTTCAAATTTTAAAGTTTTTAGGTAAAATAACATTTGTAGATGTATAAAAATGTTACAATTTTTTCGCTATCTCTTAAATCATTATTTTCTCTAAAAATGAATGATTAAATTCATTACACATATTAATAATACTTTACTTTCTTAATGTTAGATTGATAGAAGATTATTTTAAACTATTCCTATTTCTTAAAATACTTCTAATTATTTTTTTTTGATAATTGCAAGTAATTACAAACTAAAATCTTAATGGTTGTTTTGTCAATCCTAGATTTAAGTTTTAAACTTGTTNTATGTAAAGTTATTTGATAAAAATATAAGCTCATAATTAATTCCATAATAAGACTAAATTATCAATTGTTATGAAATTTCTTAATAAAGGATTCTAACAAAAATCAACCAAATTTTCCAGCAAAATTTATTGAGGATTAAAGCAAAGGTGTAAGTAACAGTGTAACATAAATTTAAATAAAGAATTAATAACACAGTTTAATATACTTAAATTTTCATAGTAGAAATAACTAAAAATATAAATAAAACATTTAATTCAATCTTCAAAGCATCTAAATTAAAAATTATTCAAAAATTTATTTTTAGTAAATAGATTTAAAAAATTATTTTAAAAAAATATTAATATTTATATTTCATTCTTCTCTCTCCTTTTTTTCATCTTTTATTTTTCTTCTAATTTTTATTATGTACAACTTTAATCATATTATAAACAATTATATAATAAAAAAATAAAATAATCTTCAATTATAAGTGTTATTTTTACTATTCTTAAAATAACAATTATTAATAAAATATATAAATAGAAAAACTTTTGTAAATTTAACCAAATAAATTTGAATAATAGAATATAAGACTGAAATTAAGTAGCCTTGATATATATTCTATTAATTTTTTAAAAAGCAGATTGGATATTTTTAAGCTTTTAATGAAATACCTTGCTTCATTCTATGATAGTAAACTTTCATCTTCAATTTGAATAGTTACCTTGAGTTTAAATTACTTAACTTCATAGATTAAGATTATTGTTTTAATTTTTATGAAAAATTTTAGGAAGATAAATTTCATTCAACAAAATCATTTTTACTTAGAAAAGATTTTCTATCTTCTCTGAATAAAAATATTTCACTTTATTCAAGCATAAAACTAGGATTTAATGTTTTATTTCAAATTTTAAAGTTTTTAGGTAAAATAACATTTGTAGATGTATAAAAATGTTACAATTTTTTCGCTATCTCTTAAATCATTATTTTCTCTAAAAATGAATGATTAAATTCATTACACATATTAATAATACTTTACTTTCTTAATGTTAGATTGATAGAAGATTATTTTAAACTATTCCTATTTCTTAAAATACTTCTAATTATTTTTTTTTGATAATTGCAAGTAATTACAAACTAAAATCTTAATGGTTGTTTTGTCAATCCTAGATTTAAGTTTTAAACTTGTTTCAATTTATTTGTTAACTCAGTTCTAGCTTGAAAGTTATAATTAGCTAAAAACTTCTTCGAAATATATCTGCTAATACTAATTAATTATCATTAAGCTTGCTAGATAGCAATTACTGAAAGAATGTATTAAAATTGTGAATTATATGAATTTTAAACTATGTTTAAGTATAATAAGTGTTTTAATTAATTTTTTATATGCAAAAATTAATAAATAATATTGATTTACAAGTTAATGCTCATTTAATATCAATTAAAAATGTCTAATTTGCTTAAAGATTTTAAGTTGCATTTAGATTAAAATAATTAGGAAGTTAAGTTAAAGAGAATGAACAAGAATAAATTTAGTTCTTAATTTATAATCTAAGGTAATGAGATAATTACATATGAATTGGATAATAATAAAAAGTTAGAGAGGAAAATAAGTTTTGAGAAAGATTCTTATATGCTTATATGTAAAAATAAATTAATAAAATAAGATGATGATTTGGAATAGATGTAAATATCATTTGGTCAAAAGTAAGTTTGCTTAGCTTTGAATAAAGAAGTAAATTGGCCATATGTTCCATGTGTTCTTGGTAGTATTTAAGAATTAGGGAATTGGAATCCTTTGAATGCTTAAACAATGATTTAAAATGGGAATACTTGGTATCTTACGATATCAGTGTCTAAGTCATTTGAATATAAATTTGTGATTACAAAGATGTTCAGCAATGAAATATGTTGGGAACAAACACCAAATAGATATTATAATATATTAAATGCACCTTAGTCAGTAGAATTGAAGAATGATTGGGAAAGAAATACAGAATAGAAGGTACTTGCAAAGGTTCCAAAGTTTGCTCACTTTTCAATCAACTATAAGACCAATTCATATAATGATTATTTAGTAATTGTAGGTAATACAGAATAATTTGGAAAGTGGAATCCTAGAAGAGGTAAATAAATGAAAAGATATATTAATTATGATTGGAATTTAGGAACTATAATATAGGATGATGAATTAGAGTATAAATTTGTAATTGTAAGTGGGGATCATTGTATTTGGGAGGATGGAGTAAATCGTGAATTGGAATTAGAAGATAGATAATATTGCAATATAAGTAAAGTTTAGAATATATTATAGTGGCATTTTGGAATTATTAATAAAATAGCAAGATAAATTGGAGAGAATATAATTTGGAATGTCCTGTTTGTAGTTAACATATGAATGAAGTTTCTGTTGTTATTGGTTAGTTATGTGGTCATCAAATATGCATAAATTGTAGTAATTCAATGGCTCAAAGGCAATATATTTAAGTGAAGTGTCCATTATGCCGTAAAGCTTTTTTGGTTTGATTTAATATTTATATATATATTTAAAACTAAAATAGCGGAAAGATAAGATGAATTGTTCATCATAAGAGATGCCAAATTTAATGCATCTACTGAAAACTTGTGCTTCATTAAGTTCTTTTGAGTGTGATTCAAATCATTCCACTAAGAGATTTGGATTTGGAGATGAGTTGCTATTATTGAGTCCTACAAGAAGTTAACAATTATCAAATCCAAATAAAAAAATAGTTATTGGAGATGATTCTTGGTTAAGAAGAGGAGTGTCTATTTCAAGTGAAACTAGCAGTCCCGAAAGATAATTTGAAAGATAAGAATTTTTTAGTTCATTCAGAGTTCCTGTTAACTTTTATGAAGATCCTGAGGGATTGAATAGATTATAACATTTTGAAAAGGATGCTGTTAATTATATAACCCCTGAAACTTTAGTAAAATTGAGTAATTTATAATTTAGTATAAAAATGTTAATGATATAACATTGTTTGATTGTCGTTATAAATTTGAGTTTGAGGGTGGTCACATTCAAGGGGCAACTCATCTTTGTAATCCTTTCGAAATAGATTCTATATTTTTTAAGTAAATTCCTACCATTAAACCAGTTATTGTTTTGTATTGCGAATTCTCTGAAAAGAGAAGTGTTTAAATGTAATAATATCCATGTCATTCTTATTAGTTATAAATAAATAAGAAATACGGATCGAAATCTTAATGATTATCCAAATCTTCATTATCCTGACTTATATATACTAAATCAAGGATTTTCAAATTATTGTCTACAATATCCATAATAAGTGGAGGGAAAGTACATTCGAATGGATTCAAAAGAATACTCTACCTAATTTAAAGAATAAAAATCATAGACTGACAATCAATGGAATTCATTAAAATTGAAAAAAAGATTATAAAAAATTAATATATGATTTCTGGTTATTAGATTTCGATCACTCAGAATTCTCAAAATACAATTTGGGATCTGGGAATCTTACTTGCAATGATCTCTTAAACAAGAATTCAGACAAAAAGTCAATTACATTTTCTGGATTCTATTTAACAATTTCCACTAAACCCTCTGTAATGAATGGAACTACATTATCATTTAAATATTATCTTAATTTAATATCAATTCTTACCTTAATGGAAGTGATCTTGATTCAAGTAGTTCTTTTTCATAATTAACACTATGTTCTTATTTAATTCTGTATTCTTCCTCTTAAATTTTCCACAATTCATCTTCCTTCTTATCTCTCAATTCCTTTAATTTTTAGTTTTAATCTGACTATTTTTACATTTGATCTTTTTTTTCATTTAGTCTCTTCTCTTCTAAGTCTTCTTCAATATGTTTATAATTCCTATATTTGCCATTCTAAAATATAATTAAAATTTCATACCCTTTCAATAAAACTTCTACATGTCTCTTAAATATTAGTTTATTTATTAAAAACTGATATATCACAAACATCTACTTTAAGTTCTTTATAAAAGTCAATTAAAATTGTGTATCCCTTTTTGGTATTTAATATTTTATAATTCTTCAATCTTTTTAATAGTACATCTTCATTATATTTATGAGTTTTTGAAAACTTAATTCTATCAACAATTTATTCATCATTACCAGTCAAAACAATAAAGTGTTCAGGCAATATTAATTTATTTAAATTAACTTTTTATTCTTCTCCTTCTCCCTCAATATTATAAAATAGTTATTTAGCTTAAGCATATGTTTTTGGATAATTATCTAAAATAAAACCTCTATTCTGACAATCATTTTACATTAATCTCCATTTATATATAGTTATCAATTATTCATCTGTTAATCTAGCTTCTATTTTACTATCATCAAATGGAATATATGGTTATTTTAATTGTTTTCTCTTCTCTCTTTATATATCATATAACGCTTTAGCTTCCTCTACAAGTTAATTTCTATTTTCTTCTAAACTTGACTTTAATTGTTCAACTTCTTCATTTGTTTAGTTTAAGTATTCTTATATTAACTCTTTAACTGTAATATGAGGAATACTAAAATATTGTGAAATTTAATTAGCAATAGTAGTTTTTCCAATTCCAGGTGGACCAGTAATAGCAATTCTAATAGGTTTTAGATTATGATAATCAACAAATTCTTATCTAATCTTTGCTATATTGGCTCTAATGCCTTCTTTACACCACCAATTAAATGTAAATTTATCAACTGCTTGTTCTTCATCTCCTTAATCACCTTATTCTTCTAGAAAAGCATCAAATACTTTAGTTGGTTTCATACGAAGATCAATTTTAAATTCAGGAATAGCAACATCAGATTATTAAATCTTTGAATTTCCCACTCCTTTAGATATTGAATCTATAATAGCTTTATGAGATGGATTTTAATTATGATCAATAGCAAAAATATATTTTTAATTAACTGGTTTTTCGACTAATTTTTAAACAAATAATGCCAAATCTTTAACATGTATACATGGTACTTTATTTTTATTATGAAATGTTATTGTATTTTATAGCCAAGCCCCTTTAAATTTAGTATAAAAATGATCTTCTCCCATTCCATACAAGATACCAGCACATAATATAAAAGTTTTAAGATTAGGTCTATTAACACTTAAACATAAACTTTCTAGAGAACATAAACTTTCATATTGAGGTAATGCTTTCCTCTTTGGATAATCACTTTCATTGAAACGTGTATATTCTTTTTTAGGTGGTGCATCCTCACCATCATCTTATGCTTTACCTTCTTCTTCACCTGATTCTGGAGGATAACCACCGTCTTCTTCTTCTTCTCCAGCTTTCTTCTCTTTTGGATCTGTTGCTGACCAAGCCATCACTGATGATACTAGTATTAATATTTTCTCTTATTCATATGATCCTAATTTTAAACTCTTTATTGCATATTCACATTCACTATGTTCACATGTATTTATGTCATAAATTATTACATCACTATCTAATATAACCTTTTATAAAAATGACATTTTTGATGGCTATTTAATACTTAATCAATATCATACATCAATCACTTTTCTTACTCCTGGATGTAATGGAAATTTACTTTCTAAAATTATGGTCCCTACTATCAGATTTGGATCTTCAGGATGTTCTGTATCATTACGAAGTTATTAAATCTATATGAGTACACAGATGTACTAATTGATAACCAAAGTAAGTATTCAATGAACTTAGGAAGTATCTTTTTGATTTATATGGTGCTTTCTTTGGTTTAGGAACTTCGTCAGTTTCCATTAATTATATTTATTATTAGTTAAAAAAGAGAATTATGAACATTTTTACATAAAATTAATTAAGATATCTATATATAATGGAATATAACCCATTAACAATTCCATGTGATTGGAATATGGCCAGAAAACATGCTTTAGCTAGACGAACTGCTCCTGATACTAAGGCTCGTATTGATGATTATGATGATGAAGAATAAAAAAAACGTATTTTTAATGATCTATTCAGCTGAAACATGTCCTTGTTGTGGTTTTGAAATTGAAAGAAAGGAAATTCCATATTGGGATGATATCAAATCACTTAAATTTTTGGGTGCAGGATTTCCATTATTTTATAATTTTTTGAAATTTTGCATCCTGTTATTATGTTTGCAAAGTCTTGTAGCTGTGTTCAATGTTTTGAGTAACTATTAAGGTGAATTTTGCAAGTAAATCTTATAGTTATTTAGTCAAAAAACTTTAAATCGCATTTCTTAATAGATGGAACCTAATTGTTAAGAATCCATATTCCTATAATTGTCAATAGCTAATAAACTCAAGTGAATAGTATTCATATTTATTTAGTAATTCCGAAGTTGTGGTATTTATACAAAAGGCCAATCTTATTATGCTTATTTTGATGATCATCCTACTTTAATTCTTTAGAAGATTTCAAAAAAAATTAGATAATTAAATAGATGAATCTCAATTAACTCCAAGTGATTACACCATTATGGTGACCAACATTCCAAAAACTTTAAATGTCAATTATAGATGGGAATTGACTAATTTATTTTAAAATTATGCAGTATCAGACATGAACTTTTAAATAACTGTTACAAAAGTTGTTTTAGTGTATGATATTACAGAAATTTTGGCAGAAGAAGCTAAAATATCTTCCATATTAAAGAAGAAAAAAACTGCATTATAAACATCGAATATGAAATTTGATTGTTAAGATGTAAGAGATTGTGATATTGAAATTGAAACTTCACAGAGGAGAATAAAAGATTTGTAAGAAGAATATTTTTGGACAAATAGATAATTTAGCGGTGTTGCTTTTGTATCATTTGAAAGTGAAAAAATGAAAGACTTAGTTTTAAGTTAAAACAAACACACTTTTTTGGATAAAATGAAAACATTTTTATATTCTGGTAAAACTCCAGGTTTAGATGAAATGGAATTGCAATGGTAGGCCTAAAAGTTATTTATTGAATAAGCATCAGAACCTAATGACATTTTGTGGGAAAATTTGGCCACTTTAACTCAAGATAAAATAGTGGCCAGACTTAAAGGATTTTTCATTACTATAATTGCATAAGCAGTTACATTTATTTTTATTTATTTTTTATCAATCAGATGCATTTAATTAGTTTATAATGAAGAAATAGAGAAAAAAAGAATTGGAGTTGATGATCAAGAAAAGTTAAAGAAAATATAAATGATTTCATTTGCAATTGCATCATCAATCGTTATGGTTAATAAATTATTAATTGAACCTTTGATGAAATGGATTACAAAAATAGAAAAAATATCTACAAACACAAAATTTTAAATATCATATGCAAATAAATTAACAATTTCATTATTTGTAAATGCTGCAATAGTTAGTTATGTTATAGACATTTTAATATTTAGTAATATATATGGTTTTGGTGGATTTATGTATAATGAATCTTTGATATTTATATTGAATGCTGCAGTAGCACCAATAATTTGGTTAATAGATCCTTGGACTTTGGTTAGAAAATTACAAAGAGAACATTAAATTTAAAAAGTGAATGATTGTTTGCTTACACAAAAGGAAGCGAATGAAATCATGGAAGATGTTGATTATTAATTAGCAATGAGATATGCAGATATAATCAAAACTATGTGGTTTACCTTCTTTTTTGGAACAGCTATTCCTTTAGGTGTATTTAGTTCTTTAATTGGTTTATGTTTATTTTATCTTGTTGATAAATATAACATATTAAGAAGAAGAACAGTTAAGGAAAGTATATCTTAAGAGTTGTCATGGTAGATGATAAATATGCTTGAATTTGTTGTCTTATTTAATCCTTTGGGTAACACAGCAGTATCATTATTTCTTAACTAAAATTTTGATATTTATTCAACACTTGGAGTAATAATAGGATTAAGTTTTTAAATATTGCCAATACATCGTTGTGTAGATAGTATGTTTCCTATCAAGAATTTAGAAGAAGTATTAATAATTATGATATTAGCCTGTGTCGTATAAAAAAGCATAGATAGAGTTTGATACTGATTATGACAGAGAGAATCCGGTAACGAAATAAAAGGCAATTGCTGAGTACTCTTTGTAATTGTAGGGTATTACTTAAGAAAGAAAAGTGGAATATTAAATCATGCATGAAGATCATTGATTTATATTTATATACTTAATAAATGGAATAAACTTTATTCATCTCATAATAAGAAATAGAACAAGTGACTAAATAAAAAACTATTAACATTAATCTTGGTGTTCTAGGACATATAGATTCTAGTATGACTTCTTTGGTTAAAATATTGTCGAAAGTTATTCAAATTATTTAGGATTGTAATCGGAAAAACCACTAATTGCATCCAAATTAAATACAAATTTAGAAGCAAAAATATGTAGAGTTAGCTTTTATGGAAATATTTTACATTCTTANAATTGCATCATCAATCGTTATGGTTAATAAATTATTAATTGAACCTTTGATGAAATGGATTACAAAAATAGAAAAAATATCTACAAACACAAAATTTTAAATATCATATGCAAATAAATTAACAATTTCATTATTTGTAAATGCTGCAATAGTTAGTTATGTTATAGACATTTTAATATTTAGTAATATATATGGTTTTGGTGGATTTATGTATAATGAATCTTTGATATTTATATTGAATGCTGCAGTAGCACCAATAATTTGGTTAATAGATCCTTGGACTTTGGTTAGAAAATTACAAAGAGAACATTAAATTTAAAAAGTGAATGATTGTTTGCTTACACAAAAGGAAGCGAATGAAATCATGGAAGATGTTGATTATTAATTAGCAATGAGATATGCAGATATAATCAAAACTATGTGGTTTACCTTCTTTTTTGGAACAGCTATTCCTTTAGGTGTATTTAGTTCTTTAATTGGTTTATGTTTATTTTATCTTGTTGATAAATATAACATATTAAGAAGAAGAACAGTTAAGGAAAGTATATCTTAAGAGTTGTCATGGTAGATGATAAATATGCTTGAATTTGTTGTCTTATTTAATCCTTTGGGTAACACAGCAGTATCATTATTTCTTAACTAAAATTTTGATATTTATTCAACACTTGGAGTAATAATAGGATTAAGTTTTTAAATATTGCCAATACATCGTTGTGTAGATAGTATGTTTCCTATCAAGAATTTAGAAGAAGTATTAATAATTATGATATTAGCCTGTGTCGTATAAAAAAGCATAGATAGAGTTTGATACTGATTATGACAGAGAGAATCCGGTAACGAAATAAAAGGCAATTGCTGAGTACTCTTTGTAATTGTAGGGTATTACTTAAGAAAGAAAAGTGGAATATTAAATCATGCATGAAGATCATTGATTTATATTTATATACTTAATAAATGGAATAAACTTTATTCATCTCATAATAAGAAATAGAACAAGTGACTAAATAAAAAACTATTAACATTAATCTTGGTGTTCTAGGACATATAGATTCTAGTATGACTTCTTTGGTTAAAATATTGTCGAAAGTTATTCAAATTATTTAGGATTGTAATCGGAAAAACCACTAATTGCATCCAAATTAAATACAAATTTAGAAGCAAAAATATGTAGAGTTAGCTTTTATGGAAATATTTTACATTCTTACACCAGAATATTTAGAAAGAAGACTAAAAATGGAAATTTAAAAATGGTGATTGACAATTATACTTTGCTTACTAAAGATTTATTTAAAAAAGAAACTAAAATAGATATTTATATAGGAAAGATTATTATAATTAAATAAGGGAAATTTAAGGGAAAATTGATAGTGCATTTATTTGGAAAAACGTGAAAGTGAAAGTGTTTATTGAGTCAGGAATTAATTAGGATATGAAAAATGATGATGATGTAGTTAAGATTTATAAAAAATATTTATTTCATAAATGAAACCAAATTCTATTCAAAAGTTTGTTAACATCTCTTCTATTTCTTGTGTATGTTGTTGAAATTTCTTTTCAAAAAGCTTTGCTTCTACTAATACTAATGAGCTGTTAAATTGTTTAGATCGAGGTTGAAGATCATAATTAGAACTTCTATGAGTTTTTCGTTGATCTGGTTTAAGAGATTATAGAAATTTCTCAATTTAAAATGCTTTTGCAGATGCATCAATATTTGCATTTATTATGGATCTGAAGCATTCATAGTTACTCATAATTGAAACATAATCAGGATTACTGCTATCGATCAAATGTGTTATTAGAGCAGTGAGTAGGTTATCCATTTAATATATAATATAAAATCATTTTATTGGTTTTTAATCTGAATAACTAACATTGATAGCTTTAACAATAATTTCTTTGAATTCTTAAAAACTTATCTAATAAAAGTAGTAAGATTATAATTACAGATCCGTCTCCATTGGCATCAACTTCTGCTAACAACTCTTTCCATACTTCATCACTAACAGCTGTTTCATCTGAACCAAAAATTCCTTTGATTTCATCTATAGATATTGATCCACTTCCATCTTTATCAAATAATCTAAAGGCCTATTCTAATCTTTTATCTTCTAATAATTTAACTTTATTAAAAGTAGCTAAAACAAATTCTAATTGATAAATAATTATATAAAAACCTGAATAATCTATACTTCCATTTTTATCTTAATCAATTTATTTCATCAATTTAGTAACTTCTAATTCAGCATCAGTATAACTCATAACTTTTGCATAGCCTAGAATAAAATATAAATGATTAATACCTAAAATCAATTCATCTTTAGATAATCTACCATCTCCATTTAAATCTAAGGCTTAAAATTATTAAAGTAATTCTTATTTTTCTTAACTAGTAGCCATTTAATTAACCATAAATGTTAATGCTGCTTCTTAGAATTTCTTTTCCACTCTAAAATTTCTTAGATTATTCAAAACTTTAGTTAATTAAGGTAAATCCATTTCTGTTTTTTTAACATAAGTAGTTATCCAAGGATCTCTCAATGCTTATTCAGCACTGATTCTTCTCTTAGGATCTCTTTCTAACATTTTAGTTATTAATAATTTAGCTTCATATGATATTTAATTCCATTCTTCTCCATCAAATGTTAATTGACCTTCTCTTACAGAATCTAATATCTCTTCATCCTCTTCGCCATTAAAAGGAGGAATTCCACAAAGTAAAATGTATAAAATTACACCACAAGACCATACATCACATTTTTCATCATATTTTCTTTCCAATACTTCAGGTGCTATATAATATGGCTAAATTTAATTATCACTTAATTACTGTTCCTAGTTTTTAATTCATTTTGTAACCCTATTCAAACATACGACTTGTACCAAAATCCACTATTTTTAATAAAGCTTATGGTTTGGTAGACTCATAGAGAATATTCTCAGGTTTAAGATCTCTATATCAAATCACATTAATCCTTTACCTGTGCACTATTTTACTTTTATGTAAGTAATTTACAGCACTCAATATCTATTTGAGAGTTTCAGCTGCTTTCCTTTCTGAAAAAGATTGTTATTCCTATATCTTGTCAAACAGTTCTCCTCCTGTGCATAATTCAGTCACAATATAGATATTTTTACTATCCTAATAGAACTCATAAATCTTAATTATATTTGGATGATCCTATCTATACATTTATCATTACCAATCTCTTCAGAATTTCTATTTCTATTCTCAATCTTTCAACTTCCATCTTGCTTGCTTTTTCCTTTGAAATCACTTTTATGGCTCTTATTTAATTTGTGACTTTATGCACACCTTTTCTCACTTCACCATAAGCCCCTTACATTTACTTTTTATATATACCCTTTCCGATGGGAGGTTTCAAGAGAGTGTAATCATTTGTAATTAATCCATGTTTTTCTGACACCATACCTGAAGATGATATTTTAAAATGAGCCACATCCTTTACTATTCCATAGTATATATTTCACTACTTTTGTTTGGATTATCAACTTCCTCTCCTTTACTTGATCCACAACCCATCGGTATAATTATTATTTATATATAAAAATACAAAAACTAATTAAAACATCATTGCTACTAATTTTAACTCACTCTTCTACAAATTATCTTAATTTATATTTTATTTAATTTTCATTCTTAACTAACATTTCTCAGTAATTCATTAACATTTAACCATATTCATTTTTATATTTATTCTTATTTTTATATTACACAATAAAAATTTTTATTATTTTTGAAAATCATAAACATACATATTTGGTTATTTGTTAATACCTAATTTATTTCTTTTTAAATGTTTATAAGAACAATATATATAAATAAATTTCAAATCACACTAATCTTGATCATTTCTCTGATAATACGTTTTTTTAAGCTTTAAATGTTGGGCTTTCTTCATCTAAAATGTACTTTGATAAGCTGCTCATTTTTTCATAATGCATACTTTCCTACGATAGGGTAGGAGGTAGCTATTATTAAAATGTAAATATAATTTAAGAGCTTAGTATTCTTGGATGATTAGAGTTACAATCATTTGAGATAAACAAATCATCAAGGTTTTCACAAAATTTAACTCCTTCAATATTTTAGCACCATTCAGTCATCTATTCATTAGTTTATTCTATTGATTGTTTATTGCAACAGCTTTAACCCATCTATATTTATTATTTATTATTTAGTGAAAATAAGATTTAAAAACACTCTAATATACTCAATTACACTAGCATTACTTTTTATTTTATAATAATCAATTGCAAAATTGGCCTTTCGATGGAATCGTTTGAATTTAATTATTATAGAATGAATTCTATACATCCAGTAATTTTTGCCATTTATCTTCAAATTCAACCTTAATTTAATTAATTTCTTCTAACTTTTATCCTGCCTCTCTATCTTATCAAGTATATTATAGTTTTTAATCTATACGTCTTTAATTATGGCTAAAAATTTAATTTTTTTCTTTGACAGATCTGATAATTTCACTCAAAAAAGTTTGCGTACAATTAAATAAAAAAACTGAAATTTTATATTATGCAATATTTATCAAATAATTTCTAAGGATTCAAATTTAGCGAAAGTAGTTCATAACTAATATCATTATTTAAGAGGCTTTATTCAAATTAAGTATTTTTCATTAATTTAACTATCGGGCATAATATTTCAAAAAAATTTATTTATATCAACGATGAATCTTTCAATACTAATTTATTTAAATTTTCATGTAAAGTACTTTTATTAGGATTACAGTTCTATACATTTATGTTAATTTCCTAAAAATGGTTATTAAAAATTTTCATTTATTATTTTTATCCCATTTAAGAATAATTCTGATATCTCACCTCATAAATTATGAGCATAAGATAAATTTATATTTTAGTTCTTTTCATTCATGTGTATCATACTTATAACTTAATTTTTTTATAATTTGGAAAATTAATATTTATTTCTAATAATAGTATGTTCATATTCTCAATTTAATCAAATAAGCACACAACTCTCAACATAAAATAAAACAATAATTTTGGTATAAAGAGATTTATCAAACAATTCATATTTAAAGAAATAAATGTTTTATCAAAAAATTCCTATTTTTTAATAAAGGTTATTAATCCTTTAATAAGTTTTGTTTTCTTAGCAATTTATAAAAATATATGATTTTATGAGTTTAAGCATATCAAGATCATCAACTCGATTATCAATTTATCATTTATTAAAATAAGAATTTTATTATTCTGATTTTAATAATGAATAACTCATAAAATCTGAAATGCTCTTTTCAAGAACTAATAAAATTTTTTGAATTAGTAATTTTTATTTTATTTAATGATTTTTTTTTCAAAAGCTAGTTCAATAATCAATATAAATTGCAATGAATTTCTCAAAATTTATTCAAAAGTTCTGTTTTAAAAAATGCATTAAAAATTCTTGAATCAAAAATTTCTTTCAATAGATATCAAAAAGTAAACTTTCAAGTTCTTTAAATTTAAAAAAGGCTCTCTAAATATTTAAGTAGCTTCATTAGATTGTTTAACTTTGAATGTTGATTAAAATCTAAAAAAAGACTTCTCATATATATTTGATTCATCTAATACAAATTTTAACATACTTGACACTAAAATTTAAAAATGTAAACATAGTTTGACAGTAAATATCTTTAGGCTCTGATTTTGAAATACTTAAATTTTTTAATAAATCATTTTATATTTTATATTAAAACAAAACATTAATGGAATATTATATTCTAAATGAAAATTTAAAATTATGATTTTTGGGAAAGAATGAGAAGTAGAGAAATCAATAAAAGAAAAAACAACTTTTTACTGTAAATAATTTTTTGCAAAATAAGAATTTTCAATCAATTTTGAGTTTAACAATTCCATTAGTAATTTAATTATTGGTTTTTAGTCATAGTAAAAATATAATCTGATTTATCATACATTAATTTTTTATTCTAAACCTACTGGCTAATTTTCTTAATAAATTTATTCTAAAATAGCAGGTACAAATTGTAACTAAATGATATAAATGCTTCTAATAAATTTTTCTTTTTTCATAGTTGAGTCTCTAATAACCTAAATTTAAATTTAGTCATAATTGTAAGAAATCTTATGAAAAAATATTTATATGTTAACTTAAAAGTAATCTGTAACTTTAGACTGAGCTTGAGGAAAAGAATTAAGCATTTAAATTTAGATAAAACAAAAATTAATGAAAGGAATATTTGTCGTTCAATTTTTATAAATATCGCAATTTTAAATGATCAATTAAAAATAGAACTTCTTAAGCTTGCTTTATAAAAATACAAAGAATAATGATGATACTTAATTATGAATAACCTAAATAGAAAATGCATTTAATTTAGAAGTGAAGTATGAATAGTAAATATAATGATAATTTTATTATATAATCCCTTGATTTTGATTAGAGAATATACCTATATTTAAAGCTGAATAAACGTGTATGTTTTATTTGGAATTGAATTCACAAATATATTAGGATAATTTATTATTTAAAAATAACAAATTTAGATATATGCGTAAAAGATTAGGAGGATTACATGCTGATAGTCTAGAAGAGTATATTCAACTTGCTAAAATATCTTGGCAATAAGAACTAATCTTTTATGAAACAAAATAAGAAATTGCGGGTTAATAGAGAGATATTGATAATTCTGAAAAAGAGACTAATGTAAATTTAGATTATTACTATTTGATAGACAACTTCTATTGAGGAGGAGTAAGAGAAAAAAGAACAGAGCAATATTAATATATTAGTTGTAGACAATCTTGATAAAATTGAATAAGTTTTTAAATATTGTGGAATATTTAGAAAGTTAAAGAAAAATTATTATCTTGAGTATTGTTCGAAATAGGAAATAACAGATTCTAAGGAAATTCATATTCACTTTTGGGTTATCAATTCAACAAGTGTAAAATATTAAGAATTAATTGACAGTATATTACTCATTAAAATTATGAATAGTTTATTATAGAACGGCAGATTGCTACATTTATTTGGATAAGAAATCGAAAGAACAGCAATTTTAAAGATTTCTTGAAAAAGTTCAATTGCTAAATAAGAACAAAAATAAAAAGATATTTAAAACTGGATTCTATCGAAGAATTAATGTAATAATATACTAAAATAATAATAGAGTCAGGAAAATTTATCAAAGATTAAAGAGAATGAAGTAATAACTCTAAGAAATGTATAAGAAGTATTGAAGAGAATAAAATAATAATATCTTTGATCGAGTTTGTATTAGTTAAGCATTTATGAAAATGTGAGATTGATAATCTACTTTTTAAACATTATATATATATATATTTAATTAGAATGGATTTCTCAAAAGAATTTGAAGAGTATATCAAATTAAACTATGTATCAAAATTATTAATAGGAAATACAGTCAATACAATGACAAAAGTTAAAATTATTACATTGGAAGGAGAAGAGTTAGATTTAGAATGTGATATATATCAAGGAATAAAAGTATTGAAATATAACAAAGTTTTTGAAAACATGGAACAATTATTAAATTAATATTCTTAATTGTATTGCAAGAAGTTTGAAGAAGATCTATCTAAAAAGCTTAATTAATTAGTAAATGAATTAGAATAAGAAGAAGATGATGAAGAGGAAATATGATTAAATGAAAATAACTTAGAATCTAATAAAATAGGTTTAAAAATTTAATAATTTATTCAATTTTTTAATTATATTATGGGTTCTGTTTAAAATAATACTTGTTGTAGTTAACTCTTATCAAATAATTAGGAAATTAATGTAAGCAAATAAGAAAATATTATTTCTGTTCATAGCTCTCCTAGAAATTTTTAATAAGTTATTTCAAATTTTAACTAAGAATCATAAAGAAAAAAAGAATAATACTATTCAGAAAAAGCAATATAGATTCAAAAAAATTGGAAAGGATATAAGTAGAGAAAAAATTATTAAAAAAGAAAACCAGGTTTCACTATAAATTAAGAAAATTCATTACAGCAATAACCAGTTTAAATTAATTCTTAAGACAGTTTAACATTTATTGAACTTGCATTTCCTTAATTATCAACTTGTAAATTTGATGAAATGGAACCATTAGAAAATTTCTCAATAAAGGATTTTGCAGTTTATTAATATAGAGATGGATCAATTTATGCAGGTGAAATAGTAAATTGTATGAGAAATGGCAAAGGAAGATATTACTATAAAAATGGATCAATTTATGAAGGGTATTCATTTTGAATATAAATTAATTAGAGATTGGAAAATGAATTAACCATAAGGATATGGGAGATTTATACATTAAAATGGTGATTTTTATGAAGGAAACTTTTATGAGGGTAGATTAGAAGGGATTGGATTTTATAAAAAAAATAATGGAAGTTTCTTTTAAGGAGAATGGAAATGCGATAAATAACATGGAAGAGGTAATGAAATATGGGCAGATGGAGCAAAATACGATGGTGATTATGTTTTAGGTAAGAAACATGGAAGAGGCACATTTATTTGGGCTGATGGATCACATTATGTAGGAGATTTTGTTAATAATTGTATGGATGGTTTTGGAGAATATGTTTAATCAAATGGTAAAAAAGTAATTAATCTAAAATTTATTTAATTAGTATATTGGATAATTTAAAGAAGATATGATGCATGGTGAAGGAGAATTTAGTTGGCCTAATGGTAAAAAATATTCTGGATGGTATTTTAAAAATTAAAAATGTGGTCTTGGAACATTTGAATGGCCAGATGGTAGAAGATATGTTGGTTTTTGGTGTAATGGTTTAATGCATGGAAGAGGAATTATTTTTGAATTAAATGGAAAATAAACTCAAGGAGAATGGATTAATGGAATTCTGTAAAAATGAATTTCTATACTTCGCTTATACATTTACTTTCTTGTTTATTTTTGGAGATTCTTTTAAAAAAATTATTAGATTTACATTTATTCTTTTAAATTAATTTGGTTGTTATTTTACTTATTATTTATTTATATAAATATTCAATGAAATTAATTTATATCTCTTTCTATTTCATCAATTTAGTATTAGATTTACTATTCCATAAAAAATTATTTAAATTTCTCTAGATACATATCAAATTTAATTTTAAAACATCATATCTAATATTTCGAATACTATCCAATACAAGCATTGTTAAAAATTCTATTTATATTTTAGATTATAATATCATAATTGTAAATATTTGAACAAAAAATATTCTAATATTCGAAAAGACTCCTGAAGCTATTAATATCAAATTATTTATTTTATTATTAATTTCTATCCAATATTATTTGAAACATCCATATAAATTAATATTTTTATCTACTAATAGTCTTTCTATTAAAAATAAACTAAAAAGTTAACGCAACTCTTAATATTAACATAAATATCCAATTTTCACATTATCTAACCTTATGTACTTATATACTATATATGAATCTTATATAGATAGTTCATTTGAATAAATATATTTGTTATATAACTTGATAAATTTAAGATCATCTATCTGAGAATTATTATAATTTTGAAATGTCTTTAAGTGTTTGAATAATAAGTTACTTCTAAGAGTTTTGAAGGTGAAATGTTTTTATCATTATTCGCTATACCCTTAATAATAATTTTTTTTTTAATTGAGTTTCTAAATTTCAGCTTTTTAATCTTAATTTTAAATCATTATATTTAACAAAATTTGTACATTAGTCAGAAAAGCATTAAATTTTTTAGGTAATTATTAAGAGGAAATAAATATTAAATATATTTTATATTCAATAAACCTATTATTATTGAATAAATTGATCATTGCTAATTTGATATTCCTAAGAATGTCCTAATTAAACTAATTTAATCAGTGTTATACCCTATTATCGATTTTAATTCTGATTGATGAGATCTTAAGTGTATTCTAATTTTTATACTTTTTAAAATTGAATTCAATATTGCTTGGCTCATATCTCTCTCTAATATATATTAATCTCATTAAATATTTTAGATTAATTTAAATAATTGCTAAAATTATGGTTTAAATAATTTTGATTTCATATATAATACTAGTTTTATGTAATTCTAGAGAAGATTTGAATAATAATGTATAATAGCCTAATGTCTTGATGCAATCAATGTTTCAACTTAAAATAATTTAGTTTATTTGTCTTTAAAGAGTTAATTAATCCAAATTTTTATCTTCTTTTCTTGCATATATATTATTATAATATAATAAAATGTAAAAAAAAAAGATTTGAAAGTGCATAGCATATTGGTTATTAAAATGATAATTAATAAAGTAAAGTCTAAATTATAATTGGAATTGGAGATATCAATATAGGATGATTATTTTTATTAGACAGACAATGAGTATAATAAGTTTTTCATAAGATTGGATCTTTATAACAACTTTGATGTTACAGTTCGATAAAAAGTTTAAAATTTATAAGTCTTAAATTTTAAATATTTTAGATTTATATTCATTCCATTAAGAGAATTCGAAGCAATTCATATAGAAAATTAGAATGAAGAAAACGATTAATAAGATGTTTTTTTGATTGATATTAAAATTAAGATTTTTAATAGAAGATAAGGAATTAAGCTATTTACTTGAATCAATTAATATAGAAATATTTATATACTCTAATTTTATTAAATAATTAATTGGTTTTTTTTTTGAGTGATTTGAGTGAATCATTGATATCCTTAACAAAAAAAAACATGCTTTTATCTTAATAAATATGATCTTGAAGTAAAGATTGAATGATTAGAAAAGAGTTTTAATTTGTATAGTTATAAAATAATTATAAATAATAGGAAATGTTGTAAAAGAGAATTTAGTTAAATAGATAATTCTATAAATTAGAATGAATTACAAAATGATATTGTTTGTTAAGAGTGATTTAGTAGTCAATAAAAAGTAAGAAAATAGTAGAGTTTGAAACATTTATGAATAAATATAAATATGCAATATATTATATGTTAATTACAACTAAAGAGCACTATGTGATGATTAAATCTGTGAAAATGCGAACAGATCGTGAGACAAAGTAATCAACTAAAGCGAATACAAGCAGCACAAACAAATCATATTATTAAGATGAACGAAGTCGTCTTTAATAACTGATTAAAAAGAGCATGCAAAACCCTAAAAATATGGAGGTAAGAATGAAATGAAATGAAGACTTACTTAACCTAATTCCTCGATCAAAAACATCCTATGTCCAATAGTTTCTAATAAACTAGAACAAGAGTGTTATCACAACCTCATTTAGCAAATAAATCTACAAGGTTTTAAAAACCTCTTCATAATCCATACATATCTAGACGATAAAGTCATATTCCAAAAGTAGATACATCTCCAAAATCACCTACGCGTACTCCTTCAATAAATAGTCGTTATTTACTGTATTCGTTTAATGGAGATTATGAAAGGAAAGTAATAAAAACAACTCCAATCTCTAAATTATCTACTAGTGCTCTTATAGACTATCATAAATAATTAGTGTTTAAAGCATAAAAATTGATTGGTTCGAATAAAAAGAAATTATGAACTATATGTTAACAATGTCATTTTTTCAGTATTTATTTGCCCATTTATTTTATGGATTTATCTATTGATTTTGATTTCACACTACTTATAGGTTTGGGGCTCTTTGTTTTCTTCTTTTTCGATTAAGTCACTCTTCTTACTGATTTACTTTTTTTTTTCTTCTTATTTTTTGAATTCGATCTTGATTTTGATTGTTTCATGCTATCTTACTCTTTTGCTTCCTCATTTTACTTAATCTTCATTTATTCTAATTTCTTAGCTTTTTAATTCTTAGAATCAACTATTTTTTTTACGCTCTTTAATAAGAACAGTAATCTTAATTTTATTGACTTTTTACTTAAGGATCTATTATAATAATAAATAATATAGAAACCTTAAATAATTATTAAAAAAGCTAAACTCGTGATTTACAATGTATTTTTATATTTAATCCCATTTTCCAAATCCTTCAATATATGCTGCATATACAATTAGTTAATCACTCTCTAAAGTGAAATAGGTATTTTTATAAATTTAATTAAAATTCATTTCAAACAATGGATCATCATAAATTTTGATATATTATACTAGAAGATCAGAATACTCTTATTCTTATTCCAATTATTATTCAGTCTTTTCAATTTTAATCATATATTTATTAATGTCTGGTATTTCTTCGTATCTTTAATTAAAAACTTTCATATATTATTAAACTTCTTTCTGCGTTTTACCCAAACATTGAGAAATATTGAATAAATCTTTTCGACCATATTTTATACAAGATTGTAAGAATAAATCAAATTCCTTTTAACTCCATTCAAAGCTATTTTGTTTTAATTTATTTAATTATTTCTCTTCCATTTAAGTTAAAGGTAGTATTTCAATATCTAATTGAAAATCTAATTACTTTTATTTATATAGTTCATAAAGTTTAGCATTTTCATCTCTTTACATCAATTCCTTATACTATTATGGATCAGAATAGAATTTATACGCTTCGACATCAACTTCAGAACAGAATTTAGAAAACAATGGTAATACTTCACTTTTATTTGATTATTCAGCTTATTTATTGACTTAATTTAATTTAATTTATTATTCTATTACTTAAATATCTTTTTCATTATTAGGATCTTTAAAGAAATCAAAAACTTTAATAGTTTTAACTCCTAATTCTACTTTATCAATTTTATCTTAGATAACTTTAAATTTTTTATCAATTTATTAATTTAATTATTCTGTAAGTTCTTCTCCTCTTTTCAATAGAGTTTCAATATCTTCTTCAGTATATGGTTCATCTTTCAAAATTTAACTAGCTCCATAAGTAGCAATACTTTTTAAATCTTCTTTTTTATTCATAATTCCAACCATTTAAGAATGTCCTTTATCAATAACCATTTATTCCCATCTTAATTTAATTTATTATCTTTCAATAATCTTTTCTTCAACAGTAGATTTACATATCAATCTATAAACCATAACATTTTTAGTTTATCCAATTCTATGAGCTCTATCCATAGCTTATTGATCTATTTAAGGATTAAAATCGCTATCATAAATAATAACAGTATCTGCTGCTGTTAAATTAATTCCTAAACCTCCAGCTCTAGTAGACAATAAAAATATAAACAAATCTGAATTTGGTTTCTGAAAATTTCTAATATTTTCATCCCTCACTTCAATAGGTGTACTGCCATCTAATCTACAATATTTATATTTTCTATAATTTAAATAATCTTCTAAAATATCTAATAAAGTTGTAAATTAAGAGAACAATAAGACTTTATGATTTTCATTAAATAGTTTTTTTAAAAACATATCTAAAACTTTTAGTTTTCCTGAATTTTCGATTATATGTTCTCCCAAAGATGGTAAATCTCTATCTTCTAATTCTGGAAACATGTATAGATGTTAACAGATTTTTCTCAATTGAATTAAAATATTCATTAATGATTTTTAGGTTGCAATTCCAACAACTTTTTTGTTTAAAATAATATTTCTATAATGAGTCTTTTATAAAGGTGTCAACTGAACATAAAGATGGATTTCCTTTTTAGGTGGAATACCTAAATCTACTTCTTATTTAGTTCTTCTTAACATAAATGCTTAAATAATAGATTTAGCCTTGTCTATCATATTTAAATTTCTTTTCTCAAATTTTTCTTATAAGATTTCTTTTTCTGAGATAAGTCTATTGATATTGAACCATTAATCAAATGCTTCACTTGATGCAAAGAGTTAAGGCATTAAATAGTTCAACAAACTCCATAATTCATGAGGATTGTTTTATAAAGGAGTACCTGTCAATAACAGCCTAAATCTAGAACTAAGTCTTTTTAATGTTGTAAAGAATAAACTCTCTTCATTCTTCAATTTATGTGCTTCATCTATAACTAAGTATTCATATCTATATCTTTTAAGTATTCTTTCATTATTAATTACACATTCATATGATGCTACAATAACATCATATTCCTTTGTTTATTGATAATTGTTAAAATCCTGTCTCCATTCTTATGTTGCCATCATTTTCAATACTCTACATTTTGGTAACCATTCTGAAATCTCTCTTTCCCAATTAGATACTGTACTTAATGGACCTACTATTAAATGTGGTCCAGATATATTCTTGAACTACTTCATAAAACCAAAAAGTGCAATTGTCTATATTGTTTTACCCAATCCCATTTAATCTGCTAATATACCATTTAATCCTGCTTCTTACATTCCAATCAACCAATTCAATCCTTATAATTAATGGACTGTCAAATTTCCTTTTTTCAAAATACTTGGCTAAGTCTTCAAATATGTATTTGGAAAACTACAGTTCTCTTCCCCTTACTTCTTATTTATGTATTACACATATTATTGAGCTTTTGAAATCAAACTATCCATTTCTTCCTCCACTTCATCAAATAATATTGATAATTTATCACTTACTTATTAATCCTTTATTTCTTCTCTTAACGTACTACTCTTTTTCAATGGCTTCTCACAACTTAATTTATACAAAAACTTTTCTTAATCTCTCTTTAAATCATCAATTCGCAATAACTATTTATGATCCTAAATTAATCATACTTCTTTTTATGCATATTACTCTTCCTCATCTTATTCTATATCTTCTGACTAATTATAAATCTTATATAACTTACTAACATACTCTCTTCTTCACTTTCACTCATTTCTATACAACACTATTATCAATTATTTAAACTTAAATATTAAGTTAAATTTTAGAATGTAGGTTTTTGATTGCAGTTTTAAAAATTATATATTATCAAGAATAAATACATTTTTAAAACTTAATTTCATATTTCACTTCATGATTTAATCACTCTTTTTTAATCTAAAGACTAGGTAATTGAAATTTATTCTTTAGAATGTTTTTATTTTTTGTGCTACTTCAGAGCTGCTTTAGATCAATATGTATGAATACAATTAGAGCATTTCAAAGGTTTCTTATACAAACTTTTCTAGAGATTCTTTTATCTAATGCCTAATATGAAAATTAATTCAAATAACAAAATTTAATAACTAGTAATTATTAAATTAATGTGTAAGTTATACAAATACCTAATTTTTTTCAATCTATTTTAACAGTTTTTCAATACATCTATGAGTATATCTTAAATAAATTTATTCTGCATATTCTTGATAAATGTAAAACATTTGTGTTGCTTTTTATTTGATGACAAAGTAAGTGGTATTTTTATTTCTTTTTAAATAACTATTTTTCTATTCCTATTTATCAATTAAATTTTCTAAGCTCAATTTTACAAGTATAAGAAAATTCTTTTTTCAATTCATCTAATTCTAAATTCAATCTTTTTATTCAAATAATTTTATCTATCATTTTTCTATTTACGCTCTTTTTTTGACAAAAACATTTTGTAATTAACAAACATATTTTGAGTAAATATATTGTAATCTGATTCAATTATCGATGTATAGGTTTGGCATAATCTTTTAAATTTTTTTGAAGATTTGAAATCATCCATATATTTTTTTCGATATTGATATTATGATGGTGTCGATATCATAATAGAATCAAGTTTAGATTATTATTGTAATTTTGGAATAAAATTTATAGGTTTAGTTATGATTAATATTTTGCATAGTTTAAAAAATAAAAAAATTGCCTGCTGTCGGATTCGAACCGACGCGGATTAGATCCAGCAGATCTTAAGTCTGCCCCCTTAACCAGCTCGGGCAAACAGGCTATGATATTATTTTGAATATGTTTGAGCTGATACAGAAAAGTCATTCATAACTAAATGCGTCATGGAACATTTAATACACACGATCTTAATAGCTAAAGAACACTAGTCCTTTAAGGAAGTAGAAACCAATTCTTTAAGATATTGCACTAGCAATAATTTTAGACCATCCTTCTTAAGAAACAATAAATTTGAAAGCTTAGAATGGATTCGTATAAGTTTCCTGAATTTATTAAAAATGATATACATTTCTTTGGGTAGCTAATTTAGTAACCAAAACATCAAATGGATTTGTGAGTAAAATGGATACTCCTAGTGAACCTAAGATACATGTAAATTTCCTTTCTCTTTCACCTCTTAAGATGGTCTAAAAATATATTTATGATTTTAGAGAATTACAGGTGGTGGTGTGAATTCTCCAGATCTGAAAAGTGCAGATAAATAATGATCTCCATACATAAGTAGATTATATGTAATAGAATGACTTACAAAGAAGAGAGAGTCTCTAATTAAAGCTGGGAAATAGCATCTCATATAAGATTTTAAGTAATGATTTAAGTTAGCATCAAATGAACCCATTTAGACTATCATCTTTCTAATTTCTATAGGTAATAAGAGAGTTGTGATAGTTGTTTCTGCAATTAATCCTTGTATCAAAATTTTGCTTAATTAATTGTAGTTCTCAAAAATAAAGATACGTATATACATAGAATTGGGAAGAGGGGTCCATAAACATTTGATATCGGACTTTATTAGTGAAATTACGTAGTATATCACTGAGTATTATGTATGATAATTTGTAATGGAGTCCAGAATAGATTGGAAGATTTTTGACATTATTTTAATTAAAATGAGAAATATCCATATACTTATTTTAAGCTTATGTTCTGACTCTTATTGTATCAAAAAAATATCTAATAAAATTAAAGTTAGTTAATTACAAAGCAAAATTAGTTGTTACATCTAATAGAAGCCAAGCACCTAAATCATAATGTCTTTTCATGAAGACTTGCCAAAATTAAGGAGATGAAATCCTATGAGATTAAATAATTTTCGTTTCTTCTCTTTCATAGCGGGCTCTTTCTAAATAGTAGTAGATAAATACTTTTGAATTCTTTTAAGTAATTACAATTCATGTTCATCTTTTGGCTATTCTATCTTTTTCATTATAAAAGATTTTCTAGCTAACTAATCCATTTGGTTTTGTTATCTGTAAATTTTATCCTCAATTATTTCCTTATTTTCTGAAGACATAAATATAATTAAAATTATAGATAATAAGAAATCAAATTTAATTGCAACAAATAATATGATACTCATATTTTAAAATCTAGAGGAGGTGAAGTTGGTAATCTGGCTGTCAAAACTTCACATCCTCCTTCAGTTATCAAAAGAGTATGTTCAAATTAAGCAGAACGTTATCCATCAGCAGTAACCTTATAATAATCTTAAAATTAATACAGCAGTCCAATTATCAAATGTCCAAAGAATATCTTAATGAGTTCCTTAATTAATCATAGGTTCTATAGTGAATGTATGTCCAGGTTTCATAAATCCTGGGGCTTTATTCTTTCCATAATGCGGAATACTATTTTTATTAATATAATTTACGTTGGAGCACAATGAAATAGTTAGCCAACTCCATGACCACAATATGTACGATTAACAGCCAATCCATTTTCAGTTATATATTTTTCTATGATATTTCCCACATCTCTATACATTGTTCCTGGCTTACATATTTCTATTGCTTTTTATAAACAATTGTAAGCTTTTTCAACAAGAAACTTAGATGATTCACTAACTTCACCTACGAAATATGTTTCATTCAAATCGATGTGAAAACCTTTAAAATAGACTGAGACATCAAGATTAACTATATCTCCATTTTCCAATGGTCTATCATCAGGAATACCATGACAAATCACCTCATTAACAGATGTACATAATGACTTTTTAAATCCATTATAATTTAATGGGGATGGATAAGCATCATGATCAATTATATATTTATGAACAACCTTATCTATTTCATCTGTTGTTACTCCTGCTTTAACAGCTGAATGACCAGCATCCAATGCACCTCTTCCTTAACAAAACATTAAGAATTAATAATGTACCTATAGCTGCACATTCTCTCATCTTCTAAATATCTTCAGGAGTCTTACAATCAACAACTTATTAAAGTTTACTTTTCATTTCCTCTGTAGGCTATCCACTTAAATACCATTCAGGCTTTTTTATATGATCAGGAACAAATAGTCTCGCAGATATTTTACCTGGTCTCAAAGGCCCTGTAAATTTAAACTTATTTTTCTATTCATCTTATTCTTCCTATTTTTTATGAAAAGTCTTATGAATTGGCCAATATCGTTTAAAGCATTCTTAATCGCAAAAGTACGCCGGAGCTAAAGCCATTTTTATACAAGTTGGACATTACAAAGTTGCAGGTTTACTACAATCAATAGTTTGACAAATGTATGTCCCTATTGCAGAATCCATTAATTAATTTAATTTGGATGTCTTAAATCTTAAAGAAGGCAACTAAATACAGAACTGTCTCCACAATCCTTTAACATGGAGAGGCTCATCTTAAAGACCCTTACACATTGCCTCCAGAAATTATCACTCCTCCAGCACGTAACAATTTATTTTTATTTTCATCATAACAGCCAGAAAGGAAAGAAAGCCAGATGATATTACTGATTTCCCTTAATAAAAATTTGTCTTGCTACCTGAATCCATACCATATCCAGAAGGTAAATATAGACCAGCCTCAGTCCCTTATGTTGCTGGTTTCTATCCATATAATTGCTATCTCTAAAAAGGAAAGGTATTACTTAATATCCATATCCAGATATATCAATGGTGTTCATGTGGTATCTCATAAGCAAATCCATGGTGTGATGGAATGTGCAATGCCTCAGCTACAAGAAACAGACCAATTAAATTTAATGTTGATACATCAGGATATTATAAATTATGCAATTGCAAATAAAGTGCTAATGCTCCTTTTTGCAATGGCACACATAGGTAATCACTTTATCAATTTTCAGATAAGTGATTCGTTAATATCATGCTGGATTTAGAGGTTTCTATGAACTCTGGGGTTGGGCTGCATTTATGGGAACAACCGGTTTTATGATTTGGAATTTCCACAATTGATATTTACAACAAACAAAAATATTATAATTTAACTAGAATTTTATTCAATTCCATCCAATTCAATTTATTTATTTACAAAAATATGAGTTACTCTTATTCTAAATTGTCCTCTTACATTAGATCTCCTTACACAGCTCCATCCTCTAATTCCTCTTCTTGGAAATCTACCCCTTTAACTGGTAACAAATTTAAATTTTAATTTTAGGTATATCGTTAATTGAATAATTGCCATACGAAAGGTATTCAGAACATGTACCTGGATCTTAAATAGAATATTTACCAATAGAAAAACGATATAAGGATTATTTGGAAGATAGAAGATATTTTCAAGATCGTTATAATGATTTTGTAGCAGTTGGTAGATTAGAAAGAAAAGAGTAACTTTATCGTTTAGATTACTACAATACTAATTTGCATAATGTTATTAATGATAGATAAAAAGGTTATTTCTAGATTCAAAATTGATTGAGAAATGTTATATAAATATTTAAAGAATAATTATTAAAATTTATAAAGTAGATTGGAATCGGGTGTCTGAAATATAAAATTTGAAGATGAGCCAATGAAACAATTAAATATGAGAAATAAGTTCCATATTCTACCTATTTTTATAAGTAGGCATAATAAATGAATATTAAGTGTATTTATATTTCCAAAAAGTGAAAGCATGATATTTATTTTATCCTTAAAAAGGTAGAATTCATATAAAGTTGAAACAGATATTCAATTTAGAGAGTAATGATTATTAATTAGATTTTTACTATAACAATTCTAAGATTACAGAGATGTTCTTGATTTTTAAAACATTTTGGTTTTGAAGTGGACAAGAATGATTTACGAGAGGGTAACTCTTATTTAGATTTAGATAGAGATTGGGCTCTGAATTTTTAAGAATTTACAGAAAATCCATCTTCTTTGAAAAAATTCAGAAATAAAATGACTAAGATGCAGAATACACTATAATTGAATGCTATAGAAATTGTGTATATTCCATTAAGTGTGGGGACAATGTTAACTTATTTATCATATATGATAAGAAGTGAGAAACATAAAGATTTATATGAAAAAGGGAATTAGGAAACAGATAAGATATATTAAACATTTGTAATATAATAGTAACTCAAGTGTGAAAGTCAGTAGCAGATGATGCTTATGATTTGTATATAAAAGCATAATACAAATTAATGAATGCAATAATAAAATCGAATTCATCTTTACATCAATTAGACATAAAATAATAGCGAGCTAGATACAATATTTTGCTAAGTACTTTACCTGATTTATAGCCATGATTTTTTAGAAATATGTCAATGATAGATGTAGATTAGAAAATTAAAAAAGGTAGTTCAATTATTAACTTAATTAGAAATCAAATCGTATCATAGGAGATAATAGATTTTAGATGAGAGCGATATTTCAGATGAAGAATTTTCATAAAAAGAAAATGACTTAAAGAAATTATTGGTAAAGGCTTAAACTGATGGTAAATAATAGGCTTAAGTATTAATTACATAAAGAAGTAAAGATTAACATAACAGATCACAAATTAGTTTGTTGAGTTTGGAATAAGTGGATGGTGAAATACCAAAGACGAGTAAAAATAAATACCAGTTAAATAATATCTTAGAAGATATAAGATTTAAGAAGTACGAATAATCTTGTGTTACAACATCTTTAAAATATCATTAATTGATCGATCTCCTCATCAATGTACTTTAGCTTCTAATGATTTACGATCTAATGATAATACTCTATTCTCTAATCGTCCATTAACATTACCTTAATTATTTTGACTATTTGATTTATTTATATTAATTTATATAATTATGTACTAAATCCCAGATAATTATTATGATGAAGTAATACTGAAATTTCTTAATGTTTATAGTCAGCTGTTTTAGCCTTATAAAAACATAGAAATGAAAGAACCCCTATTGAAGTGTTTTACATGACAAAATATTTTAGATAGTTTCAATGTTTCTATGGTTACAATGATGAAATCATTAGGAATTGTTGTAGTGTAATTTATAAATAATTTCTCAAATAGAAAATGAGATATGAAATTATCCATCCAAATCAATTGATATTTAAGAGATTTGACTAAATAACTGAGGATTAAAAAAAGTTCTACATTATTTTGTAAGGTGAACTAGGAATTTATCTCTCTATTGGTTTACTTCCAGAAAATATTAAAGATGTAGAATTTAAGGAAGTATCAACAATTAAAATGTATCAACATTTTGGACATCAACTGTTTTGTTTGACTAAAGAAGACATCTTTGAATAGTAATCTTCAATTCTAAATAGGTATGGTTTAATTATCAAGGCAAAGAAACAAACCTTGGTTGCAACTCTCAACTTTCAATATTTTCATGCTTATCTATTCTAGTCAGAGTAACGTAAGATCAGTTATGAAATTAGTAGATTGTATGATTTCTGCTTATTTAAAGAAATTTAGTATAAGGAATTGAAAGTATTATTCTATTTCACTAAGGAAATTCTATATCAATTCTTATTAACAATCACATAGTTATAAGGATAAAGTGTGCACTTAAGGAGATCAAGCATATTGTGTATATTTCATACTTCGAGGATAATATTCCATCGTTAGACGAATCAATGAACATGAAATTTAAACATTGGGAATTATTTCTGAAGGAGAAATTATTGGAGAATACGAAATTTTAAACAATATTGATACAAAACCCTATACTTTACTTTGTTAATCAGAAAAAGGAGAAATACTTATTTGTGATTCTTAATTATTTCTAAATTATGTCTTTCTATTAATCAGAGATAATCTAGAATAAACTATTGAAGCTAAATTCAATTTCCATCAAATGGATAAAACGTCCATTAAATTTGAATTGAATAAATAAAATTAAAATATTCATAGAAGATAATCTATTGAAGATGTTTGCAGATAAAATAAATATCATTATCTTATGAGACCAATTAGAAGAAAAGTTCATTTATCTAACAGTGAATATTATGGAAAATAATCTTACTATTAACTCTTTGTTGACATTTATAATATAGCTAGTACATAAACTTAGTAATTATTTTTATATCTTTATAGATTGGCAAATGATGAGAGGAAAAGAAGAATAACACATTATGTTAGAAATACTCTCAAACCTATGTAATAAAAGTTAAAGTCAGCATTAAATATTTCAGCAAATAAAACTGATGAATCTATCATCAAATATAATAAAGGATTTCCTTTACATAATGAAATGCTCATTTAAGCATTAAAAAGAAATAATGAATCAAGGTTTAGAAAGACATTTCAAAAAACCTAGAGTTTAGCTAATATTAGTCCATCTAAAAAATAAAGTAGAGCAGATATAATTGATTTGGGTGAACATTTAATAATAAAGAAATAATATAAATCAAGTGATAAACTTATATAAAATAATTAATGAAAAAAAACAATTAATCAACTATCACAGATATTTATTATGACAAGTTATTACGATAAGAAATTCTATTTTGCAGAAACCAATAGACTATTTAGGAATGCATACAATTACTTTTGAAGGATCCTACCATTCGATTAGAGTAAGAAAATGAAAAACTAGAATAATTCTTACGAGGCCATGAATTCTTTAGACTATCTGATAATCAATTCTTAAAAGATTGTTGCTAAGTAACCATCATTTCTTAAATAGTTAATGAGATTTGAATAGTTTCAAAAAAATTAAGTAATCTTTTAAAAGAACGATTTTGATAAAAACAAAGTTATTATCATTCTAACAGGAGATGTGGTTTTCAATAAAGGTAACCAAGAAATGATTCATCTCTAACACTTTGGATCTAATCTTCTAATTTTAGGAAGTGAATACTATGCTGAAATGTATACATACATGATTTTAGACCAGATTGGTATGTCATCTCTAAAACACCATGTAAAGTGGCTGCTATTTCCAGACATGATTTCAGAGTTAATCTTTTGACCTCAGAACTTAGTCGAGTTACTAAGGAAATTTCAAATTTATATAGTTTACCTATTTTCTTAAATGTTCCTTATTCTAAAGTACGTAAATTCTATGCCAATTCTGTTACATAAACATTTTAATAATTAGATATTGTTTATCTCCAAGAGTAAATGGTCAAACAGATCTATTTAGTAATTTATGGCATTTTTGAATTAAGAGAATTAGAAAAAGGAGTTGCAAAAGCAGTTCACATTTACACTTAAGGATAATTAATTGGTGAAAATGAATTTCATAATTAATCTTCTCTCAGAAATGGAACTGCCTTTTGTATTAGTGAAGAAGGTCTATTATTATTATTTGACTCATAATACTTCTAAGAACATGTTTTTCCATTAATTATTGACAATATATCTAGATCCTCTTCTATTCAAAAGTTTAAAAATCAAGATTCTGATTTTCCAAAATTATCTTTAACCAGAGAATTTAATTAAAAAAGAACTATTTCGAGACAATATAATTTTAAAAGATCATCAGATAATTTAGATGTTAATTCTAATAATTAATCAAAACCTAATACAAAATTTTTGTAATCGCGAAAATCTTCCTTATCGTTCAATTCAATTTCTAATTCATAAACTAATTTATTAGAAGAAGCTAGTCAAATTTTTATTAATAATTTTCAATAAAAAATTTCTAAGTACTCAGAAGATACATTAATTAATTCTGCATAAATTATTAATTCATAAGAATTAAATAGAACAACAAAAAGAAAATCCTAAAAATCAAATCGAATTTTGAATGATAATAACCAATTAGAATCTAATAAATAAGATAGTTCAAATAGATTTATACTAAACAGATAAAATTAATTCCTAAAAACTACTCAAAAATTAACATAAACAAATTTTCAATAGAAGCCTTATTAATAATAGCTTAATTCAAGAGCATCATTAAATAATCAGTTATTGAATAAATTTTTGAATCGCAAGGAAGAATATGGTGATATTGCAAGTAAAAATTAAATGAGAAGGACTTTATCATAAACTATAATTGAAAAAAAAACTATAAAAATTAATAAATGAATGATTTATAATAAATATTAATATAATGAAAAAAATGGTTTCGGAGGGGATCGAACCCTCGACCGTCAGCTTATTAGACTGACGCTCTAACCAACTGAGCTACGAAACCTGTATTGATATAATGAATTCTAATTTTCATAAATATATGTAGCAATCAAAATAGGAGATATTAATAAATTAAAATTAAGCTAGCAATTCTTTTCCTATTTTATACTCGTTAAGTCATGCATTGATTTTTAATTGAAACTCAATCTCAAAATTTTCAAACCATATATAAGCTATATCATTAAAAAAACTTATAAACTATTTATAGAATATGATTTCAATAATTATAAACTAATTTCATTATTTTTCAAGTACCATATTTAATAGATGATTATTGTAATATCTAATTTATAATTTTCAATGATTTTTAAATTTACACATCCATAATTTATATCTTTATCATTGGAAATTTGTTAAAAAATATATATTAGAAACATAAATGAAAACCTTCTATGAAAAAATTTCGAGTGAATAATTGAAAACACAAAAATCATAGAATATCTATAAAATGAATTTCTATTTTTAATTTTCCAAATGTTTTTGAACATTATTTATTTTATTCTTTTATAATTAAAAAGTACATTAAATTCAGTTTATAACGATAATATTATTATGAATTCTTTAATTCAATAGCATCGATCAGCTTCTATAAGATAGAGGCATTTTTTGAATATGACTTAATCCCAGACTGTTCGATTTTAATCTCCTTTGAATAACTTAGATAATTGCACAACAATCTAAAAGGAACTCATCCATAAACTTGTTCATACATTAAAATTGGGTCCGAATAAGAAATGTAAAGAAAATAAACAACCAAAGTCAAGATCATAATTAAACTCTGGTTAAAAATAGAGAATGCTAGAGGATAGATTATAAAAATTAGAAATTCCAAATTCACCCACTTATAGTACAAAAAATAGAAGAACATTTAACTAGACTCTTCCTCATATTAGCTAAGATAAATATAGAAGCTTCAAAATGTTATAATTTCTAGGTAAAGGGAAATATAGTAATGTCCATTTAGCAGTTGATGAAAATACAAATTATCATGTAGCTCTAAAAGTAATGAAGAAATAATAAATTTGTTCTATGTCTTAAAGTATAGCATAGGAAATAAAAATATAATACTTATTAAATCATCCAAACATAGTTAAACTTTATACATTTTTTTAAAATGGTAAATAAAAATATTAGCATATTTTTAGTAGATGAGATAGTATTGGTATTGGAATATTGTCCTTAGGGTTAAATTCATAAGATTTTAAAAAGTTTACCAGAATGTAGCTTTTCAGAAGAGTTAGCATCATCATATATAAAATAAATTTTAAGTGCATTAGTTTATTTGCATAGAAATGGAATAATTCATAGAGACCTAAAGCCTGAAAATATATTTTTATGTTATGTAAAGAAGATTGTAATAAACTTAGAATTAAGTAAAAATAGCAGATTTTACATATTCTGTTTATTCTCCTTAAGATGAAAGATAGACTTAATGTGGATCTCTGGCATACTTATCACCAGAGATTATAAGAGGAGAGAATTATGATAAGAGTACAGATATGTGGTCTTTAGGAGTTTTAGCATATGAATTATGTTGTGGTGAAACTCCTTGGGAAGATTTAAGATAAGATGAGATGCAATAAATGATTTAAGATGGCAATATAAAGTTACCCCATTTTTTTTCAGATGAATTAAAGGACTTTATTAGTAAATTAGTTACAGCTGATTCTAAAATGAGAATGACTGCAAAATAAGCTATAAATCATCCATGGGTCTAATAATCAGAAATATAGTTAAGTAAATTTGAATTCAACATTTGATGTATTTCAATTATTTTCAATCATGATTTAATAAATTAATTCATCGTATATGCCAAACAACCTATTAATCCTTTCATATAATTCAAATCTAACATTTCATTAGCTCCATGGGCATTAGAATCAGGCCCAAGAACTCCTAAAACAAGGAATTCAGCTTAAGGAGATCTTTCATTTAATTAATTCAAAAATGGAATTGATGCACCTTCATGAAAAACTCTAGATTCATTCCCTTTGAAAAAAATCTTAGATGCTGAATTCAGAATCTCTTTTAATTTAGGACTGAAAGATTTTATGTTAAGTCCTGTTCCTGCAGCAATTATATTCGCTTTCACATTTGCATTAAATGGTGGATCTTTTTCAAGTAATTATTTAACAAAATTAGCAGCTTCTTTTGCACATTTATTTGGTGGTAATCTAATAGACAGTCTTATTGTTAATTCAGGAACTATTTAATCAATATTTTATTATAATAAAGGAAATCCATCCTACCCTATATAAGACACAGCAGGTTTCCAATTTCGATTAATATATTATTGTACATTGCAAGATTCCATTTTTTCAGATTATCTAGCAAACTCAATTTTAACTAAGTCTGCAGATTGTAAACATTCCTCATAACGATCTGGTGGAATAATTGTATGCAATGATTTATGAACTAAACCAGTATTTGGATCTTCTAATCTATTAAGTAAAATCCTCATAATATTCAATGGTTATGGTACTACTCCTGCTTCATCAGCATCAATAGGATATTCCAATACTTTTACATTTAAATCTATTTTCATAGAACCTCTAAGTGAACTAGTTAACCATAACCTTTCATAATCTCCACTTCCTGAATCTAAAGCTACCATAATATCAACTCTCTTTAAATTAAGAATATCATAATATTGCATTAAAAAATTGCTACCACTTTCTTCTTCTCCTTCAAATAACATTTCAATAGTAGGATATTCTAAACCTTGAGATAATAAAGTTTATAAAGCACCAATTGCTGCATATGGAGCATAACCATCATCTGCAACTCCTCTTCCATACATTCTATTATCTTCTATTACAGGTGTAGTCGGACCAAATCCATCTCTCCATCCGGGAAAGTGAGGCTACTTATCATAATGTCCATAATAAAACACAACAGTCGGATTTAAACTTTAAATATTCACATGAATAGCTCTTGGAGCACCTTTTATTTACAATACTTCTACTTTACAATTTTTAATGTTTTATTACTATATATCTTTAATTTTTTATACTTCAATCCAAGATACTATGTGATCACAAGCTTTGTCAAGAAGACCATTTTTATCCCATTCTGGATCAAATTAAGGACTTAAGTTTGGAATTCTAACAAAATCACTTAAAGATGGCAATATTTATGCTTTTGTAAAATTTTCAATAAATTTTTCCATTTATATTATTTTATTTTCTAATAAATGAATATTACTAAAATAATTGAAGAAATTGTGAATACAGGTTCAAGAGGAAAAGATCTTTTAATGGAAGCCTTTATTATTGGCTTAGCTTGGGGAAGAGGGTATAATATATATAGTTTATTATAAATTAGAGAATTAAAAAATCTATAGAATTTATAAAAAGCAATCTAATAACTAATATCTTTAAATCATTAAATTAATAGCTCTCAAGTTTGCTCCTTTTAAAAGCTGGATTAATTCAATGAATATCTTAACAATGTATTTCTTCATTCATATTGATAGAACTTACAATTATTCAAAATTCCCAAATTATTTGCTTTCATTTCTCCTCATTAATTATCCTCACCTTAAAAACCATTGTAATCAAATTAATAAACATTACAAAATACAATTAATAAATAGTAATAATAATTTAACATTTCCTGTGATGATTAATCTTCGAAACTCTGTCAAATATGTCATTTTATAATTGAGATATCTTAAAATCAATAATCAAAACTCTCAGATTGCTAACATTAATTTCATTCTTTATGCCTATATATCCACAGTTAATAAAATGGAAACTTCTGTCCAGTTTGTAAGAATCAACTAGCAAAAGATTATATTAAAGTTCTACTCGAGAACTTACCAGAATAATACAAATCATGCTGTCCCAATTAAAAATGTTTTGATTCATTCTTATACTATGGATAAGATTTATTTGAATGTAACTCTTGTTTAACATAATGGTGTTTAAAATGTAAGAGATAATAACATTAAAACAACAATTGCATTCTAGAATTTGATCATTTTCATATGTAAATGGGATTCAAATATAAATTTTGTTCAAACTCTCAAAAATTTTTATTCTTAAATAAACTACCAAGTTAAAATAATTTAAAAAAATGTTGAAAATGATCTAATGATTAGAAATTTTTTATTAAATCTTAATTTAATTTCATATAAAAACTTGATTTATAACTAAAAATTTCTAACCTCAAAAGGAGGTGGATAATTTTCTAAGGTATTTTTGAAATCTTTTGTAATGCTCTGTTGATAATTTTTCTGAGTTTTTTGACCTAATGCACTTTAGTGTGATTTTAGAAGAAATTTGATATCTTTCTAAAATAAGACTGATTACTGGTCTTGTGATTAACTTTATGCTTGGAAAAATAAGAATACAGAATTTCCTCTAAAGATATGAAAGAAAAAGCAAAAATAGAAATCTGCTTATAGGTAGCAGAAAGAAAACATCCTAATGAGAGTAATTAGATGCAATGTTACCCTTAAAAGTAAGCAACCCTCTTAAAAAGAATCTCTATTCAATATTCCCATCCGATCTCATATATTTTTGTGTAGCTTTTGTAGTATACATTTACACTAAGATTCAATAAAAATTTTTACAACGGTTTGACCCTCCTAAATAAAAAAATTAATTTATTTTGGAGGAAGCCCTGTAGTTTAAGGAGTAAAATAAAATATAAATTAAAATTTTTCATTTTTGTCGATAAAATTTTTCATACTTTTTTAACTTCAATTCATTTATTTTTTAATTAAAATAAGAATTATCATTCAAAATAAAATAAATTAAATATTCAGTTCTGATGATATGGCATTTTACTCTAGGATTTCATATTCAATGAGAAATTATTATTTTTAATTTCATTTAAACTCTTATTTAGAATTAAAAAAATAAATTTAATATTGTAATTTTATAGAAAAACTTATTTAAACTCTGAATTTATATCTTATTATTCCCCTGAATTCCAGGCCTTCCCAAAAATAAATTAATCTTTTTATTTAGGAGGATCATACCTCATGAAAATTTATTANTCCCAATTAAAAATGTTTTGATTCATTCTTATACTATGGATAAGATTTATTTGAATGTAACTCTTGTTTAACATAATGGTGTTTAAAATGTAAGAGATAATAACATTAAAACAACAATTGCATTCTAGAATTTGATCATTTTCATATGTAAATGGGATTCAAATATAAATTTTGTTCAAACTCTCAAAAATTTTTATTCTTAAATAAACTACCAAGTTAAAATAATTTAAAAAAATGTTGAAAATGATCTAATGATTAGAAATTTTTTATTAAATCTTAATTTAATTTCATATAAAAACTTGATTTATAACTAAAAATTTCTAACCTCAAAAGGAGGTGGATAATTTTCTAAGGTATTTTTGAAATCTTTTGTAATGCTCTGTTGATAATTTTTCTGAGTTTTTTGACCTAATGCACTTTAGTGTGATTTTAGAAGAAATTTGATATCTTTCTAAAATAAGACTGATTACTGGTCTTGTGATTAACTTTATGCTTGGAAAAATAAGAATACAGAATTTCCTCTAAAGATATGAAAGAAAAAGCAAAAATAGAAATCTGCTTATAGGTAGCAGAAAGAAAACATCCTAATGAGAGTAATTAGATGCAATGTTACCCTTAAAAGTAAGCAACCCTCTTAAAAAGAATCTCTATTCAATATTCCCATCCGATCTCATATATTTTTGTGTAGCTTTTGTAGTATACATTTACACTAAGATTCAATAAAAATTTTTACAACGGTTTGACCCTCCTAAATAAAAAAATTAATTTATTTTGGAGGAAGCCCTGTAGTTTAAGGAGTAAAATAAAATATAAATTAAAATTTTTCATTTTTGTCGATAAAATTTTTCATACTTTTTTAACTTCAATTCATTTATTTTTTAATTAAAATAAGAATTATCATTCAAAATAAAATAAATTAAATATTCAGTTCTGATGATATGGCATTTTACTCTAGGATTTCATATTCAATGAGAAATTATTATTTTTAATTTCATTTAAACTCTTATTTAGAATTAAAAAAATAAATTTAATATTGTAATTTTATAGAAAAACTTATTTAAACTCTGAATTTATATCTTATTATTCCCCTGAATTCCAGGCCTTCCCAAAAATAAATTAATCTTTTTATTTAGGAGGATCATACCTCATGAAAATTTATTACAAAAAAAAAAATGAATAAAATGAGCTATTTTATTGTTTTAAAAAAAGTTTGTTTGATTAAATAGTTTATTTTATATTATAAACATATTCTACTATAAATAAAATAATTGAAGAGTTCAGATCTCATTTGATTATTTATTTTAGGAAAAATAAAAGGAAACAATTGGTTAATAAACATGATGTGTAGATATTTACATCTGCTGAAATATTTGTAGAGTAATTTTAATTATCTTAAAGTAGAATCTTAAGAAAATAGAAAACAATAAAAGAGATCGTATAATAAACATATTGAAAAGAAACATTGATGAAACGGATATGGGAGAATATAAGATTATGTAAGATTAAATATAGATAAAAATGCTTAAAATATTTAGGGCAATATAAATAGTTTTAGATTAAATTTAATGTTATATATTTGAATTCAAGAATAAAAAAATTGAATTTAAATTGTTTATTTGTAAACTGCCTTTATATTAATGCTCTGATAAATCAATTTTCATTTGACTCCATGATAAATGGTCCATTCTTTTGGAAATAGATCATTTCTAAATCTTCCCTTTTAATGATAATGGTAAAAAGGAGTTTTAAGAGTGCTCATAACTTTTTATTAGATTTTCATAGCCTCTAATTTATCTCTATATTTTTTAGACTCTGTTTCAGAAGTATCAAAACGATCTAAAGCAATTTTAGTTTATGGATGATCGATTCCATGTTTAGCCTAAAATAGAGAGAGTAATTACTATAGCTTAAGCTAAATCTTGAGCTTCATTGCCTTTAGTGATTGGTTGTTAAGGTAAATATCTCCTAAAGAAATGACGAATCAATTTTCTAGTGATAATATAATTAGGTGGAGGACCCATAATTAATTTTTAATGATAATATTGAGTGCAATTTTCTTTTACGTGCTTTCAGGATAGACATACCTGAGTAACGAATATTTGATGCGTATTACTGTAATAACTTAGCATGTCTGGAGTCATTATCTACGAAATGGCATCTTAGTGAAACAGGAACAGGCATTTTGATGGCTCTAGGAATGTCCATACCTGAATTAACAACAAATATTTTATCTTGTTTTTCATCATCTAGAATTGGTTATGGATTTGGAGCAATAGTTGGAAGTGGTGTTTTTGGTATTGAGTTTATTTTATAAAAAGACTTTACTGTCTGTTTTGGTTTGATGTCACTCTTTTCTAATTATTATCATAAAAAGGCTTTAAGAATGAATTTAAAGGCTTTAATGAGAGATATTTATGTGTATTTGCTTACTCTATTATTTTTAACTTTCGTATTTTGGGATTATGAAGTATACAATATTTTATATCAAAATAGATATCCCTTACAGAAGCATTAATTCTTACATTATTTTATCCATCTTATTTATTATATTCTATAGTATAAATGGATTAAAAAGATGATTTTTAACTTTCTCACTAGAAACATCACTTTCCTACTTTATTGTAATTTCTTGATTTTCATCCTGAATAAATAGAAGATTTAGATGTCGATGGAAAAGAAATTGGAGAAGAGAAGAATGAAGAACCAGAACAAGAAGATAAATAACCATCCAAGATACTATTACCTTTTACATTACTTTTTAAATTTACAATTCCAAAACATCCAGAATTTGCCTTTATTATAATTTCTTTTTATTGTTTTCTTACTGTTAATGTAACAATGACTGTTGTTGATGAATTCGTGGAATAGTTTGCAGTAAGTCCTGCTTTTGTTGGCTTAACTATTGCTAGTTGGGGAGGAAATATTCAAGGTCATTTTATTATTAATCATAGATATACTAAATGCTTCTCTTGCAGCTAAAAACAAAAAGACTGAACTAGCTACTTCAAGTATTATTGGTAGTTAAATCATGAATTTACAAATATGCTTAGGGTTTCCTTGGGTTCTTACAATGTTAATTTGGTAAAGAAACATTACATTTTATGATGAAACTATATCACAATCTATGTTGGCTATCATGACAGTTGTCTTAGTTTCTTTTTTTTTAATGTTGTAACAAAAGTTAAGATTAACTTATAAGTTGGGAGCAATGTTGCTAAGCATATATATTCTGTATTTTATTTATGAATTACTATAATAATGATATTATAAATGTATATTTAATCAATATTTTTTATGCTGATGGTATATCTGTTATTTGATATATCCATTTCTAGTTACTTTTGGCTCATATCCTGAACCAAAAGTTTAGGTTTAAATTTTAATTCAGAAGATAAATGACTTTGTTATTAAATAAGATCAACAGATTATTTTAATTCAAATCTTTTTGAAAAAATAATCTGATAAATTTAATTAGAATCAAAGATATTATATGTCTTCTTTATGTCTTCTACTTTAAATAATAATTTAGATATTCTTTTATTCAATCTTCGAATCGTTACTAAAAGTTCAATTCACAATCATTATTCTATGAAACTATAATATTTTGATATCTCTAATATTTCAGAGTCAATGGTTTTTGAATTCTGACTAAGTGATCTTTATCTTATCATTTAATTAATTATTGTATAACAAATGAATTTCTCTTGCCCGTAAAAAGAACATATAATAAAATTTTCATCTGTTTGGGATTACCTTAACCATCTTCAAAAATGTCATATCATCAATGAGCGTATCCAAATATTTGGTGAAACTAAAAAGTATCAATAATCTTAAAGTATGCAGTGAATATTACTTTTGCGCCTTTTGTTTGTAAGTTTTTGAATTTATAGCTGAAAGAGATAGCCACATCCCTAATTGCAAAAAAGAAAACTTGACTTAAATTTTTAAAGATGATAATGTAAATTACAATCAATATCAGAAAAGTTATCAATTCCTTTAGGGAAAACAGGAAAATCAAAGATTTAAGACTTGATAAATCAATATAAAAGGCAACTTAATTCAAAGAAATCAATCCTAACATCGACAAAAGAGGATTCTTTTAATGACCAAAATGATGTTATCATTTCTGCAGATCCACGATTATGCATACCTAAAATTGAATTCAACCAAATCAAAGCTAGAAATATACCAATCATTGATAAAATCAGTTTTAATTTATTGAGCGGGCATTTAATAATGGAAGCTGCTTATTTTAAATTACATAATAATTATAAAATAGAATAAGTAAATAGGGAATTCTCATTTAAAATTAAATCAGATAAACTCAAATAAATTGCGATTACACACAATTTTCAATTCACAAAACAATTATTAGAAGAATCCAAAGTTTTAGAATTTTGTGAATTGAAATTAGATAAGAACCCTGAAATATATTTACAAATCGTTTAAAACTCTCATTATAAGTCTTTTTGGCTTCTAATGCCAGAAAGTTAAAATTTTGTTAAGGATTTTTGTTTTGATGAGCCATGGTGTATTTTTAACATTAATATGATTCAAATGCTTGATTAAAAATAAAACATTACTTAAATGCCAACAAAAAAATAAGATCCTATCATTTAGCAATTATAAATGGAACTTTAAAAGTAGGAGGAAGAAAGTAAACTGTTAAAAGAAAAATTACAAAATAGCTTTTAAGATATTGCATAGATATAGGAACAAAATTAAACTATGATATAGGCATAAGATAAAAAAGAAGTTACCCTAGTCTAATCTCAAATAAAGTTAAGAGAAATGGATTTTGGACTTGAAAATGTAAAAGAACAATATAATCTATTAAATAAAGAAAAATTATTAAGTGCAGAATAGAATTTAAATGGATTTTATAATATTTAGAAATAAATTCACTCCCATAATTTGTCTAAGAGGATTGAAGAACTAAATATAGATTACAAATAAAAAACACATAAATTAAAAAAAACTATTTAATCATTAGAAAATAAAAGAGATAATATGGTAACCTAATTTGAAAATCTGAAAAACCAAATCTAGATAAAGTAAAAATAAATGAATTCAAAATTAGCAAAAGCCTCATCAACAAAGTAAAAGGTAATCTTTTTTTAAACTAAATAGATTTAAATGATTAAATAATTGTTATGTATTTAGTGTAAACAATCAGAAAGGAATGTTATTTAATTCCCATGCCAACATTTCCTTTTTTGCGAAACATGCTTTTTAACAAAAGTATCAACTAAAAATTTTTCTTGTCCCCTCTTCGATGTTTCAGAATGCTAAGCAGAGTAACTATCATCCAAATATAAAACTGTCAATATCATAAATTTATGAACGTTTAAACTATATTAAAGAATAGAATATATAGTTTAAATTTTATTTATTTAATTAATTTGTGAAGTTCAATGGATGAATAATCAAAAGAATTGTATTAATGTCGGTATAAACCGTAATAAAATACCAATACAAATACCAATAGTTAAATTGAATCACATGAACAAAATTAAAGTTAACATACATCAGCACCTATAGATATTAATCATTCTATCAGTAATTCGAACCTAAAAAATTAAATCCAAGACAATAAACAATTACAATCAGAAAGAGAAAATAAATAAATGTTCTAGTCAAACACATATTAATAAAACTCATAAATATCAATGAATTAAACGTCTGAATCAAACTAAAATTAAAATAACATAGTTTAAATATAATCAAAACCAATGAATCAAAATTCCGAATCAAACTAAAATTAAAATAGCATGTTTTAAAGACTATAGAATCAAAATTTTGAATTAAACTAAAATTAAAATAACATAGTTTAAATATAATCAAAACCAATGAATCAAAATTCCGAATCAAACTAAAATTAAAATAGCATGTTTTAAAGACTATAGAATCAAAATTTTGAATTAAACTAAAATTAAAATAACATAGTTTAAATATAATCAAAACCAATGAATCAAAATTCCGAATCAAACTAAAATTAAAATAGCATGTTTTAAAGACTATAGAATCAAAATTTTGAATTAAACTAAAATTAAAATAACATAGTTTAAATATAATCAAAACCAATGAATCAAAATTCCGAATCAAACTAAAATTAAAATAGCATGTTTTAAAGACTATAGAATCAAAATTTTGAATTAAACTAAAATTAAAATAACATAGTTTAAATATAATCAAAACCAATGAATCAAAATTCCGAATCAAACTAAAATTAAAATAGCATGTTTTAAAGACTATAGAATCAAAATTTTGAATTAAACTAAAATTAAAATAACATAGTTTAAATATAATCAAAACCAATGAATCAAAATTCCGAATCAAACTAAAATTAAAATAGCATGTTTTAAAGACTATAGAATCAAAATTTTGAATTAAACTAAAATTAAAATAACATAGTTTAAATATAATCAAAACCAATGAATCAAAATTCCGAATCAAACTAAAATTAAAATAGCATGTTTTAAAGACTATAGAATCAAAATTTTGAATTAAACTAAAATTAAAATAACATAGTTTAAATATAATCAAAACCAATGAATCAAAATTCTGAATCAAACTAAAATTAAAATAGCATGTTTTAAAGACTATAGAATCAAAATTTTGAATTAAACTAAAATTAAAATAACATTGTTTAAATATAATCAAAACCAATGAATCAAAATTCTGAATCAAACTAAAATTAAAATAGCATGTTTTAAAGACTATAGAATCAAAATTTTGAATTAAACTAAAATGAAAATAACATAATTTAACAATAATCAATACCAATGAATCAAAATTCTGAATCAAACTAAAATTAAAATAGCATGTTTTAAAGATTATAGAATCAAAATTTTGAATTAAACTAAAATGAAAATAACATAATTTAACAATAATCAATACCAATAAAACAAGTTTTTGAATAAAACTTAGATATCAGTCAAACTATATTCATCACTAAAATATAGGTATGTCAAAATTGTAGAAGTGGAGTTCGCCAAGATCTTTTTTAATTGCCCTGCCAGCACACATACCACAAGGCATGTTTACAAGAACTAATATAATCTAATATTAATTTTGAAAAAGCCATTATTTTCTGTTCATGTATGATGAAAATACCTTAAATATTAATTTTGAGTTTAATTCCAAATAAAGAAAATATAGAAAAAAGGAGAAAGTATTTTATTAACTAATTATGTTTAATAATTGAAAATGCACCTAATGATTTTAGATCTAAAATTTAGGGAGAATCTAAACATTCAAAACCTTTGAGGGATTTATTAAAAGAGTTGATGATAGAGGATGATACTCCTATAAAATTATGTTAACGTTGAATAAATTAATAATTAATATAAATTAAAATCTATTAAAGTATTAGTTATTAAACTATGGAGAAATAAAAAAGATTTTCTTGACTACCGAAAAAAACTTCATTTTTCTACCATAGAATTAAATTAATAGAATATATTTTGAATGTCAGAATAAATTTACAAATTACAAAATTAAGAAGATAAGCGAATTGAAGAATCAAAAAGCCCAGTCACAATCAAAAAAGATATAAATCTTAGTATCCTGGGAAATAATCTTCCTTCCTACTCTACTATTCATACAAAAAATACTACTCTTAATATAAAGGATATTTTAGGCATCATCAAAAAATTTTGAAGATACTGGTGAATTGATTTCCAGCTTTGGTAGAATTAAACCTGATATTGTGCAATAAAAAAACTTTGATTCCTAATCATTTTAAATAAAAATTTAGAGAAAAAAACCAAAACGACGGATAAAAAACAAAATAAATAGATTATTTTAAAAAAGATACCTTTGGAAAGTACAGAATACTTAGAGAAATGAGAAATGAAAATTAGAAAAATAAAGGTAAAAAGAAGCGGAGTTAAGAAGAAAAAAAAAAAAAGATGATTCAAAAATAAAAAAAGGAGATATTTTCAAAATGATATAATAACTTCTCTAAATAAAAATGTTTTAGGAATTTGCTCAATACAGTCATAAAAGAGATAAGATTTAACCCGAGAAATCTTAAGTAAATTAAGTGTTGATGTATAGAAAAGAAGAACTAGGAAAAAATTAAATTAAATGGAAGGAGTTATAAAAATTTAGAAAGACTTGATTTATAGATAATATAATAAAAATAATTCAATATTTAAAAAGCCTTTTATATTAAAAGCTACCTTTTGCATCCGAGAATTCATATGATATATTAGACGGAGATTTTCGATGATGAATTTAATCTTGAGAAAGTTTTTTGAAGCTATTTTCAATACTAGAATATTTGGTTGAGTTTGCTTAAGGTAATTTAAGAAGTGCTTTTTATTTTTAAGAAACTGCAAATTATATCATATCCTCATATAAGCTATTTTATTGCGATTATCCAAAGGAAGTCAACTTTTATTATGACTAATATTATTATTATTGTTCTGGTAATTCATTTTAAGCTTCTTAATTAATAAAATTGAATGGAAGTTGATTTTAATTATTTTATTCTTCAGATTAAATTTTTTGTTATAAAAAGGATTTAAATTATTAAGAATTTACTCTTTTGTTTTTTTTTAAACTTTCTTTTCTTTATTGATTCATTTTAATAAGTCCAATTTGACTCTACTATTTGAGAAAAGTAAAATTTCTTAAAGTTTATTTTGATGAATTGTATTATCTAACTTTTATCTTATTCTAAAATATTTTGGATTAAATTGCATTATTTTCAAATAATTCTTCAGCAGCATTTAATGGCTCCATAAAATTGAATGGTTTAAGATAAGTGTATGAAGAAATCTTTGTTGAATGAGATTAAGATATTTAAGGTTTTTCAACAACAGCCTCAGTTTTTGGTTTTAAATACTTTTAAAGATTTTCCTCTTATTCAACTTTAGTTTCAAAGAGCTTTAAATTATCAAACCTTTAATTTCTCCATTACCATCTTACATCTACACTTTCTTTGAATAAGTTTCTATTTTCTATTTACCACATTCTTTTATCTAAATCACTTTTAGCCAATCTATACACCTATGTATCTTAAACATTACATATAGCAGTATGCTATCTATTATTAATTCCTAAGTACATTTCTTCTCCAAATATTTCTCCAACACATAAGTTACAAACGTAAATTTATTATCTCTAAAATAATTTCAACAACGATATCTCTCCCTTTTTTAAGAAATAAATATATCCATCATTAACTGAATTTTCTCTATAAATAATATCATTTCTTTCATAATAGATCAATTCAAAATGAAAACTCAAAGTTTTTAAATCATTTTCGAACCATCCTTGTAAAAAATGAATTCCTCTAACAAAGGACATTTTTTCATTCATTTCAGCTTGATTCAATACTCCTAAAATATTAACATACTATTCTTTATCCAAACAAGCAAATTCACAAATGTCCTTGGTAATAACTGTTGCTGTTGTTTTCGAATTTGGATCTAATAATGCAACTTCTCCAAATGAATCACCTACTTATAGTACATTCACTTCTTAATATTCAAAAGGTTCGTCTTCAAATTCTATTTCATCCTATCCAAAAGGTGCTTTTGATTCTTATTTTTTTTGAGACACTTTTGGCAAAAAAATATTAATTCCAACACTACCTCTTAAAATTACATAGAAAGCTTTTCCTTCATTATTTACTTTGATTATACTATGACCGGGTTGAGCTCTTTTATAGTACAAATGCTTGCAAACTTCTTTAAATACCAGTAGTCCATATTTTAACTTCACTTTAGTAAAGAACTTAACTCTTATCATAACTTTCTCTATGGCTTCAAAATCTTCAGCATTTCTTATTGAAACTGGCTTAATCAAAGCTTTTTAAGCTCGCTACATTTCCTCATCAGATGTTGGTTTTTATCTTAAAATGGCTGTCAACTTTACTGCTTTCTGAAACTTCTCAATAGTAGGCTCCAATTATTCTTCCTCTGATGCCATTTAATTATAAAATATTATATAATGCAAATCCTATTAAATTAGAGGATGTTTAAGGTTGAAAATCAGTTAGAATGGAAACACTTGCAAGACTAGAGCAGATAAAGTATTATATGAAATATTTATAATAAAAAAATAAATAAGTCGTTAGTTTGGAATGCTATTGAAAGAACAATACGATTATAGACTAAAAACGATTGAAGACAGATTAGAACATTAAGAACAATTTATGAATAAAAAGATAAATCATTTAGAGGATAGAATTCGATCTATCAATATTATATATGACAGAATTGATGAATTAGCAGAACGTATAAATCTTTTACATACGCTCTTTGACAAATTAAAAGAAAATTTTGATGCTAAATTAATGTCTTAAGATGATAAAATAACAAATGTGAATTCAAAGATAAATAAGTTAAAAAGCGAGGATATTCAATATATATATAATCTAATAAAAAAAGCATCGACTACATCAAAAGAGTTATCGTAAGAAATGTAGAACATTAAAACAAAGGATATAGTGTAATCTGAAGTGCTATACAAATAGGAATTGAAGCAATCTAAAATTTTGGGAGAAAGATTACAATCTCCTTTAATCAATTAACGAAATGATACTTATTAAAAAACAGATAGGATAAGATCTATTACACTTGAGAAGGATAAAGGGTAAGATCTGAAAGGAAAATAAGAAAACTTAGAGCAAGATCAAAATTAAAACAATTCAAAATCCATTATGAAAACTGATACACAGAAATTAATTGATAAATATTAATTTACACTGCAAAATAAAGGAGAAAATGATAATACTCAAATTAAAATAGATTAATAGAGACTTAGTTATGCCTAATCTGAAGGAGGAACTAACATTGAATAAATTAAATTACTAACAACTCAATAATAATTTCTTTTAGAACGAACCATATCTTAAGATCATATACCGAAATCTAAGTATTTAAATTGTACAAATTAAACTAAAGAATAGTTAAAAAATCTTAGGAAATGAGATATTTTATATTTAGATAATTAAATAAATAATAAAAAATATTTACTATTAGAATGAAGTAAAAAGCACCATAGATATCTCCTAATAAATTGTATGCTAGTTTATTAAAAAAGAAAAATGAATCTGAACAATAACTAAAAATTGTTAAGTCTCCAATTATTTAAGGAACCTCGTTTATTAATTCACAAAAGTAAGAAGAATAATCTATCCTAGGAATAATGAAGGTTAAGTAAAAATAGATTCAAAAAAGCCAAGACCTGCAAGTGCAAAAGATTTGAAAGATATTAGCACAGTTTTATTAAAAAAAACTCATGTACGTTAAAATAGTAAAATTATTGAAACCAAAGAGAGTTCACAAAATCCAACATAATCTGCATTATAACTACTATAAAAAATAAAAGCAGATCGACCAGATAATAAAATAGGATAAATATAAACATCAAAAGAAATATTACAATATCATTAGTAATTAATTTAAAAATAATATCAAAAATTGCTTGATTTATCTAAATAGACAGAATATCATTAGTTAAAACAACAACAATAACAATAATAGAAATAAAAACTATTCAAAGGTCCTCGATCTATAAGTAATCCAGATATTTCTACACTTCAATTATGCATATCTAAAGCTCATGCAAAATCGATACCAGGAATGCTTTATACTGGATAAACAAAAATAAATTAAGACTCCTATAAATTAATTTAAAAATTTGGAACAAAAGAAAATGATTGGTATCTTTAAGTATCTGATGGTCATGGGACGAATGGTCATTAAGTTGCATAATTTGTCTAGGAAATTTTACCCGCTTATATAGAATAAGAAGTATTGTAGTCTCCATATTACTATGACAGAGATAAGTAATTGATTTGCTCTATAAAAAAATAGAACAATAACTAATATTTTTAAACAAAACTTTTAAAAAACGAACGAAGATTTACTGAATTCTGGTATTGACGTTGCCTACTCAGGTGCCACTACTGTTGTAGTAATAGCCTTTGAAAATATTCTCTACTGTGCTAATATTGGAGACAGCAGAGCTGTATTAATGATTTAATCATGATAGATAATAGGAAGATATGATGCTAAATTATCTGTTGTGGAATTGTCAAAAGATCATAAACCTGATTGTTTTTTAGAATAAGCTAGAATAATTTAAAGAGGAGGTAGAGTTTAAGCATACAGTGATGAAGAAGGTAATCCAATAGGACCAGCTAGAGTTTGGAAATTGGATGAAGATGTACCAGGATTAGCTATGTCTCGAAGTTTTGGGGATTATGTTGCCAGTTAGGTAGGAGTGATTTGTGATCCAGAAATTATTAAACATCAATTATTACCTACAGATAAATTTTTAGTAGTAGCTTCTGATGGCATTTGGGAGTATTTTTTTTAATTAATGAAGATTTTTATCAAACGAATGGGTTATTGAAACTGTATATGAATTTTATAAGAAAGGTGATGCAATTGGAGCTTGTAGTAAATTAGTTCAAGCTGCCAAAGAGGCATGGAAAAGGGAAGACGAAGTTATTGATGACATCACTGTCATTTTAGCATTTTTTAAATGATTTTTGATCTTAATATATATATATTTAGTTAATTACTTAGTGCTTCGATTGGTTTGATGATGGTTGATTTGAAAAGAAATTGATTTGTTTAATTAAAATTTTATATGATAAAGTGATTTATATAATAAAATAAAAATGGATTATGATTCCTTATATAAATTAATTCCAAAAGAACCAAAAAAGTGGTTAACTTAAGATGTAGTAAATTGGTTGAAATTTATAGGTCTTGGATAAATGGAATCTAAATTCGGTATTAATTACATACTAAAATTAGTTGAAAGTTCTGTAGATGGTTCAGTACTAGAAGACTTGACTGAAAAGGATCTGGAGGAAGAATTAGGTGTCACTCAAAGAATTATTAAAAAAAAATTGTTAAATTGTATGATTTCTTAAAAACAATTAGGGGTAAATCATGGGTTGAATGAATATAACAATTATTTAAAGCAGCTTAAACAGTAAAGTCTTAATAACAAACGATAATAGGATGAAGATTTTACTATTCAAAAAAATAATCAATTTTAGTAGTTACTTGAAAATTAGGAAAATAATAATAATCATCTTGATTAATTTCCTTGTTAAAATGTTAGAATTGAAGATTAGGCTGTAAAATAGGAAATAAAAACAAATAATAAATTTGAGCACTAATTAATATTATAACCAACTGAAGGTTAATTATCCAACTTTTATTGTGTAAGAGAAATAGGGGCAAAAATAGGAAGGCATTCTAGCAATTAGATACTAATTTTAGAAGAAAACATCAGTAGATTTCATGCAGAAATTATTTTTAAAGATCAAATAGTATCTTTTTTATTTCAATTTTAGTTTGCTCTTAAAGATGTTGGAAGTACAACAGGAACATTTATAAAGATTGGTAAAAGTCTTAATTTATTATCTGGCATGCTTATTGAATTAGGCAGCAATCAATTTTAGGTATTACGAATTGATCAAGTAGATAAAGGAGGACTTGAAGTAATTTAATAGTTAATATCCAAAGGTTTCTTTGTAAGTTATTGAAGGACCAAATGCAGAAGATACAATTGTTTTCTAGTTAAATAAAGACAAGCCCTCTGTTACATTAGGTAGAAAATCTACTGTAGATATTTCATTTCCAGAAGATCATCATCTATCAAATTAACATGCTAAGTTTTATTTATTAGATTCTATTGTATAACTAGAAGATCATGGATCAACAAACGGGTATTATAATAATTAATTTTTAAGTTCTTGGTTGAGATTGTCAGGAGAGGGAAAAATGAGTAATTTGTTTTATTTAGAACAAGCTGAGGAAACTGTGATAAGGATTGGGACAACAAATTAATACATATGCTAATAGAATAAGATGAAGGTAAGTGAAATACAAGGAGATAATTAATGTATAATTTGTGTTGAAAAGGAGAGAGATTGCTTAATCTTGCCCTGTAAACACAATGCAACTTGTTTAAAATGTAGTAAGAATCTAGCAGTTTGTCCGTTGTGTAGAGTTAAAATCTAAGAAACTATAAGAATTTATAAAAATTGACATTTGATGAAATATATATGATTATTTAATCAAATTATTACATATTTATAGAAGACTGGGACTTTGTTAAATTTAAGAATATGAAGGATATTATCGTAATCTGTAATTTTATTGAAGAAACCAATAATTCAAAGGGATACGGATGGCTCAAAAAAGTGTAATGAGAATAAATGAAGACTAAAAATTTATGCAACAGGTCTTAAAAATATTATAAGTGTATATTTAATTTATTTTTTATAACATGTCAGATGATTTTGATATCGAAGTTAATTTTGAATAAAACAGTTCAATGACTTTTGAAATGTTTTAATTTATTTATAATCATAGAGGGCATAATAGCGTAAGATTTCCGAAAGCTGGAATAAAGATAAATAATGAAGGATTAACATCGACAAATGGAATGCAAATATAGACAACAAAGGAAGCAATAACACAATAACATATAAAAATTGGAGATATAATTGGTTAAGGAGTGTCAAGCTATGTTTGTAGAGGACTTTATATCCCATAAACTTGTGAAGTTGCGTTAAAAGTTGATACATATACTTAATATAAAGATAATCAACGTTTTTGACAAAGATAAAAGACATTAAATGCTGAATGATCTGAGTACATTACTAAATGGCATAGAGTGTGAGCAGTTGATAAAGTTTTATGGAGCATATTACGAGGAAGGTATCTCTTTAAACAAAATATCAGGAACTATACGACTAGTGCTAGAATACATGGATTAAGGATCTTTGAGAAGCATAATTGAATAGATTTATAAAAACAATTTAGTTGAGTTCATCAATGAACAAATCATAGCTACAATAACTTACAATATTCTCCTCGGGTTATAATATTTACATTAACAAAAACATTAACTTCATCGAGACATCAAACCAGAAAATATTCTCATCAATAGTTAAGGATAAATTAAGCTTACAGATTTTGGGATCAGTAAATAACTGGAAAATACTATTGCAATAGCTAGAACATTTGTTGGCACTCTTATGTACATGTAATTAGCAATTAATTTGATTTGTATTAATTTATTAGGTCTCCAGAAAGAACTGAAGGAAAGAATTATTCTTATGCATCAGATATATGGTCATTAGGATTGATTATTTATGAATTGGCAACAGGGCAACATCCTTATGCATTTTCAAAAAAATCTATGACATATATCCAAATGATTTAAAACATACTCAAATCTGATTCTCCAAAATTAGACAATCATCCATATAGTTTTGAAATGAAGGATTTTTTGAATATATGGTATCATATTCGACTTATCTAGTCTTAATAAAGACCAGAACAAACGTTTGGATGCTTAGACTTTGTTACAACACAATTGGATTTTGAAAAATGTATAGAATTAATAATATGTTCAATAATGGATATCTTTGAAAGATCAAAAAATAAAATAAAAATTGTAATAATCATGAATATATCTATTAAATATTTCAACTATCTATGGACTTATGATTATTTAATTAATTATAATAAAAAAAAAATAACTTATTTAATGACAGATTTAGAAATTGTGATAGAGCTTGAATATAAAGATTTTGCAGCTCATGAATTGATTGAGTAGTTTGATGAATTTGAATAATAAACCGAAAAATATCATCTTTACATGAATAGAGGATCTCGACGGGAAATGCTAGATAGAGTATTCATAATTTATAATTCATTAGTACTAGATTTTAAATAATCATTATGCAATTTTTGATGGTCATGGATCATCTCATGTGGCAGAATACTTGACTTAAAATTTATTATAGAAAATCTAAAATGAGATGTCAGATTAAGATTACAAATAATGTAATGAGTTTCACATATATATTTTATAGTGTTTAACGAAACAGACAGTAATTTAAGTCAATACACATAATCAGGATCAGTTGCAATCCTATTATCTATTTAAAATAAAACTGTTACAATTGCAAATTTAGGGGATTGTAAAGCCATTGTATTTAGATAAGATTCTCATCAATAGTTGAATTCTATTCATATTCCTCAATCTAAAGAGGAAAATCTAAGAATTCATAAATAAGGAGGGTTAGAAATAATTTCTATTATTAGTTTAATAACAAAGAGATAAAATATAAGTAGAGTTTCTGGGTAATTAACAGTGACAAGATCTTTTGGAGATTTTAATCTTAAGAAATTTATAATTAGTGATCCTGAAATGTCAAAATATAAAATAAATGATAATGATAGATTTATAGTAATGGCTAGTGACGGATTTTGGGATGTATGTATTATTTAAAATTTTAGGAACTTTCTGAAGTAGTTGTTCAACAAGTTTTATAGAAAGTAGACATATCAAAAAATGTTGCAAAATAGTTATATGAATCAATTTAAAATGATTATATCAAAGACAATGTAACCATAATGGTATTTCCATTATGATTTTTGACAATTATATCTGTATCTCTACCTTATTCTTAATAAATGAAAAATAAATATGAATTTCTTAATTCTTAAATTTTTTTAATAATATTCAAGAGAGATATGCAATAATGATTGAAATGTCATCAATAACTTCATCTTCTTCCTACCATCTCTTAGTAGATTCTTTAACTATATTGTCAACCATTTCATCAATTTTCTTTGCGTTCATTTAAGGACTCCAATATTTGCAAACAATTTATTAAATCTCTTCATTAGTCAGGAATTCCCAAACGCCATCACTAGCAACAACTAAAAATCCGCATTTTTGATTTAATTTATGGTATATAACTTCTGGTTCAGAGATGACTCCTACAGTAGATGCAACATAATCTCCAAATGACCTACTCATTGCTAAACCAGGTATTTATTCATGCAAAAGCCATACTCTGGCTGGACCTATATTTTATCCATTCTCAGTTACAAATGGTTGTACTCTTCCTTTACTTGCAAGAATTCTTTTTTTTTCTGTAGGCAAATCAGGTTTATGATCATTACTCAATTCTACAATCTTCCATTTATTAGAGTCTCTGTGTTGTTCTATAAATATCTAACTTAAGTTAATTTATTTACAGATCTTGAATCTCCAATATTAGAACACCATAAATTATTACCAGAAACAAATACTGTTGAACATGTACTACCACTAAAGGTGATGTCTATTCCACAATTTTACTAGAGAGAATAATTTAATAAAATTACTAAATCTTTGGTCATCTTTTAAAAACTACTATTGAAACATTTCACCATTTCGGTGTAATATTCTTCACCAATATCTATTTCTTATTTTCCTATAAAAGTTTTCAATTATGCTTCAATTATTGTTGGCAACACTCTTTTTACTAATTACGAAACATAATGTCCATACACACCATGTCCATCACAGACCGAAAATAGGTATCTTTAAATTTAATTAATTTATTGATTTACCTATTTTTCATTCCACAAAAATTATTCGAGATAATTACTGAATCTTAATTTGTTTTAGTTTGTTTGTTTCCATTTTGACCTGCTTAAGATCTATTGGTTATAAAACTAAGTAATTTACTTTGATAAAAATAATTAGACATAATCTTATGATTCTTCATTTTCTGTTGGATTTGAATTTACCAATGCAGCTTGACTAGTTGATCTTCCATGCAACATTATTACCTAAGAAGGCATCCTTGGTTTGATTTTAATATCTTGTTCTATGGCTTAAGAACTAACTCTGCTTTAAATTTAACGAATTTTAGGAGATGTATCTTAATACATTTTAAGAAATGATGTCTTATTCTAATATAGTAATAATCATTGATACTTGAGGAGTGTTATCAGCATTGCTAGTATCTGTACGTTTACTCCTCTTTTAAGCCAAACTCAAATCAATTTTAGCTAAAATTTCTTGTGTTGTTGTGGATGATTCACTTCTTTTTAAATTTGGTAATTTAGTTGGAGAATAAGGCTTGCGTTTAAATTTGAATAATACTTCAGTTGATTAGTTAGAGAATTTAGAAATTTCAGGTTTATCATTATTACTACTAATGACTCTCTTTTTAGGTGAATAACTTGATGGCTATAGCAATTATAATTTCTTTTAAGTAACCTATTACAAAATATGCAATTTAAATAAGTACAAGCTTAATTTTTTCATCTTGGGAAGTTAATCCACTGGTTGGATGTCTTTTTTGATTGCTTCTGCTTTGTTGAGGTGTTTATTATGGACTAAATTACATTAATTAGTTACTTAATCTATAAAGTATGAGTGCGTTCAGAAGGTTGTTACTTCTTTTTAAGACCAGGAGAACTGACAAGAGATTCTTGGTTATTAAATTTGAGTGGATAGACACGAATGGGATTCATTTATTAAAAATAATTAAGTTCATATCCTCTTTTACTAATACCACTATGGAGTTAATTTAAATGCTATTTCAGGCTATATTCCCAATTCCTCTACCCAATATCACATGTTTTTACCTTTAGTAAAATCAAAAAAGCTAGGTAATTTTACATTTGGAATTCCAAACTTTTCATCTCTTATTTCATTGAAAAATGGATGAGACAATGCTTCTAAGGGTCTTAATCTTTCACGTGGAGGATACAACATTATTTTTGATATCAAATCAACAAATAAAGGATCAGGTTTAAATTTCTAGAAAACCTAAACAGACATCAAAAATTAAACTTACTTTGTTCCAAGGGTGATTCTTAATTTAGGGAAATTTAAATTCTTTATGCATAGGATTCATCTATTTAACTTATTCAACTGTAGGAGTGCCCAATATTTTAATGATTTCTACAAGCTAATCTGTAGCACTTTCACCAGGAAACAATGGTTCCCCAATTAACATTTCTGCTATTACACATCCAATAGACCAAGTATCTATAGCAGTTGTATATTCTGTTGCTCCAAATATTAACTCTGGAGCTCTGTAATATCTTGAACATATATATGCCACATTTGGCTCTCCTTTCTACAGTCTTTTTGCTGATCCAAAATCACATATTTTTAACACATGAGAATTTGGATCTACAAGAATATTCTATGGCTTTATATCTCGATGGCAAATACCAATCCCTATTCTCTACTTATTAATATTACCTTCCAAATATGCTAATGCTCTAAACATTTAATAACTATAAATCTTTAATAAAACAGCAGGAAATGGCTGTTTAGCTTTTTTGTAATATCTAATAACCTTGCTCAATGTATCAGGTATGTAATCCATTACTAAATTCAAATACACATCATCACCCTATCCTAATAATAATTAGCATTTACCTTGTCTCCTTAAGTGAAAAAAGCCTCTTTCAATTTTATAACACACGGATGATTCAACTCTTAAATTATCAAATGTTCCCTATTCTTATATCGTTTATCCTAAAACACTTTTTTTATTGCCACTTTTTCATTTGTTTAAGAGTTTGTTGCCTATGCTATTTCAATATCTTATACCAAATAAACCATCCCAAATGTTCCATTACCGACAATTTAATTCAAAGCGTATTTAGATGCTTGTTAACTTTGCTTTAATTATTACAAAATTTACTTACTGTTACAACTTCTTATTAATCATTTGCTTAAGTTTGCATCCTGGTGGCTTGTTTTGTTGGTTATTTCTTTATCATCAATTTTACTAATTTTAAATATAATTATTTATATTATGTAAATTAATCAATCGAAGCTTCACACCCATGAATTTCTAACTATTTATATCACTTTAATCATTTTCTCTATACATATGATCTTTTATTATATCATATCCTTTGAAAAGTTACATATTTTTTTAATTTCTCTAGTTTGACTTTAAATTTCATCATTAATATATGTCCAATTATTAACAGTTGATATAAATTTTAATCATTAGAAAATTTATCTAAACAATGTTTAAAACAAAAGAAATATCATATATCAAATCAATAAATATAAGTTTTCAATTATTGAATTTAATTTTCTACAGTGCTTTATTTATTTATTTAGATTATCCATTTTACTTTTAGTTATTCTTTCTTTTAATTTGTTATCTGTAAAAAATCTGGCTGAACCTTTATCAAAAATTGTACGTATTTTTCCATTTGATCTTTATTCATTTTTATTTTGCTTAACAAATAGTTAATTAAGTTCGGGTAGAACATAAAAGAGACTGTCCGTTTATTAAAATATTAAATAGTATTTTCGATGATTTGCTGAAGCTAAGCTTTTTATTCTTCAGAATAAAGTTAGAATGGTAATTATTGTGGAAGTATATCTGGGACTAGGTTTAAATCAAACGTAGGGTGATAAACTTTGAATTGAATTGATTGTTCTTTAAAATCCTATTGGTTGATTATGTCTAGGTAATTTTCATGAACAGTTTGCACTAATTTATCTAAAATATTTCTGACTCTAGTTATTCTATTTTCAAAGACAGATGGTAATTAATGAGCAAATGGTTGAAATGAAGGTAAATTTTCAATGGGAACATCATTCGGAATAATTTAAACAGATTTTTCTACAATTTTAATTTAATAAAGCTCTTTGTCAAGGTTTAATAATTATCCAATTTATAAGAGCCTTAAAGCATTGGTTTTAATTTCATAAACAATAGGTTTTTATTTCTTCCAATAAATTTATTCGATAGTTTTCATGGTTTATAATAATTATTCAAATTTAAGTGGCAAAGGATATTAATCTTAAATTAATCCAAACCTTTATCTTAGACTTCTAAAGTTGATGATTTAAGAAGGAGGTTATTTAATTTATGTGTATTTCATACCTAACATATCACTTAGATGTCTTGTGGATTCATCTTCCCCTTTCGATTAATGTTCTTACTCAGTTTTTATAAGTTTGTTGCTATCCATAGTATTGATATTATTAATTATTATGATCACAAATTTGCAGTCTGGGGGCTATAAACCCCCAATTTTGCTATAAAATTAATAGCGCCAAAAAATTGAAAGGCTATAGTGAGGAAAACACAAAAATTTAAACAATAAAATATATTTTATATGAAAAACATTATATACAAAATGTTCATTTTAACAATTCATTGGGTTTTTCTTTTTTAGATTTCATAAAAATGATAGGAATATAGATAAAAGATGTAACAATAATTATGATTCCTAAAATACTACAAGCTCTTTCAAATCCATATTCATCTCCAAGAATACCTGCAACGATAGGTCCAGTTAATTAACCAATAAACATTCCACTTGTCAATCTAAAATAATATAAAAACAATAGGTACAATGCAGAAGAATAGGTGGCTACCCTTATAGTTTAAATTGGATAGTGAAATAATAAGAATTCATTTAAGACAGGTAAAGAAGGAACATAAGCAGGACCACTTAAAACTCCTAATAAAAATTATGCAGCCAATGCTATCCAAAGTTTATGGGGGACTTAAATAAAGTCTGTATCTGGGCCTGCTAAAAAATAGGAACATCCAAAGAAAAACAAACAAATACATGCCATCTAATATGAATTAAAAATCTAAAATTACTTCTCTTTTATATTATTTATTGTATCCACAAAGATAACATCCAAGAGTATATGCAAGTGAAACAATTGTCATAATAAAACCTATTTAGCCCTCATCAAAATTATAGGTTTCAGTAAAATAGATTGATAAAATCGGTTGGAAATATGTCATACAAATGTTAACTAGAGTGATCACCCAAAAAATAACAACTACTGGATAATGTTTAATTAAAGTCAAGAGAGTTAATTTCTCCTCTCCATCTAATAATTCTGTTCCTTAAATTGTTTGCCTGTATTCATCCAACTTCTTGGTTTCTTGTATTTCTTCAATTTATCTTTAAATTTCCACCTAATATTTTTTTGGCCCTACAGCTTACAATGCTGCATATAAAAAGGGTAATGAGATAAAACCAAATGAACTAAACACTAAAAATGGAGTCAAGTATCCTCCTAAAGCATATAAACCTGATCCTAATGCTGGTCCTGCAAAAAATCCTACGCTACTAAAAGCTTCACTTATACTCACTTTTTTTTCAACATCTTTAGGGTATAAAATTGGAATATATCCAAAAAATGGGGTTAAAAATAAAGAAGTACCCTTTAAATATAAAATTATTCAATACTATTCCTCCTATAAATCTGCCGATTGTTGCTATAATTATTATTGGAATCTTATCTTCAAAAATATCAGTCATTGAAAAAAATAGCAAACTAATGGGTTCTCCTAATACTCCAATTAAAATGAATTTGTTTCTATTTCTCTATATATATATATTAAATTAATACATGATTCAATGTTTTTGCTATTATAATTGAAGCCAAAAGACCACCTAATGGACCAGCAGCAACAATTAATCCCAATACAGTCTAGGATATTCCTTTCCGTTTAGCATATGGTGGAAAGAATGGAGTAATAAGAGATCCACACATTGAAACAAACATATTACAAGTAGAGAAAATCAAAAATGCGTGAATTTTTTTCATTTAATGTTTTTGTGTTCTTTGATAATATTAATAATTATTTAATTATGTAATTAAAGCTATAATGTCAAATATCAATTACTAAAGATACCAGTTATCCAAATACATAACCACTTTAATAACTATCTTAATCCGTCATTGATTCTACAAATTAACTTCCTAATTCTTATATTTTCTCTCCTAATACACTTATATTCTCAATCATCTATTTAAATAAGCTTGGAGCTAAATATTAATATTTAATGTGTTAGTGAAGATTTTTCGAATAAATTTTTTAATTTTGTTTAATCCTATTGTTGTATTTCCACATTATTGAACAAATTGATCAAATGAAAATAAAATGTCGTTTCATCCTTTCCAAATATTGCTTGCATCTCCATTTTTGAATTCATTTAATACAATATTCCACTAAGGTTTATAAAGTATCTCATCTAATACACAATCTAGGATTTCTGGTACTTCATCTCCAATTCTAACACTGAAAGCATAAACTTGCATAAAATTTAATAATGATGGTTAGAGGGCTTATTTGGTCCATAATTCCTAAACTAGTTAACAATAGAATTTTCCCCATTTATTTATCAACTATTATAAACTATTATTATTTAATTACAGAATTAGAGATTATTATTAATTCTGTATTAATATGATGATATCAAAAGAACAAAGTTTTATTTTTTTTTCTCATGTATTGAGCTTCCATAAGTCAGAAAATTAACTACTAATCATCTTATGGCAATCTTAATCAATATATCAGTTATAATACAATTTTTAAATCTTGCTTCCCCCATTTAAATGGGAAAAAAATAAGATGTTTAATAAAAAATTAAAAAAATAAAGCTTTTTTAAAAGACAAAAGTAATCAATGGAGAGCATAGATAGTTATAATTATGATGAAATTGATCTAGACCAATTGATGTTACCTCCTCCTCCATTAATTCAATAAAATGCATACATTGAAGAAGAAGAAGAAGAGACACCATAATTTATACTTACAACTTAAACTGATTTATCTTATAAGGAGGAGGAATGTCCCATATGTTATTGTCATCTAAATGAAGAAAATACTGTAAAATTATTGTGTGGGCATGTTTTATGTTCAAATGATTTAAATCATTTAATCTCGATATAACATTCATAAACCTTAAAATGTCACATATGTAGAACTCTCTAGATAGTAAATTAATCTTTTATTTGTATTAAATGATATTTTTGTTACTATATAAAATTTAACATATATCAATAACTTAAGTATAATTTTCCCAAAAAGATATTTTTTGAAGAATTTTAAAACAATTTTAAATCATTTTAGAACATTGAAAAGCTAGCTCATTCGATTAAAGAAGTTTTAAATAGAATAAATTTCAGTTTAAAATCTTCCAATTGATGTCAGCTATAATCTCAACCCATATAGTCGTTATATTTTATAAATAAATTAATAAAAATTATAAATATTGACTAAAATAATTATAATAATGTAATTATAAGAAGATTACTAATAATATTAAAATAGACCGAAAACAAACTATTCTTTGAATAAAATTCTCTCCTGCTTTAGTAAGTTATTGATATTATTTTGCTACGTTTTAATTTCCCTTATACTTTATTCTTTTATATTCGACACAGCTATGCAATACCATTTAGTTTATTAAAATTATTTTCTAACAATTATAATCCTCCTTATAGGATTAATGCTAGGTAAATATATTTTGATTTTAGGTTTTCATGTAATCATAAATTACACTTTTGCAATTTGTTTTTCGCCAGGTACAACTAAAGAATTTTTTACATCTATCTAAAATGATACAGAAAATAGTGAAAATTAATGGGAAATAGGTGGGAATGCAAATCTCAGATACTTAAAATTTAATTACATTCCAAAGTATGATGCAAACACCTCAGATAATTAGGAAAACTTAGATTAATCAAGTTTAGGATTTTGCGATTATTGTTAGTTACCGAAACCCAAAAGGACTCATCATTGTAGTATTTGTAACAAATGTATATTAAAAATGGATCATCATTGTCCATGGATTAATAATTGTGTTGGCCACTAAAATCATAGATATTTTATCCTATTTCTAACATATGTATTTTTAGGTACATCTTTCATTACTTTATTAAATTTAAATATAATTTTTTCCTCTAATTTTTAAGATTGTAAGAATCAGCGAAGTTAGTTATTTTCCACATTATGGATTACAGAACTTGTATTATGTTGGATGATGGCCAGTTTTGGAGGGTGGAATTGGTATTTAATTCTAAAAGGTTTAACTACTATTGAATTTATGAACAGAGATAGAAAAACTATCGATTAGTACGAAGAAATAATTGAAAATTTAAAATAAGTATTTGGCAATTTCAAATATTTATGTTAAATTTTACTGCCAAGCTTTAGAGCATTGCCTTCAAATGGAGTGATTTGGAGTATGGTGAATAAAGATTTAGAGAAAATAAATATAGGTGTTGATTGATTAGCCTCATAATGATGATCAATTAATTATATTTAAGAAATTATTTAAATCTTTTATATATTTTTAGTTAATAATGAGTGATTAAGTAAAACATTAACTAATTGTTAGCCCCCATTTATATCACTAGAAAATTATGATGATATCAATTAAATCAGAAGTAAATTTGCACCTTTAGCAAAAATTAACCTAAATCATGAATTTAATAATTTAGAAGAATGCAAATTCTTTATTATAAGAACTTAAGGAGAAGATAATGTTCATAGAGCTATGAAGTATGGTTTTTGGACTAGGTAAATTATTGATAAAACAATAGTTCGTCTCGAAAAAATGAACGATTACATGAAGCATTCATAAATAAGAAATAGGATGTTTATCTATTTTTCACAGAAATTAACAGCATGTGCTTTAGTGGAATGGCTAAGTTAACTTCTGCATTCAATCCTAAATTTCATTTTCAGTTTTGGTTAATTGAAAATAAATGGTTTGGCACTTTTTCAATAGAATGGGTATAAGATTTAGGTTATCACTTAGTTATACATAAAAGATCTCTCATTTAAATTATTTGAAAATATAAAGCAAATCCAAAAATTGGAAGGGAGTGAAGAAACTATTAAATCAGTTTATGATCTAATAGATTGCACAGAATTATCTATTGAAAATGGAATTAAAATGACAAAAATATTTCAAAATGAAAATTCTAATAAAAGCTTATTTGAAGAATTTCTTCAACTTGATAAATTAGAGGTAATTATAATATTTTATTCAAAGTATGAAAATAGATAAGAAAGAACAAATAATTTAAGATTTGAAAAGAAATTCAAAGAACTCTCTTCTGTTTTTGAAACTATTCCATTCTCATTCTCAGCTGCATCTTATGAAAGGAAAAAAAATAATCGAAAACCTTAAAATGGATATTATTAACCTCCTTATGGTTAACAATATTATTACTAACAACCTTATTAATCTTATTATTAATAGTAATTAGTTGGTATGTGCTATTTTCATTATTTTAGGGTATTAATTTTAGTAAACTCCTTAATATTGGTAATAAAATAATGGATTTTATTAAAATCAATATTACTCATAAAACTAATTTAATAATAATAAATATCATTATCCTAATAGATAAGAAAATTAAGAAAAATCTGTAAGATAATATTAATAATAATCTCAACCATATGAAATAGAATAAACATAAAATCCTGATTCAATTGAAGCAGTGTAAAATTTTTCTTTAGATTAAAAATTTCAAATAAACAATTAGCAATTATAAAAAAGAACAAAATTTGAAAAAACAAAGAAATAACATAATAAAAATGACATTGAGTATGTTGAGAAAGCTAAGGCTTAAGCTTTTGTTTAAAAGGATTGATCAATTTTATATTATTGTAAATATTTATAGATACCAAACTAAATATTTTTCATTAATGATAATTTTTTCTCTCAATATCCTGTGGTAGTTTCCCTAAAGGTATTTTGTTATTGAGTTTAACTGGTATTTAGAGCTCTTTTTACTATCTAACAGGAGATTATTTAAAAATATTTTAATCACTAGGTTAAGATGAGGGAGGACGTGAAGATTTATTATTATTTATGGGGCTTAACTAAACCTTTTATTTTTTCTCCAATTATGGTGTTTATGAGGCTGGATACAATTTTTCTAATTCTTAAACTTGTTATTATTGTTATTTCAACATAAGTTATTATCTACTTTACTTATCAAAGCCTTAGCTACTTGATCTTTATTAGTTTTCCTCAGATTTCATTTTACTATTTCCTCTTTAAGGAGTTTCAAGCATGTCTTACTTAGGATTAATTTAAAGTTATCTTTGATCTTTGAGATTTTCAATATATTCTTGTGCTAATTAATTAATAAAGATAGAATTTACCTTCTTTATAAGGTAGTGTAGGATAGAAAACTTTATTCTATTTAAAAATAAATGGAGGGACTTTATAATCTTTTTTATCTTCATCATAAACACAATCCCCTTTGAGACTTAATAATTCATCTTCTTTAAACATGGTTAATAATATTCTTTAATATAATATATTTTCTCTTTCTAGGGCTCTGATGCTTTCAAGTAATTCTTCTTTATCTTATTCATTTTCTTTTTAAATATCTTTTATTTCAACCATCGCTTCTTTATAAACTTTTCTCAATCTTTAATTTTTTTTTCTTAAAGCTTCTATTTCTTCTTAAACTGATTAATATTTCTGTTCAAATTCATATAATTCATCTTTCTATTTTTCTCTTTCTTCTAATAATTTTTCATGCTCTTGACTTTATTATTTTAATTTCTTCTATTATAAACGATACTTTTTTTTTTCTTCTTCACTAGCTTTTCCTCCTGTTACAACCATTTTTTCCTTAGCTGCCATCAATTCTTCTAATTATTACCTTAAGATTTGCTCTTCTTTGGCCTTTTATTCTTTTTCTGCTATTTACAATAAAACTTTCTCCTTTTCTTTTTATAAAATTTCATTATCTTTAATTAATTATTCTAATTCTCTAGACTTTTATCTAGACATTTGTTCTTCTTTCTCTCTTTTATCTTTTATTAATTTTTCATTATCTTATTTTAATTTTTCAAGTTCTTTTTAAATTTCGTCTGATTTAAGTTTTTCAATTTCTGATATCTCCTATTATTTATTTAGATTTCCATAAAATTTTTGACTACTATTATTTTAAATATTCTTTTCTGATCCTGTTCCTGTTCCTTCACCAGTTTTATGTAATTTAGATAATTATTCTTTTAGTTTTTAAATTTCATCTGCTTATTATTTAAGTAAAGCATCTTTTGGATCCTCATTAATTTTAGGTTAATTTTTAATCATTTTAGCTCTAGATGCATATCTTAAACTAGAAAGTGTTTCATCATAATTATAATCAGCAGGACTTAATGCAGTAATCATTACTGTTTTAGTATTACCTCCCAAAGAGTCTTATAATAATCGTGTTAATTTAGAATCTCTATAAGGGATATGTTATGTTTTTCCATCCACTAATGCTGAAATCACATTTCCTAATGCTGATAAAGATAAATTTATTTTTGTTGCTTCTTTCAATCTGTCTCCTGTTGCTTAAGTTTTTGACTATCTTTCACTTCCTGCTAAATCAACCAAATTTAGTTTCCCTACTCTAATAAACTCATTCCCTTTATCATTCACTATCTAACTTTCTACATATACTGTAAAAATGCAATGAGATCTACTTGATTATGCATTCATTGCTGTAGCTCCAACTGATCTATTATTTTAACCTATTGTCATGTATTTATCCATATCTTATGCAGTTTTTACTGTCACCATTGTTAAATCTTTTACTGTGACACTTCCTTGAGATTCCTTTAAATCTAATCTTGCTTTATGATCTTTTCCCAATAAATCTCGAATCTCTTCATTATATATTTCAAGGAAAGAACATCTCACCAAAAATTTCTTTTTTGTATCTGTATTCGTATCAATAATTGTTTATATTTATGTAAAAGTTCTTGGTATGATTCCCTTAAGTTCTTACTATAAACTTTAAATAAAAACATACATTCTCAGGAATTCCAGTCATAGTAAATGTCTTTCCACATCCTTAAATTAACATTAACTTTACCTGTTTATCCATATGCAAATATTGTTCCATTATACCCATCAATCACTGATTCTACTAAATTAAATGCTGTCTTCTCATATATATAAGATTATTTTGCATTCATTCCAAAAACATAATCATAAGAAAACTACTTTGCTTCATTATCAACAGGCTACTTTTTATCAATTATACTACCTTAATTAGTTCAATTGTATTTAGTTTTTCATCCACATTTAAACAAGGCTTACTATTGTTTTCTTTTTCCTTTTAATTAAAGGGTCTCACTCTAACAACAACTTTCACACATTCACTATCTTTTTTCATTAACAAATAAAATAACAAGAATTATAATATTTATTCTGTTTAAATATATTGTAAAAACTATTTTATTTTCTATATATTTCTATCGAATTTACTTATATTCTAAAGTTTCAGGCAAACCTTACTAAATTATATTAAATTTAACGTAGAAATAGGAATTATTTTCAATTATTTATATGTAAATTTAATTAGGTCTTTATAATAACTAGAAAAATTTAGTTTATTTATGATTTTGATAAATTATCCTTATAAGTTATTTATCTCTTTTTAAAACCATATTATTATAATTAACTAATAAGTAAACGGTTGAAAGATAAAAAAATTAATTAGTTTTGATAATAAAGAATCATTTTTATTTAAGTAAGTCTGCAGATGAAATCTTTAAATAAATTAATTACTTTACTATTTGCATACATAAATATTAAATATTTTTAGATAATTCTGTGTTATTTTATTAAATAATTTATTATTAATTTTCAAAGATCCAAAAGATTCCATAATAATAAACTTTGAGGCTATTTTGATAATTTTTGAAATAGAAGATTGTGAATGCTTGTTTGAATATATACTAACTTATAAAATTGAATTTCATGGTGATAACTAATATTTAAAAAACTGATATACTAAAATAATAACTAATGATATTTTTGATAATGAATAATGATTTATAAATATACAATATAAAGACATTATTTTTAACTAATATATAAAAATTAAAGGCAATTTAATAAACAAATCAATATTCAGTATTTTGGATTATTATGTTCTATCAATATAAATTTCTAAAGAGAATTATCATAGTACTACTGATATTATTTTTATTCTTCCTTAATTTACTTTTTTAAGTAATTTTTATATGCCTTAGTTATATATTCTAGCATATCTATAAACAGATTAGTTGACAATATAAAAGTGAATAAGTAAATATGTATCCATCCAATTAATAGTAGTTAATCATCTTTATAATCAAAACTGTAGAGTAAGAAGGTTCCTAAAATGACCATTAATATTAATTCTCTTAAAATTAGTTTAACCAAGTCATAGTTAGATTTTAAAGGTGTAAATTTACATAAATATACCGAATAACATAATGATTACATCGACAATAGTATTGATTGTATTTATGGATAATTCATGCAAATCACAATAATAAAAATGTAAAATTTTATTCTAAAGATTTAAAAGGATTTGAAATTAAGTGCCCAAAATTAAGTATTCAATTAAGTATTCAATCCTATATAAAAATATTTCCATTTAGAAATGTCTTTTATACGAGAAGATGTTATTGTAAGTAATTTAAAGGAAATAAAAATTAATAGGATTAAAGTAAAAACAGAAGTAATGGAATTAAAACATTCAAATGGTGATTGAAAATTATAATCCGGAAATTATAAAAGAGTGCTAAAGGCTAATTAATGTAATGTTGTAAAATAGAGTTAATATATTCCATAAGAAAAGTATTCTTGTTTTATTTTTAAACATTATTTTTAAATTTTAACTTGAAATTATTTAATTAATTTTAAATATTTTGGATTTTGATTGTTCTTCATATAAAAATTAACCAATTTTTAATTTATTAATTATGAGGATATAGCAGAGCAAATAAAATATGTGAGTAAGGATGCTAAAAGAGAAAAGTAGCAACTTTTGGCATTTATTAAATAAACTTAATTTAAAGGTAAATTTGAGTTTACATTGGATGATTATTTCTTTTTGAATGGTAGATAACCACCATTTAATTCTGCAATAATTTAATCAACTTTAAAATAATCTAAAATTGGTTTAAGAGATACTTTTGTATATGTTTCAAGAAATTATCTAAGATGAGGTGGAAATTAATATTACATGTAACGAATATAAGACAAAGATTGTAATAAATCTAAAAGGTTAAGAATCATCAGGATATTTCCTGTTAACAAAGCTAATCCTGCAATACTAGCCAGAGAATACATCATGGCATCATTAAATTTAACTATTGATACTACTTATTATTTAGTTGTTTCAGAGATTATAAAAGGATTTCCAAGATTAATACTTTTATTATAGTTATATAATTCTAAATTGAACTCATCTTATATTACATATTTAGATATTTAAACCTCTAATTTTGGATTTTCAACATATTCTTAAAATTAAATAAAAACCTAATAAATTGGATTATTTAAATGAATGGAAATATTTAATTATGGAACTATCGTTAGTTGATGAATAATTTCTGGAGTAATTCTAAAAATTATAATTTCTTCTATTTAAGATGGATACATTAATTTAACTGATTTTGTGAAAGTCAATTCAATGATTTGAGTTTGATTCTTTTTATCGGAAAGACTGTTTAAATTAAAATCAGGAGGTTTAATAAAGGTACAAGTAGTTAATTAGTTTTCGAGATTAATACATTAATAAAATTCTTCAAGAGTACATAAAGAAGAACATCCATCCCCTCCATTATTATTGCCGTCATCACATTCTTCATAATAACTATTAAGTAATCCATTTCCACATAAATTAACGCAGATATTTTGTATTAATACATAATTTTGATTACATAGAATATTTGTTGTACTATTAGATGAATTAATTTAATCTTTTTAGATATCATTATTTAATTGATTAATTTATTTACATTTAGCTGTTAAAGGATCCAAAAAAAAAAGATTTTATTCACATTGTTTGCAAATATTATCTTATTCACATAATATACATCCATAAGAACATGAATATTGACATTCATGACATCCATCAAATGGAATTTCATTGCCATCATCACATTGCTCAAATTAAAGTGAAACAATTGAATCTCCACAAATAGGTTAACAAATTTCATTTATCAATTAAAATGGAAAAAAACATGTAATGCATTAGTTTTAATGACAAATTGAGCAATTATCTTAACAAATTGAATAAGAACAATCAACACAATAGCTATCAAGAGGATCATCACATTATTCATTAGACATGATAGCAACTAATCCATCTCCACAACTTTTTTCGCATTTACCTTCAACTATATTCCAACCTTATAAACATTCAATACAATGAGAATTGTAGCAGTTAATACATTCTAATTAACAACTACTTTAACATTTATGACATCCATCAAATCTTATATTGTTTCCATCGTCGCATATTTCATCTGCCTTTACTAATTCATCTCCACATTTTGGAATACATTTAAATTTGTTTATTATAAAACCAGGATTACATTCATAGCATTTACCATATTGACAATTCATACAATTATCAGAACATATGAATTTACAATTTAGACATCCATCATTAAATAAATTATTTCCGTCATCGCACTCTTCTTCTAATGTTTTTATTTGATCACCACAAATAGGTTAGCACAAATCAAATAAAACATCAAAAAAATAACCTTAATTGTTTTTACAATCTAATACCTATTCATAATTATTATAATATTATTAATCTAAATTATAAATATTGGACCACTCTAAACATCTACCAAAATTACATCTTTAACAATCTGAAGAACATTGAAATTCACAATAATAACAACCATCATTAGCATTATGATTATCATTGTCACAATCTTTGTACAATTTGTTATCACCACAAATTGGTATACATTTCTATTCTACAAGATTCAATTACCAACCTATATCACAAAAAATACAATTTTGGTCTATAATATTTAAACATCCTAAGATTGGTGGTAAAGCTATTTTCTATTCTTAATAAAATACAATAAAATCCAATACACTTACTTTATTAGATGCACTATCATTAAAAATTAAAATGATAGATAATTAATCACTTTTATGATTGTGAATATCTATTTCTATGTTATAAATCCACCAAGTTTTTCCTCCAGGTTCAACAAAGTAGTTTAAAAACTTATCAATAGGCCATAAAGTTTAAAAATCATTTATCATTATTTTTATCTCTTAAGGTTGATTATCGAAAAAGAGTTTGAATTAAAATTTAACTTTTGTTGGAAAAGGTATAAGGATGTATCTTTGAAGTTAAAAAGTACCAGAATAATGTCTAAGTAAAATTTCAAAATCTATCCCTTATAAATTTTAAGTTGATGAGCCATTTGAAGTTATTTTCCAATCATTAAGTTTAGAATGAAGTTAGGAGATTAATAATAGCCATTTACTGTTTGAACCTGGTAAACAATAATCTTCAAATTCTTAACAATCTAATACATGGATTTCAATCGCAAATATACCCCACCAAGTATTTTGATTAGAACAAGATGGTAACCCAGAAGCTTATAAAGCAAAAAATGCTGATTAACTAGTATGAAAGTAACTTAGCTCCATATCAATTATTAATGAGGGATTCATTTAACTACTTGCAATAGTTGATCTTGCGTCATCCAATTACACCACAAAATTATTAACACAATTAGACAAAATTGCACGAATTCTAATTGTTAGTTAATAATGAGATTGCAAATAATAATGATGTTAAAGAATTGTTTCTTATTTGAAGCTATTGATTCCTCCTATAAATTTTTCTGAATTGATAGTATCAATATCTGATTAACCCTTATATGAATACCAATCTCAATATAATAATATTATTACTTTATTTGATATAGTTATAATCCTCTTTTTATATCAATTTTGAACTAACAGTTTGGCAAAGCAGTACAATTATAAATAATTTTAACATTTTAAAAATAAATAATGAATTAAATCAATTAAATGGAATAAATAAAAATACAATACAATGCACAACTCTAAGAAAAAGTGATTTCATCAATCATTACATTTATTTTTAATTTTATTTATTAAAAGTTGACAATACGTAATGAAAAAGCAGATTACGTAATCATAAAACTTTTGATAATTAAATATTTTCAAAATATACTATAAAATAATCTTTATCCAATAAAAATATGTAAATTTTTCAATTGGTATAAATTTAATCTATTGTCTTTTATTTCACCTTATTTAAGAAATATAATTTTCTCTTTAAGTTAATCAATAAACCTAACATTATTTAAAATATGGCTTTGAAATTATTGAAAACTTTTAAATCCATATTTTTACTATTATTCAAATTGAAATAAATTATTATTGAGATAATGGTTCATTTTAATTAAAATAAGCATATTTATTTTATTTATTGAATTTGGCTATTATTTCTATTCTTTATAAGGTAATATTGAATAAATAAAAAGGCACATTTTATTTATTTTGTTTTAAAAATTAAATAATCCACATTTTTATATTATTTATCAAGATCAAGAATTCTTAAATCAAATAATTTTAATTGTTAAGTCTGATGAAAATAAATAAAGAAAGTGGAAAATTAAAATTAAAGTTAGTTTTATTGCATCCAGTGCATTATGATGTTTCGAATGATTCTGAAATTATCAAGTCTTTGTATATATTTAATCTATAAGAATATTAAGATGAAAAATATTGTAAGAATCAATAAAATTATGAGGATTATTTTCCAAAAGCAAAGAGAGTTATTCAAATAAATATTGTTTTTAATAGAAAAATATATAAATTTCCAAATCTTAAAATACCACTTTCATCTTAGCTTCTAATAGAACTAACATTTGTAATGTAATTTTTAATTCAAAAATGAAGTATTAGTAGATAATTAAGATAGGGCAAGTGATCTATGATGTAAATTTACAAAAATATTTAATAGGAATATTTCCAAAAAGTAATTTGCGAAAAATCATGGATAGTTTTTACAACAAAGTAATAAATAAAAAATTATAAATGCAAATTAAAAATTTCTATTTTATATTTTGTTTCATTAACATTCCAAATTAATTATTGAGATTTCTGTTAAAAGTCTGAATTTTTCAATTTTAGTTTTAGATTAATATTTTTTTATCTAAATCTTCATCAATCTTTCAATAATTATTGAAATAGATATTTGAATAAATAAGTTAAAAAATAAAATTTAATTATAATTTATATAATTCGATTTCAAATCATGTTTATCCTGTTAATGCAAGCACACTGTAAGTAAACTCCACCACAAACATAGCAAAACCCAAATTTACATCTACAAGTCATATGATCACAACCTTAATTTTTTTCTACCCAAAATTTGCATTATGGGCATTATTTATATTTCGCTCCTTGTAAAAAGTTAAAGAACTATTAGTCAGCAAGATCTTTTGATTAATTTCTAGATCCATAATAATTACTGGCCCTGTATTATTAACAGGTTTGTCCTTAATGGAATTCAGTTTTACAAATTAAACAATACGATTTTTTACAAACTGGACAATAAAATTATGAATTATTTGCGATAAAAATATAAGTACAATCAGGAGTTGGACACCAAGAATACTAACTTTATTTTAATTAATACTTCATCACTATGATTATTAATATAAGCTGTAAAGGTTAACTGTTAAAATTCATTTAAAATACGCATATCTAATACTTCTCTCAAATCAGAATACATTACATTCTCTTTACAATTAGCCCAAGGGCATCTCATTGGAACACTTTTAGACTAAATTTATATTTGACAATATTCGTTTAGACATTTTTTATGAAAAATATGTCCACAGTATAAAGCAATTAATTCTATAAATTAAATATCTTCTAAACAAATTTAACATTCAACTTAATTTTAAATTTCTTCAATAATTTACTTATCTTAAAATTGATTCTCATACAATTATAGTGCTAATAAATCATTTTAGTATTCTTATTCAAATCTTTATAATTATTTATGATATACTCTTGTTAAATTTTTAAAGCTAATTCAATTGATTTAAAATCATTTTTCGATTCATTAGTTTGTTAATCTTTCCTATTTTCATGCGAATTTTTAACTTAGAATTATCTCTATTAAAAATTAAACATAAATTTTTTTCTTTAATCTGGTAAAGATTAAATTATATCAGGTTCCTCTTGAATAATAAGAAATTCTTCAACATTCTATTCTTTGGATAAAGTAGATATTTTTTCCAGCTAATAATAATCAATAATATTTTTTTACATTTTAACTTCCACATAAAATTTCATCATAACACTTAGTAATTGATACTGTTTCTTTCATACTTTAATTAATCTATCTAAGATTTACTATGGAATCTAAATTCTTTTCAAATGAATTTTCATTATTCTCTCTTTATAATTTACCTAATATAAATGAATCCATTATAATATTATCAATCTTAAATGATATCATATATGTTGATACTTCTATGGTGTTTAAGCATTTCTTTATTTTATCAACAATCTCGATAATTGAAAACATTATTTATTATAAATATTATTCTATTTGACAATCTATCGCTCTTTTAAGTTGAATAATTTAATCATCAAATTTTATCATTCATTTTAATAGAACTAATGCGTTTCTTGGGCTTTATTTGGAAAATAATAATCAGATTATAAAACTCAACTTTAAGAACAAATAAAAAATTATATATCAATAATATAATAATAAATTAATCATTAAAATTATATATGTGTCTGATTAAAATATTTTAAAAGCTAATAGAAATAATAATATTAGAACTTGTAAATATTTTTCAATACAAATAAGAGATCGTTTTTAAATTTAGTTTCAAAGATAAGACTTTTAGCTTTATTTATAATGAAATTATGGAGATGCCAAGGAAAAAAATTTTTTGGAATTCAATTAATATTGATTTTCAAAAATATTCTAAATAATGATAGAACAAAAAATAAATCATTGTTTTTATTATAATCATATAATATTAGATTTCTTTATCTATTAAGAAAAAATGAATCATTACAGTCATCTAATATATTTGAAATTATCGGAATGTTAAATTAAAAATTTTTAATATTATTGAAGAGTACCTTGAATCGGATATTGAAATAGAATCAAGAATAAAAAAGATTTAGATTAATTAAATGAAAATTCAAAGATAGAAATAGTATCACAAATCTAATAGGAATTCAGTGAACAAAATTTTATAAAAAGATCTAGTTTTTAACAATAAATTAATTAATTAGCATGGTTAAATATGGGTTTATGAAAAAAACCATAAATAAATTTATGAAGATGCTTTAAAAAATAAAATTATGAATTGATTTTAACAAAAATTTAAAGAAAAAAATTTATGAAGTAAATCAAACAATGTCAGACCGCAAAAGCCAAGAAAATTAAGAAATTTTTAATTTATAAAGCGATGCAATATTTAACAATAAAATTTGAAAATATTCGACTATTATTCTCTTTAGAATATCAATTAAATTGGTTAAATTTCCTACTTATTTAGAAATGGAAGGAAATAAAATATTTCTTGTTTTTAATTAGATTGAAAATTATAAAAAATTATAAAAGTAAGTTTTTTTTAAAGTTAAAATTTTTATTAAGTATTATTCTTTGGAAAAAGAATCATCCTTTCTATGATTTGATCTTTTTTGGAATAATAAGCTTATGAATTCGAATTATATATTAGAAGCAATTAATTTAAATAAGAAAAAGATTATATGAATTTTAAGAAAGGCTAAGGGAGATAAAATTTTTGTCAATTAAAAAACCTATTTGATCTGAGCAATTATAAAATAATATCACTTAATTTTTGAATAACTTATTCAATGTTGAAGATTTAAATTTTCCATTAAATTAAATATCTATATTAACACTTCTAAAATAACAAAGTTATAATAGTATCTAAAGATTTGCTTAGTTGAAAGATAATTTAAATGAATAAATAGATTACTTAAATTTCAATCTCATAGTTTATTTTGGGCAATGTATTCAGAAATGTTAAGATTACAATAAGATTATTAAAATATTAATTAAAATATTTATAAAACAGATTGAAAAGATGAAGTCAATAAATGAAATTAAAAAAAAAATAATGCTTTGATTTATATATATTTAGTACATAAGATCATATATTTTAGCGAAAACAAGGATAAAAAGTTTAAATCAAATTTAAGTAATTTTAGAAGTAAAAAAAAATCATCTGTTAAAGTTTAAAACACTTTTCAGCTAAAGAATAAATTTTGGTTCATATTTAAAAATTAATATTTTTTGACATAACTAATTCCCAAAAAGAAATTAAGGTTTTAGAATAATTTAATAAGTTTAACTTATAATTTTTTAATTCGAAATATCACTTCACAAATAAATCTTCTACATTTACTGTTAATAAACAAAAACAACACTTTGTAACTCTAATTCAAAATTTCATACGCCTGAAATTAGATATAAATGCATAATACCATTCAAACTGGCAATTAAATTAAAATGGAATAATTTATTATTTTAATTGATGAAGAATAAATAGGAAATTAGAAATTAATTGAGCGAAGTTTTATAATTAAATGAATGAATTGTTCTTGAAGAATTAAATCATGAAATATAAAAAAAATAAGTGTCAAAGAGGATTTTTAAAAATTAATAAGAATAATAGGAAGAAACTGAAGTTAATTTTTAGTAGTTATTTAAATAAGTCTTTAAAAGGATAAGAAAAGTTTGGTTTCAATTAATTGGACAAAGAAGTTTCAAAAATTTTCAATAAGTAGCTTGAAGGATAATTTAAAATCCATTTAAGGAAAGATCTAAACTATTTGGATCGAAGTAATTTCTTTTTAGAAGTAGTAATTTGAGAATATATTTCAAGAATTTAAAAAATAATTATAATTTGCAAAACAATATTTTTATAAATAAAATCTACAAGATGAATTAGAGAATTTTTTCAATTAAAATATAATTAAAACTCATAAAAATTAAAAGGAATAAGATAAATCGAAAATCATTGAAAGCCTCTTTTTAAATAACTTTTTTGATACTCTAACATAGGATTATCTTTTCATTTAAAATTCAAGTATTACCAAAAAGTGTATTAAAAAGGTTTATTTATTATAAGGTTCTTGAAAAATCAGAAACTCTAAATTTTATAAGAAAAAAATTTACAAAATAGGTTTTATATATCATGAAAAACATATAAAGAAATGAATTATCAAATAAATCTCACTTAATTTTTTAGTATTTTTTGCAAATTATAATTATAAAAAAACTTGAACTATTGCTCTTAAGAGAGGGCTGATAAGTATTTCAAATCAATAATCAGGATTAAAAGTGATCAGATTATGTCAATTCGATATTAATAATCTAAATTATTATTTTAATGAGTTAATAGGTCAAAGATTAAGAATTATGATAATATATCATTATATCAAAAATTAATGTTTTCAAAAAATAATATTGAAGATTATTAAGGAAAAATATTTTCATAAATAGCCAAAATTATTATTGTTAATTATTGTTTTAAAAATTTTTATTCATGCTTCAATTAAAAGAGATATTATTAAATTCGAAAGCAAATAAATAAAACAGCAAAAAGATTTTGAAATTTTGCTATCTATTTGAAACAATTTTTTTGAATAATTTGATAATTTCAATTTTTAACTTTTTATTATCAATGCTATTGTAAACTGTATTTATTAGGAACTTAGAAAATTTTAAGTGTTCGTACTCAAATAACAATTTAAATTTAAAAGTAAAGAAGAATTATTTTTTTTGTATTCATGCAAAATATTTCGAAAAAAATATTATTAGATTCGTCAAAGTTCGTTTATTAAACAAAATTTTTGCCATTTTACGTCATCAAAAAATGTATAATATAGAATTGGTGAATTATGTGACTTGGATATAAAGTAGTTTATTTAATTTAGTTGATATAAATAAACTCTATTATAATTAAGTTTGTTTTGGTTTCAACTTATAAATAAAACAATAAAATTGTTATTTAAAAACAACATAAATTTACCGATTCAATTTTAACATGACTTTTTGATTGATAACTCTCCTTTCCTTGGATATTTAAAAAATTTAACAGTATTCTTAATCATTAAATAGCTAACGTTTATAGAAAAATCTTATTTTCATTGAATTGGGTCAAAGGAGGGAATATTTTTACATTTAAAATGAAAACTGTAGGATAATTTATATATATGGAGTCTACTAGTATTTTAATGAAAAATAATAAAAGGAAAAAAGTCTCAAAACTAGAAGCTATTGAATTGTTAATTGAAAAGTATTCGTTCAAAATAATAAATCATGAGTATATAAGTAGTAATCCATAATATTTTTTCATATTGGTTAAAGTCATATCCTTGATTACCAACTAGAAGTTTTTTTAAAATTTTGATTACTATAACATTTGATTTTCATGCACTCTATTTTCGCAAAAATTTTTTGACAAAGGCTATTTGACTAAAATAATAATGGATATTTGGGCTAAAAACTCTGAATTTTTCCATCATTGTTGGCTTATATTAAAACACATACAAATTTAAATGATAAAAAAAGGTCCTTGTTTAATAGTAAATAAAACCAGAAATATTTTATTTCTATTAAAACAAATTATATATATTTAGTTTATAATTTATTAAAAGTTCAATGGGCTAAATTTATTAATCAACGACAACTATGTCTATTTAAAATTTTTTATACTATTCTGTTTATTAAGATGATTCAATGATTGAATTTATATGTTATCTAATTACTCATTTGATCTCAATATTTATCCCAACACCTTCAAATATTGATTCAACTTTAAGTTTTTGTATATTGCTCGTTCCTGTTGAATTCTTCACTATTGTTCATATCGAAAATAAGAAATTGCAAAAAAGATATTCATAATATTTTAAAAAAAATTTTTATCTGAAAGATCAATTTAATTAACTGTTTTAAAATCCCATTAATAAACAGTGTTATTTTCCCTTCCTAAAGTTAATGTAATTCCATCAACTGAAAGGTAAATTGACTTAAACAGTTCTAATATGGCATCGAGTTAAGCTTTTTATTATCCTTTTTTATTATGTAATAAACAATAGAGATATCACTAAAAATTATAAAATTTCATCAGATATCTCTCTAATTGTATTTTTCTAATCAGTTCATTTTGATTTCTTCTCATGCATCTTAGGAATAGTATGTTTCTCTATTTTTTTAATTATATTTTTTTATTTGATTTTTTTTTCACATCCTGATCCAAATTTCTTAAATTTTGTTTCTTTGTAAGAAATCCAAAAATATCTAGAATAGAGTATCTTTAACATTATTTAAAATCTCTCTTTTTTCCTTCCATAAATCTCTTCTTCTTCTGGATATTAAAGTGATCTAATTAAAAAATATTTTTAACTTAATACATAAGAGATCTAAATTGATTTCTAGTCTAAAAGTTTTTGAATTCTAGTATTAAAATGAATAAGTTTACTTCCAAATACTAGATACAATCTAGATATATTGCTTTTAATTTTTGTTTGAAGTATTACATCAATTTAAATNTAATATAAATTTTCAGGTTATAAATGAATAAAATTGGGTATACAATAACTTTCGAAAAATATATAAAAATATATTCGTCAAACTTTAGAATAGAAAAAATCTTAGATAAAACAATTATAAAAGCTCACATTAGAAAATTATTTATATTAAACCCCTAAAACGAGATGGGGCATTTGGAAGGCTATATGAAGAATTTAGAGGTCATTACTAATAAATCAAAAATATAAAAAACTGTTTTTTGTATATAAGTGAAGTCTCAGCAATTAAAAAGTATTATCTAATATGATTCCCAACTCTTACTCACTATATTTACAAAAATAAATTGTAAATTGCTTTAAAATTAATAAAAAGTCTGTATTAAAATATATTATTGAGATAGTAATTAAAAAGGCAATAGTTACATGAATCAAATATGATGAGGGACAATTTAATTGAACTTATACCAAATGAATTTTGAAAAAGAGATTTAACTTTGGTTCACAATGTATTGAATAAGCTCTATACAAAAATGCAGATATAGGTATAATTCAATGATGTCTTTTATAACAATCTAGATCAAAAGATATAATCAAACATCCAAAATTACAAATCATTCTTTTTTCTGATCATTCAAAGTCTCATTTAAGAGAGAGATACATTTGAAAGCATAATTACAATAACTATATAATTAAGACATCTGATAAATAAACCATAGAAGAAGGACATCGTTGCTAAAAAACATAGAGAAATAGTATAAAAATTTTATTTGTTACCTTTTAATATATTTAAAAAAAAGAAGAAAAATGAAAATTGTTCATGATTGAGTAATAAGATTATTATTAGTCAGAATAAACAATCTAATTATAAAAAGTATTCACAAGCTATCTTAAGAGACATTCAGTTTTAATTAATCTACTCCCAGATAAATTTTAAGAAAACATCTATACATAATATATATAAAGTCTTGTATCATTTTGATACTGAATAGGTAACTTGTCTAATAAAGAATAATTATGTTTAAGGGAGTTCAATACAAAAACTATTTCTAATTGAACAGGTGAATATCTCAACACTTGTATAATTAGATCAAATATCACTCACCTTATTTAGAATTATCTCTAGAATCATAAGAGTTTTAATAAATTGCTTTTGTAAAAATGAAAACATGGACATAACTTTAAGCAAAAATGAATAATTATAGAGAGAAACATGCTAAAATGATAACAAACTTAGGCAGAGACTAATGTATAAAAATGGATACAAATAAAATCAAAAAAATACCTAATAGAGGTTATTTTGACTAATGGAGATTCTCAAATGTATATAATAAAGAATTCTTAACAAGAGATCATTTAATGGAGCATAAGCAAATATTGGAATCATTTAGGAAATAAATGGATTAAAAAACTAGACGAAATAAATGAATGGGTAAATTCAGATAAATAATTTAATAAAAACACTGCAAAGAATAAAAATGATGAAATAAATTATTTTTCAAATAAAATCAGATTATTTATTAAAGAATATGGGATATTTTTTCAAAAGAAACAAAAATTACAGAAAACTGATTATGATTATTATCTATATTAAAATTAATTGCTTTTGTTCTTTTTATACTTAGTTTAGAAGATCATTTTTATTTTAAATAGTATAATAGACTTCACTAAGAGTCAAACTGATTACTGTATTATTACAATTTAGGTGAAAAATAATGCAAAATCTTTATACGCTATTAGCTATAAATTATTTTTTTATATTATATAAATTAAATTTTTATTTAAGTATAATACTAAAAATTTAAATTTAAGTAAATTATTTTTGTATTAAAGTATCAAGATTGGAGTGAAAATAAATTATAAAATACCTATTTAACTTCATTTGTAATTTATGTAATAGATAATAACTTTAAGAAAAAATAAATTAGATTAATTATCAATAAATGAATATTTAAAATGCTTATAATTTTAAAATTATCAATATAAGTTATGTGTTTGTATCTGATAATCATTTAAATTTTTTGTTTAATAATTATTATGTATTTTTAGTAATTTTTCATATTTATTTATAGTTACAGAAGTTATTTCTATAAATTGAGGAACTATTTAAGTTTTGAAATAAAAAGGAAATAAATTTGAAATACTTATATTAGAATCTATTATAATTAATATATAACGATATCATGCATAAAAATATTGAAAAAACTTGGAATATCTTTAAGTTTATTTATAGAGATTTATTTGTGAAATATTAGAAGATTCTCAGAAATGCAAAGTATAAATAATTAATCGAAATCAAAATGTTTGATTTCAAAAGTTATCTTTGTTAGGTTTTTGTATTATTGATATGTGTTAAAAGCTTGTGTCCAGAAATAACAGTTCAATAAGAATGTAATTCAAACGATTAATGCCTATGGAGTTATTGGAAACCCTCTTTATGTCAAAGTATTTGTAGTTTATTGACTGATGAAAACAGATGTAATTAAGCAGTAGATTGTAAATGGTAAGCAGATTCATCATCTTGTTTTATTAAAAAATGCAAAGAAGCAATTGATTAAAATGAGTGCGATCTAATTGTAATAACAATAACTAATTAAGGTTGCTTGCTATTGGATAAATAATATATGTTGGGATTCCTCATGTATTTAATTATAAGCTGAAGAGTCTGGAAAGTGTCCAATTGCTTATTGTATTTGGAATCAAAAAAGAAAACTATGTTATGATAAGAAATGCTCAGATTATTATAATGAATATGATTGTTAGCAAATGTCTTTTTGTTCTTGGTTTAAATATAAATGTATAGATAATGGTAATAAGAAGCTTGATTTTTGAAATAAATTTATATAACTTTAAATTATGACTTAATATTATTGTGTAATAAAAAAATAACATCAATAATTTTAGTTTTGCACGATTAAATCTTGTTAAACTCTTAAAAAAGATATTCTATTCCTTTAGATTTAAATTATATATATTTGAATTACTACTTTCTTTTAATTTATATTTAGTCTTAACAGCAATAAGATTAGTTATCTTAAATTAATAATAAGCAATAGCATATTTCAAATGCTTATTATAATCTTCCTTTTTTTCACAGCTTTATGAAACGCTTTGGGGAAAAATTAAAAATGTCTTATAAGGCAGAAAAATCAAAATTTGCTTGCAAAATTGTTCAAATATTGTTGTAGAAACTTCAAATAATTTAACTATTATTGATATTTTAAACTAAAAAAACAATCGTAGCTTTTAAGATCAGATTTTACAGTTGAAAAGACTTTATATAGTTATTAGCAATATTCTGAGAGTTGTTCTATAATTGTATGTTAACATAGAATAAATGTATTTAATTTAGAATAAAAGATAGCAGATATAAAGGCTTGAAACATAAAATCAAATTGCTTTGTATATTAAATTATTTAATGTTATTATATGATTCTAAATATTTCCATATTTAAAATTAAGCCAGATTTATTCTCCCAAGTTGCTAATACACCTCCTCCAATTTCAGATTCATAAGCCTTATTTAAATGATTATCAATTTGAGATCGATAGTAAATATCAAAAACCATTCTAATTTAATTATATTTTCGATATAAAATCTAAACATTTTCATAAATATTAATTATCAAGAAAATTGAAACAGGATTAAATATTTTTTAAGCCTACCACACACTATTAGTTATCATTATTAAAATTATTGTTTTCGTATTTTTACTAAAATTAAATTTAGTTGATTTTTCACAAAAACTAAGCAATAAACTCTAAATTTTTGTATTATAAGTATTATAATCGAAACTTTATTTAATTGAAAAACGTTTATTTTATCGCTTATAAATTCTGAAGCTAAAAATGTTGTTTCTCAATTTTCCTCTTTTATAGAGCTATAATTTATTTGAATTAAATCTTTTACTTTGATAATCAAATTCATTTACTAATGAAATTTTTAGATTAAAATTTATTAATTTTAAACTGTAGTTACGTATCCTCTCTTAATTTAATTTAGAATTTAGTTTGTGATAATAAGGTTTTATTATAACCTAAGGAGACTAAATAATAAAAAATACTTATCTTTTTATTAAGAAATAAGTTATAGTTGATATTTCAATAAAGTCAAGTTTTAATACACAACAAATGAACCTATTTAAAAGTGAAAGATTTTAGAAAGAAAAATGAAATCTTAGAATTAGAATGTTAGGAAAGAGACATTAAAACAAGATTCAAAACCTTTATTTTAATTAAGAGAAAGATTTTTAATTATCAGAATACTTTTAAGCAAATGTTTTAATAAAAAAATAATAAATAATATTTATTAAAAGATTTTAAAAATAGGTCTTAGAATTTTGAAATACTTTAATAAAAAATAAGTCTTTAAATCTTGTTCTTTTTGATGAAAGAATATCATAAATTTAAACATTATTTAGCTCAGGCATTAATTCAATTAAGTTATTTATTTAAATTAAGGATTAAGATAATAAATTTATTGATATTTAGAAATAGGGAATTGATCATAATATTAAAGATATAAAAAAAATCAGAAATTGTGTTATTAATATTTCAGTTTAAACATTAAGATATCACTTCAAAGTAATGATAGTCTTTATAATACTAATATTTAATTTTAATTTCAAGCTTGAGCTTATGACTAAATTGACAGTCATTATAAATAATTAAAATAGAAGAGATGAAGTTTATGAATGGTGGAATGATGATATTGAAAATAACAAAGATAACTAATTTTATAATTCAAAAACTTAGTTGAAATTTTAATATAGTTTATCTATTAAAATATAATATAATTTTGAAATAATAAAAAATCAGTGTAAAATTAGGAATATATAATTTCTAGATTAAGAAATTAAAAAAATAAAAATCCATATCACATGATATCTATAAGTGTTGAAAATAATTAAAAATTTTTCAAAACAGGATAAAAATAATCATAATACCCTTAGAGTGGAATGAAGATAAATTTAATATATTTGATCAATTATTAGCTAAAATATTAATCAAAGTCACTTCTAAACTCAATAATAATCAAATTCCACTTATTAAATCAAACTTACCGTTTTGAGTCTAGTAAGCCTAAAATTTAAAATTTACACCTTTTATTATTTAAAGAATTAATTATGATATGTTTATCGATTAATTAAAAATATTGTTAAATATAAATTTAGAAATACAGTGTTAAGTAATTTTGAAAATTTTATAGAATATTAGATTTTCAATAAAATGCATGGCATTTCAAGTGTAAGAGAAAATGGAAGTAATATAACCATATTGAGGAATATATTGCATTGATGTTAATATAAATGAAAAGAGAACTTTTTAAATCAAATTAATTTTTGTAAATGCTAAGAATGTGAAATTAAATATTATATAAAAATATTACAATTAAAATTTGACTAAAAAGATATAATTTGAATATTTTTAAAGAATATTTATGAAATTTATAAATGATAAAAAGGTATTGGAAGTAATACTTATAAATTATATAAAAGATATCTTTGATTTTTAACCTTAGGAACATGGAAATAATCAAAAGCAAAAATAAAATAAAAATAATTTTGATTTCATTAATATCATTCTTCTTGAATTTCTTTGATAAATTTTTCACTATATGCAATTGGAGTAACTCTAGAAGACTATTATTTTTTAACTTCAAAAATTTCAGCCATTTCATCAACTCTTTTTTGTTTCCTAAAATTTTTCATATGATTTTTATATATACATTTTTTCCAAAACAAATGCAGTTATTGTATTTCTTGAATAATTTAAAGAACTTTCTCTTATAGATTTTCGAATAAATTATTATCTTTCTTTAGCTTAGTCTGGACTTCTTAGACTCAAAGGGATTTAATCAATATTTTGTTCCATTTGTCTTTCCATAGCTATTTACCATTAATAATTTTTAAACGCAATTATTTCTTTTGCTTAGGGTATTAAAAATTATTTTAATTTATGGTATAATTTAGCAACTCGTTCACGTTATTCATGACGGTTTGTTAAAATTCTTTTCATAAAAGGTATTTAAATTAGAGAAGGGAAAGAAGTTCTTATTGAATTACGAAGTTTATCAAATTTTTCATCAAAATCACTACTTTTTTCTTTCAAATATTCAATTAGAATCTTTGATATTAAAGTATATAACATATTAAGATTCAAAATTGATATGATAAATACATAAGGAATTTATATTTCTTATGAATTAGATTATTCTGATATATATATACCAATAGCTAAAGCAATAGAAGCTAAACAAACATTAGTAGAATAATAATCTAATTTATTAAGATTATTTAGATTATAAGGTTTATATTTTAAACTTAATTCTAAATACATTCCAATAATGAGTGAAATGATTGTAGCTTTAATTATAACTTTATCATCATAATATGTTAAAAAAATGATCATTAATTCTTTTTAAAGTATTTTGATAACTTCCCAAAAGTAAGCAGTTTTAGTGTATTCATTATAAAGATAACCCCATTAAAGTCTTACTTTTTTATCATCTAATTAATGAGAATTACTATAAAGACCATAAAAAAAATATAGCGGAATAATAATCGCTAGTAATAATAACATAGGTAAACATAATTCAAGCATCCATTTTTCATGATAAGCAGTATCAAATCTATAAGAAACATTAGATTGAATCCATTTATATCCTGAAATCTCTCTATATGATACAAGTTAAACAAATCCTCCAATTAAACTTGGTTATAAATAGATGTACATATAAATAAGTGTTGTAGTAATAACACTTCTATTAAAAGTGACATTTTTAAATTTAACTGCCAGTAAATAACATATTAAAAAGAATGTAATATAAAGAAAAGGCATAATAACTTACCAAATCATTCTAGAATATTAAATCTAAAATTAAAAAATTTGAGATAAAAAACAATCCAATGAATAAGTCATAGTCTAAATTGGGGATCCTACTGCATTTATTGTACTTTAAAGTCCAGTAGGTAGCTTTAATTAAAATGTAGAAATTGATGAAATTATTTACAAGTAATTAGTCAACATCTTTATCAATATTGCAGATTGATTAGAATTTTATGTAACTGCTAATCCTAACATCATAATATTAATAATTCTCACAAATTCTTCAATAGCTTTCAAAGTACTTTGAACTGAAACCAATATTGATATTAAAGTCCTAAAAATATTAATAATACACATACCAAATACTCACAAAAGTTATAATTAGTGCATTTTTTTCCTTTTCTAAACATGATCCACAAGAATATGTTGAACTTACAGAATAATATCCATCTCCTCTTATATTATATAAATCACATTATTCACATAATGCTCCAATATGTCCTAAAAAACAAGAATTATCACCCTCTTCCCATCCTCCTAAACAATTTTCAGGTAAATTCAAACAATAACTAACTTTGCTACTTTAAAAATATGGTCTCCAATATCCAAATTTTAAATTTAATAATGCTGGTTAAACATTTATTGTTGATACATCATCTTTTAATTCACATTTTTCAGAATTTAAATTTAAAGAAAATAGACCTTAATCACTATTGCAAGGAATACATGAATAATCAGTATTATTTTTAATTTCTCCATATTAACAACCTAATGTCTTTATATTAACTCTTAATTTATAGTTAGAGTGTGAACTTATCAAATTATATGGATATTATTAATTGAAAATTGGAATAAATATTGAATTGCATCTAAATTGTAATTATAAGACAATTTCAATTGGCAAAGCATTATCAAAATTTACAATCAGATCATCTAAATTATAATCTTAAGTTTAGATATTAAAACTGATATTCTTTATATTTGTAAGATTATTACTAAATATATTATCATCATTTAAATTTGTAGTATTAAAAATTCTACTATCAATTTCACAATATGTATTTTATAGATTTTTCATTACACTATTATCCTTACTCAAAGCAATCACTCTAAACTTTTAATTAAATGGATAATATGTTTTATTTATTTTATCAAATTACTCATATAGTGAAATCTTTTAACCACTTGGCAATAAAATATACTATTATTTATTTAATTCACTAGATGAAACCATAACTTATTAAACCACAAGTTCTTCTGTTTCTTAAATTGTTATTGTTTAAAAATAATAATCTTCATCTTTTAATGTAATTGTTAATTTTTAAGGTAATGAAGCCTTATCATTTCCAAAAAATTCAGCTTTGTTATTATCAATAATAGTTCCAAGTTTAAAATAATCCATGTCTTGTTAATCAAATAAACTAATTCCTCCTCCAGTTTAGGCTGAATTGTGCTATATTAAACTATTAGTAATTAAAACATCTTATTTCAGTTTAATAATCATAGCTCCTCCTGTTCCAGATGCATTATTAAATTAAAAAATTGAATTTTCAATCAATATTTTTACATTTTCAGCAAATAAGCAAGTTCCATTTTGAGCTTGATTATATTGACAAACATAATTATCAATAAATACTTCCAAATTCAGAGATTATAATTATTTGTCTTAATTTGAGAGAGCTCTTCGATTAGTATTTGAATTTTCTTTTTTTATATAAAAGCACCCATAAACTCCACATGAAGAATTAGTAATTTTTAGTTTAGAGATATACTATTTCATTAAGAGGTTTTCCATCTTTAAAAAGGAATAAAATAATAATCCATTCTAACAGAAATCACAAGTAATTTATGTTAATAGTAGATTATTTAGCTTTATTTAACTTGATTCTGTAAGATCTAAGAATTAAATCAATCCCTATTCTGTTTTTTGAATCATTAAATTACTCACCTTTCCATTTTATTATTTGATTTAGGATAACAAACATTCTCCATAATTATCCTATTAATTAACATATTAGGAAAATAAATTTAGAGGTGCCTATGTATTTTTGGCATTTTGAATACATTTAAAATATACTGTGTAATCTTTATCATTTTCTTACAAACAATTATAAATCTTTAACTATAATGCCACAGTAATGTTAGATATTGTAAGACCACTGATCTATATATTATTAGTCAGATCTAGAATATATAACAAATTTTACATTGATTTGGACGCAATCTAAAAATTACATGACTTATTAAACTATTTGATATCTTAAAATTTTGAATTGAAACCATTTAAGCATTATTTATTGATAATACAGATTCTAAAATTAAATTATCAATTTCAATATTTACAATGATTATATTTATAGCTGAATCAATATAAAATAAGGCTCTATTATTAGTAATTGCTATTTCTTCTGTTTTAGAAAGTTAAGTATATTTGTTTAAGTAATTTGTAAAACCGTCATTCGTATTTTCAATAATAAATTAATTAAGATTTACATATTGTTAATTTGAAGAAGCAGAAGAAAAAGTAAAATATACTATTGATCCAAGCTTAGAATATACATTTCGAATTTTAAAATTAAGAAATGTGATATTAACACTTGCAGAATTTGATAAAATATAAATAAAACCTCCTTGTTCTTTTGCTGTTATATTTTCTATAAATATTTGTTAAAAAATAACTTCAAGAGATTATGCTGAAGTACTATCTAAATGTATTGCTCCTCCAAATGCTAATTCTTGCGAAAAGGTTGTAGAGATATTTTTAAATTAAGTTTGATAAATAGTTATAAGACTATTCTTTTATGCCTTAATTTATAATGCACCACCAGAAGATCCTACTGATTGCTCAAAATTGCAGTATTAAATTTCAAGATTTTGGATTAATAATTAAGCTACTCCTGATGTAGATTTAACTTTGAAAAGTTATTTCATTTGTTCAAAAGATACTTTTTCTGATTCAAAAAATCCCCATAGTAAATAAGGTTAGATTAATTAATAGTTAAAATAGCTATTCTAATAAAAAGTACAATTTTATAATATCAATTTTTGACTTTTGATATAGATTAAATTATCAGTGCTATTGTAAACTGTATTTTTAAGGAAGTTAGAATTCTTAATAGTGATTACACCCTATATACAATTTAAATTTAAGAGTAAGGAAGAAATTTAGAGATTATTTTAAACATATTCGTGCAAAATATTCTCGGAAAAAGTAATATTTTACAAATCTATATTCGTTTATTGAACTGAATCTATAAAGATAATTGCAGTTTAATATTATGAATTGGATAATAGTAATAGATTTGATTTAACTGATATGTTATTTATAAGGATTGTTTCAAGCTATTATTATTTTCCTTTATCAAAAGATTTATAGTAGAGAATAGGTGAATTATATGATTAAGTATTAGTAATTTACATATCTACTATTTCTAAATTAAGCACTGAAGTCATAAAGAGAGATTGTAAATAATATTCGCCCTTCACTTATTATAATTAACAATCAAGATATTAATGAAGTCCTAAAAATTTATATTCATCTCCTTAAGTGATCTTACTAGAGGTTATTTTTAACTATTTAGCTTCAACTATACTGAAATCAATCAATCCAATTCCTCTTATTATATTAAGTGCTTAAATTAGAATATAATCTATAGAAATATAAATTATACAAGAACTTTAAGTATTTAATTTAAAATCTTCGCTGATTGATGAAACATAATTATTTGAGATTAAAATATTTTTAATCATTATTTTTGAATTAACATTATTGTATTTATGGAATTATAGTAATTTGGTTGTTTAATGATATTCATTTTCCTGTATTATTAGATTCAATAATTCTATTTGTAATTATTCCAATTAAAGCAAATCAGAATTTACAATTCCATAGCTTCTTTCTCTGAATTTACAATCTTTAATAATAAAATCTTGAATCTAATTATTATTATTCAAAATAACAAAAGTTGAACTCTAAATCTAGGAATTATGAAAATATATTCCAGAGATAGTCACTTATTTAAAAAGAAAAAGATTTAAGAAGTGTAAACAATTAAGTACATCTATTTAAAAGTCAACGTTGCTCATTTCAAGGGATCCAAATTATTTAGTCATCTTTGTATCTATTAAAGTTGAATTAGAAAATTGTGCTTGAATAACTACATCAATAATTGAAATGATATCATTTTGGTTAAGATTGAAAAAAAGAGTTACCTAATTTTGGAGTTTGGAATTAAGAATTTAAAAAGATGAAAGTGTTATTTATTTATTGTAAGTAGTATCGGCAATGAAAATGAATGTATTTATGGTATTTTAAATAAGATCTATTATTTTGAAATCCATTAAATCTAGTTTTTTAACATCATAAAATATCATTTTAGATTAATCATTTTCTTAATTTAGTTACTAATATAGAATAGATTTTAAAATAATTATTTATGGTAGTTTACTAATAAATAATATTTATTTTAATTTATTATTACTTAATGGATTAATTTAAGCACCTTGGATGGTAATTTTATTGAAATTCTAGAATGTGATAGTTCTCTCAAACTCAATAATAGTATGTTAATTTAATTAAATATTTAGTTCAACATTTCTAATCTAAGTATAAAATTTACATAGTAGAAAATATATTTTCACTAAAAATTTATTAAATGGTGGCATTTCCAAAAATTTTACAAGTTTAAGGTTTAACACTAAGAATATTAATAATAATCGTTTTGATTAGCTTTGAATTGGCTGATAAATAAAAATGATTTGTTTCAAACTAGATTATTTAATGAATAATTACCTCTTTAAAGCTATTTCCAGAAGTAAGATCTTCTAAAAGTATATTTTTCAATTTAAATTAATTTTATTCATAAGTTGATTAGAAAGAATTTAAAGCTAAGGTAAATTCTAGTTTTGAGCAATACAAATTGATTGGGATTATAAGAGATTGTTCACAACTAATTGTATTAGAACATGGAATAAAAGTTCCTAATTCTTAATCATAATAGTAATCTTGATCATCAAAACTCTATAAACATTAATAGGTAGAAGTCATATATTAATGATTATTAAAGAGAGGATTAATTGATGAGATCTCATCATCTGATCTAATTCTACATAAGGCACAATTTTATGGGCAAGTAATACATTGATTTTCAGATAAGCTAAGTTATCTACCTTATTGTTCTAGTTCACACCTAATACATTAATTCTCACCATTAATAAATTAACACTCTAAACAGGATTCTGGACATTCTTTAATACATTTTTATTCAACTAATTCATATTCTTTGATACACATTGTACATATAACTTCATAATCATCTTTATTCTCACTTTAGGCATAGAGTTTAAATGGATGATTATTATCAAAATTAATTAAAACTTAATATAAAGCTCTAATATTGATTTTCCAGTAGTCTTGAGTAATCTTTAACTATTATGCACAGTTATAACAGTTTAATTCAGAAGGGCACACATAACATTTACCTGAAATTCTATCAGCATAATATCCACTTTTACATTCCAGACATATAATAACAGAAGCTATCCAATTAACCTTCTCTATTAAACAAGTAGCACAATTTTCAATGAATCCAGGACATTGACTCATAAATTAATTTATTTTGGACATTCCTGATAGAATATAATCTTATGAAATCAAACAATATTGTAATGATGTACAGACTATAGAACCATCATCATCAAAACCAGTAGTAATAAATTCACCACTAGGCGTTATATAATAATTCATTTCATCCAATATATTTAACATAGTCTCATCAAAGATGGTGTCACAAATATAATCAACATATGAAAAGTAGCAATTAGCATCTCTCATTTCAAGGCAAATATAAGAATTAAGAATGACTCCATATCCGTATTAACATCTACCACAAGTTGTATCAATATTCTCCCAATCATCTCTTGGCGTAAAATATAAATCAAGTGTATTTATTTAGTAATCATAGTATACAGCTTAAAAGGCATATTCACAATGATTAATAGTATTTTCAAAACAATTTATGCCATCGAAGGATAGAAAATATTTTGAATCATCTAAACATTTAAAACATTTTAAATAGGATTTATTTATAGTTTGATCATTAAATTTTTAACAAAAACTACAAAAATTTCCACAAGGAACACAACTTCCATTATCTAATGCATAATGATTGATACAAGACAAACATTATGGAGTATTTGTATTATTATCAAAAATACAGGAGAAACAAGTTAAAGGGCATTAATAATATTAACCATTATGAAGATACACACCATCTCTAACTTTTTAACAGTTTCCATCTGAAGATGCCAATAAACAATTTATGTTTGTAAAAATGCAATCTCCATTTAATTAATAATAGTTAGGTTTGCATTTCACATATATAGTTTATCCAATATGTTGATATTTTGCTGGAAAACAATTTATAGAATCTTATTCAGGTTCACAATAGTCTAAGTAACCTGAATGAAGAAATAATTGTCCATTTTGATCAATCAAATAAAAGTCATAATCATAAATGTCTCTTTTTTCATATTTATAAGCATCAGTTTATGTTAATTTCTTAGATACTAAGTCGAATTTACATATTGGCTTTAAATACCAAGTCAATGGATAATAAACACAATCAACACACAATATATCTAAGAAATTAGATTATGGACTTAAGAGTAATAAATTTATTAATACCATTTTATGCAAACATTTTAATCGTATTCATTTTAAAAAATGAAATATCCAAATTCACATAATGAATCCCCAAGAGGATATTATTCTTATTACTCAACAGATGAAAAATGATATTCAAATTATTAGCAGACTTTCTCATCTTAAACCTCTACATATCCATATAAACATTAGCATTTCTTTTGTTCATCTAGATGGTATCTATTTGTGTTTTATTCACAACTTATACAATTATTTTAAAGTGGTCCATCACAGGTTAAACAAGTGTAGTGACATGCTAAAAATATACATATTTATGCTACCATTTTTAAGTAGAACTTTTTCTTCAACATAATTATATTCAAATTTAAAATCAAAAAGTGATGCTTAAAGTAATTCTTTCATATATTCATCTGATCCTAAATTTACATAAAAAGGAGAATTGGTTGGTTAAATAATATCACGACAAAATTCTAGTAAATTTAATTCATTAAAGAATTTAATATTTATGCAGCTTTTTTTTCCTGGGATTGAAGAACCATACTCATATTTTACAAAATGCCATTATTATAGTTCTTAAATAAAATATTAAGAATTATATTCCGGTATGATTTCCTAAATGACTTTAATTAAATCATTATCTTCCTAACCAATAGATCCCATGATTGGAATTTTATGATAATCTAGAAGGATTACAATCTTAGTAAATATAGGTTCACTTTTACTAAACCAAACTTGCATTAAAAATATTTCATCTCCAAAGTTTGATTTATGAAAATAATTTTTAAAAAGACTTACTCTAATCAATGGATAGATTGAATATTAAATTACTCTCGAAATATCATATTTAACCCATCCAGAAAGACAAAATTTACTTCCAAATTAATTAATTGTATATTAGAGAGATGTATCACCTTCAAAAATTTATAATCCTTTGACAAAATAAGTTGTTTATTCACCTTAAATTATAGAAGGAATCTAACAATTAATTGTCATATATTCAAATAAATCTTAACCAAGTTGATCAATCTTATTAATAAATATTTTAGACAATCTTCCTTTAAATACATTAAGATTTAAATTTTCAATCTTAATAATTATAAATAAATTACATAGCCTCTTCCTCCTTATATTATTTAAACATAATCTTATCCAATATTCATTGTTCCACTCTGTCTTATTTAATCTGTCATATCAACTTCAATATTTCCATCTAAGAAATTAAAGGTTATGAAGCTCAGAATCCATTTAGCTTAATAATTTATTGGTTAAAAACTAAACTCTAAACTTATCTAGTTACTTCCTAAAATAATTATTTTATGCTTAATTAACAAAGTTTCTAAATCTATTTATACAAATCCTAATAAGGAATTGCTTGTACTTCCTTTCACTAAAAATAATAATTGTCCTAATTCAGCATCTGTTGAAATAAAATCTTATTCCACTTCAGGAATATTCTTCAAACTTAATTGTGGAATACAAAGACTCCAAAAACCAAAACCGAATGAATCCCCAACATCCAAAGTAACCAAAGAATCAAATTGATTACTTTCATATTGAGATTCAAAAGGTATTAATGCCTATTCATATTCATTATAAGGACAACTCTAACTATGTACAAACCTTAAAACTATGACCAATATTGGAATCATTTAAGAAATTTTATCACAGGTAAACATTTTTAACATGAAAATTTGATTTTTTAAATATTAACAAGATATGCTAATACCTTTTGTATAATTTTTATTATAGTATATTCATTCAGAATAAATATAAATAAATATTAAAAGTAAATGTGAATCAAAGAAGCTTTTAAGACATCTCTTCATAAATATTTTTTAAATACTTAGCAGAAACATTCAAACTGCACAATTCATTCACTGAATTCATTGAATTTTTCGGAAATTTTTAATTGTAATGAATCTAATAAACACTTGATTTAAACTTTGTATCAATTGAAGTTTTAACTTAAAAATCTAATTATTAGACCTGCATCATTTTTTATATCAATTCGAAATTTTAATCTTATTCCAGAATAAGGAAAAAAAAATAATTATTTTAGAAAATTAAATATAAAAATGAATAATTTAATTTTATATTTCATTTAATTCATTCATTAATATCATAAGACTTTATATGTTTTTATATCTATAAATTATTCTTAAATTACATTTTCTTATTTCATCTTCTTACATTCTAGAATTATTCATATTTTGGAATTTCAATCTTCAACTCAAATTCATTCTAAAAATCTGTTGTAGAATAAAATACTAAAGCTTTTTATTGGATTAAATTATATCAAAGCGAACAGAAAATACAAAAGATTAATATTGATGGACAAATATCTCAAATAAAAATTATCCTTATTAATATTCTCTGATTAAAAAAGATGTTTATTATAACCATATAAGTTCTAGTGTAAACGGATAATTGTATAACTTTTTTAAATATTTAATAAAATAAAAATCTTTACGAGATTACTTTTACCATCAACTATACAATTTTGTTATCTAAATGCTTAGACATAATTTAATCTATTCTGATCTAATAATGAATTTGGAGAAATAATCACGATGTGTAATTTAACATGAAATAATTTATTAACAATACGACAATTTTCCCTTAGAGAAACAATTGTTTTTTATTCAGAATAATTGTGCATAATAAGATAATTTTCCAAATGTTCTCACATTATAGAATGAGAAAAATTTTCTTGCCTTATTTTATAAAATTTAGAAGTTTAAATCATGGAATTCTATAATGAATATTTAAATTATACAATAACCTTTTAAAATAACCAAGTTTTAAACGGTAATTTGGAAATTAAGTTCTAAAATCAACTAGTAGATGTACAGCATTAAAAACTGATTAATTATATAGCAATATCTTGAAATCTTATAATCAAACATTTGATTGAACTGGGTCCTATTCATGTCTTGCATGACTAATTACATAATACAGATTCATCAATATTCAAGTAGTATCCATCTAGAAAAGTATCACTACAAATTCCTCCCATAAACTTCAAATTTCAACAGCAACTTAAACAATTATTCTCTTTAGAGCCTTAATAAGTTTTACATGAAGGATGGCAAATCTTGCATTAATTATCAATAATATCAGGGTTGTAATACACTATCTTGCATTTTTGAAGAAAAATCTAAGAAAACTAAACAAATTTTTAAATGTCTTTGCCATTATATTAATCAAGTATAATGACGAGAAGCATAGTATTAATCAATTACTATATAACTTTCATATCATTATCGATACATTCTCTCTCTTATTTAACGAAAGGAGCTGAACATTCAGAAGAATAGTTAGCATTTGCCCAGATTATACAGGATGGCCACTTTGATGAGTTATTAAGAAATTACCAATAATAAATGTAGCAAACATTAAATTAAGAATCATGAAGTAATTAACAACTATATTATTTGATTCAAACTACAATACTATGAATCTGTATATAGCCTGCATTTAAATGTATTATTACACATGAAGAGACAACATTTCAACAAACATTATTGAAGATTAAGCATTGAGAGTTGAAGTACGATCACAAATTCCACATGATGTTTTAAAGCTATATACTTTATTGATATCGAGCAGAGCATGAAGAGTAAATCCAAAGAATTTTTATTGGCAAAATTAAAACTTAGACATTCTTAACTTTTTAATAAGTAAAAGGATTAGTGTAAGTTAAGCTTGGAGAAAAATTATATTAATGTTGATACATCAAATCTATTAACAACTCCATTATTTAATATTAAATGAAAATAGTATTAAAATTCATAAAAATTTCATGTTAAACCAGTTGTTTTCAAAATATGTAGAACATGTACCTAAGGTATTAAAATTCCGACCTCTTAAAAAACCATTAAAAATCATTGAATTATTTCAAATAAATCATGTGTTGACTAGTTAAACATGAGCCATTACGACATCATCAGTGTCACATTTTGTACAAATTGATGAGCTTGAACACTCCAGGAAATTTATAAAAAAATACAATCCTATCGATCTGATAAGTTTAAGATGGAGAAGAGTATATAATACAAGTGTTACTAGAAAGTATATTATATTAATCAACTATAGCATTATTAGTAAGTAACATCTAAACTGCACAATTAACAAGGTGAAGCACATTACTCAATGTATTCATATTAATTGGTTTGTAGTAATCATCTACATCTCAAACGATTAGTAGGAGTTGTAACACATGAAATAAGGTGATTAGCATTACGATCAGGATTTATCAGCTATAAACTTACCAACACTACACGATTTACAAATTCCATCCAAATAATAGAAAGAACTTTAACTTTTTTTTTATGTAAAGTTTTATACAAGTTATCCATTCTGTTTAACATAAGCTTTTTTTTGAATTAAAAATTTTTCATTTTGATTCATATTAAATGCATAATAACCATACAAATAATATTCAGTAATGCAGTCTTAACAATAAGGATTGCCTGTGATTTAACATTTGATAAAAAGAAATTAGCAAATCAAACATGAAGTTCTACTAAAGCAAATTTTGAAAATACAAGAGAAATGACGAATAGCAGATATATAATTTAATAAATATTTTCTCATTATTTAATTTATACATTATGATTAACTTGTGCATATCTATACTCTTTTTTCTATAATAGTCATAAATGCATTTTGTACATCAAAAAATAAATCCACCAAAACACGATGAACCTATAAAATGCATTAACAAGAATAGACACTTTAACTCAATGTGCAATTTCCATTATTTGTTACATTCCCATAAAATTTGTTAAAAAAGTTAGAAATTATAAATAATAAAGATGTTTTCTAGTAATCCAGATAGTAAATTAGGTATCTGTATTTAAGCCTGTCATACAACTTGTTGAGTTTCGCTGTTATAAAATACCTCTGCACATCTTTCGCACTAAAACTAATTATTTACTATATTGCATGCGTTCTACAGTAACGATGATTCTTGACATTTGTTGAAAAATAAATCATTCGTATGGTGGAGAAGATGTTTAAA